ATAGTCTTCGTTATCTGGTTTCCGCAGGATCTTGACTCTGCTGACCACATTCCAAACCACTTGCGCCCACCAGGAACTCATGTCACCTGCAAAGTACTCGTATGGTACAGCGAGGCTAAGGATCGCCGGCGACTGAATGTGTTGTACAAGCACGATGACGCGGCTCTCCTGATACTCGGCTACTCGAAGGACTCAACCAAGAAAGTGTACATCCTTAGGCAATGTCCAACCCGGCTCTAACTTGCTCGGAAGGATAAGCCAACATGGGGTATCGGGAGGCGGAATTGGACCAAATGGGTGCGTTTCCGGCACACGAATCCGCGGAGTGTGGAAGTGAAGATGGTGAGAGTCCTTGCGTACAATTACCGGGCAGCGGATGATGTTGTCCAAGTTGAGGTGGTCCGAGAGGTATGGGATCATCTCGTTGGGGATTGTGAGGGTCTGTCGGGGGACGGTAGACATGATGGGAGGTGCCACATCACAAAACATGGACCCACCGTTTTACACCTTTTGATGTTTGACGCCTGTGGTTACGTGATAGGTTCCGATTGTTACTAATCACATGATTATGTAGCTCGTTGTAAGCCATGTTCAGGTGCCAATTCATTTTGGTGCCTGACAGCGGATGCCGTCGAGCTTGACTGGGTCCATGCTGAGCGATCCTTCGCGAATGATGGTGCCCAGGAACTCGACCTCGGCAGCATCGAACATGCACTTCTCATGCTTGAGGAACAGGTCCATTTCGATGAGACGCTGAACGACCCGCTGCGTTCGACGGTGGTGGTCGTCCTGTGTCTTGGAGAATATCAGAATGTCGTCCATGTAGATGACGATCCATCCTTCCGTGATCATGTCTTTAGAACCGTCGTTCATTATTGCCTAGAACGTCGCCGGGGCGTTGAATAACCCGAAGAACATTACGGTCGGCTCGTAGAGTTTGAGGGGGGTCTTGAAGGCCGCCTTCCACTGATCTCCATCTTTGATGCGGACATTGTTGTAACCTGCACAGACATCCAACTTTGTGAAGTACTTGGCCCCCTGCAACTTGTCGATGAGGTCGTTGATGAGGGGGAGGGGGTAGACGTTCTTGATTGTGCTGGAATTGAGGTACCGGTACCCTTGAACAGGTCGCATGGAACCGTCCTTCTTGTCCACGAAGAAGAACGGGGATGTCATTGGTGAGGTGGACGGGCGGATAAATCTCTTGGCGAGGTTTTCGTTGATGAACCTATGAAGTTCCTGCATCTTGAGCGGGGACAGGGGGTAAAGCTTGCAGTCCCGGGGTTTGAAATCGGGTCGCAGGTCAATGGGGTGATCCCAGGCCCGGGGTTTGGGCATTCGTTTGGCCGCCTTCTTCTCAAACACCTGGTGATAGGTTTTGAGGTAGTCTGGGATGACCACAGGAGCCTTGACGTCGGCTGCCTTCGACCCTGCATTGACGGTCAGTTGGGTCGATATGGTGGTGCAAGCGATGGGGGTGTCTCTGATGATGAGTCATCGAATGGTGGCAGATGAGTTCCATTCGGGATGGATGTCTCCGTGAAGGAAAGCGGTAAGGTGTCAACGGGGATTCCCTGAGAGGCGCTGGTGGTATTCCCAAAGTCGCTGTTCCGCCCGCAGGTATTTGGCGTCGAACCGGACCTTGCCCTGTACCCAGTCGATATGGGGGTTATACTGGATTAGCCACGGCATTCCGAGGATGATGTCGTCCCGGTCGCAGTCCGCAACGTAGAGTTTGGTGGGGAACTCGTGGCTATTGATTCGAAAGTGGCCGATGAACTTCTGGGTGACTGGTCCGACCATGTTGGTGGTGCCATCAACATTGGTGAAACGAAGGGGAGAGGGTAGGGTGATGAGAGGGAGGTTGTGCTTCTTCGCGAAATTCTGGTTAAGGAGAGAAGCACTTGCTCCGCAATCGATGAACGCATGAGCTCCGACGCTTGTAGACTCGTACTCGATGCTGCCTGGGATAAGAATAGATTGATGTTGTCGTTCTGTAGTGGCAACAAACGAGATACTAATACAGTCAGAGGGCAGCTCTTCTGTCGGCAAAGACTGCCCATTCAAAAACCCTCATCTGAATCGTCTACGTCAACCTGACTGATCGTTTTGTCAGGTGTGTCTTCGCCATTGTCTTCATCATCGGCGACCTCGCCATCCTCTAGTTCATCAACCTTGCACACCTTCCGCTTCTTCTGTCCAGGCTGTTGTCCTTTGGCACGGTTGTCCGCCTTCTTCTTAAGGCAATCACGTGCGATGTGACCAGTCTTGTGGCAGTAGAAGCATTGCTTCTTCTCTCTGTCTTCCTTCATGGCTGGAGTGTCGACTCATTGTATAGAGTTGGTACAAGCGGACTGTCCCTTTGTGCCTTGGCCCTGTCGGTCGTTGCGAGAGCGTCCCTCGAGTTGGCGCAGATGTCGTTCCTCATAGTTGGAGTGTTCGATCTCCAACACCCGTGCTGCCCACTCATTAACGGTGGTGGGGATGGGGTACGTGAGGCGAACCCGTCGTCGCATGCTTTCTGGGAGACGCTCCTTGTAGAAGGACAGCTAAGCACTGTCTTCGAGTATACCGGCGAGGGCGCAGAGGCAGAAGAATTCCGCATTGAAGGTGTCTGGTGCGGCAGGTCAGTAGTCGAGGTGGTACAGCTTGGAGGCGGCCGTAGCGGCTTCTTCGATGGGCTGGAAGGTCTGTTGTAAGACAGTTTCGAACACGTTCCAGGTGTTCCAGCCGTTTCGTCGGGCCTGAGCGATGTATCCATCCTTCCAGGCGATCACCTTTGGTCCGTCCATGAACATTAGGGCGGTGACGATTCGGCTCTGGTCGGTGGTGTAGTCGGCTGGATGTGCTTCGAAGAACAGGAAGAGTTCATTGAGGAAGGTGCGTAGATTGTCGTGGTCTCCGTCAAAAACATTGGGTGCGCGGACTTTGGTTCGTCCGGTGGTGACGCCTGGTGCGCCGAGAGGAGCGACAGGTGGTGGTCTGCCGGGGCCTTGAGGAGGTCCGCCACCTAGAGGGGGTCCGCCGCCGTGGGGGGGTCCACCACCTTGAGGTGGTCCGCCACCTTGCGGAGGTCCGCCTGGGCCTTGAGGAGGTCCACCAGGGCCTTGAGGAGGTCCACCAGGGCCTTGAGGAGGTCCGTCCCCTTGCAGAGGTCCACCAGGTCCCTGAGGAGGTCTGCCGCCCTGCGGAGGTCCGACAGGTCCTTGAGGCAGACCAGTGGGTGTGGGTAGACGACTAGGCGGTGCAGCAGTAGTAGGTGGTATCACGGGTTGTGCTATCAGAGTCCCACTGCTGGCGTAGCGAGTGGTTTGGCCAGGTTGGGCCCCTGTCGCCTGGCGTAGCGAGGAGATGCTGTCTTGGGGGGCGAACATATTTCCGAGCTGGAAACTGGGGAGGCTAGGACGGGGTGGTACTGCAGACATAGTGGTGTCTATGAGTTCTGTTGCCGTGTCTGCGTTGCTGCCTGGTTCGTCCTCATTGTATCGAGGAGCGGAGTTGTCTTCCGACAAAGGTGTACCCTCGGTGGGCTCGTTTGCTACGTCTGGTAGGGAACTGGTTCAGTGGGTAGCGGGGCTGCGCGGAGGGGAGGGGGCTATTGTTCAATTTAGGGCCCAAGTCGTTTGGATGAAGGCTTCCTGCCTTTTCTGTGGCGCGTTTCCGGCGGTGACGTTGGGGCTGCTCTGTCCGTTGTATCGGTTGGGGCACAGGTGGTTGTTGCAATTGCGTCTGTTCTGTCCTTCTCTATTGAAGCTGACATCGCGTCAATTCTCGGGGTTGTATTGGTGGATTCGTTGGGCGCAATCGGTCCACTGCATGTTCATGCGGAGGAGTACCTAGTCCAGGTGGAAGTTGCGTAGAGTCGCTGAATAGTCGGAATCGGAATTAGCGTCAGGGGACTCGTATCTGTTTCAAATGATGCAACAGTGAGATTTGTATAGTTCCCTGACCCCAACGAGTAGATGTAGGTGTCGGCAGTGTTCGGCGAAGTCCGGGTCCAAAAGACTCTGAATGTTACGAAGATTCTCAGCCTGTTTGCGAATTCGAGCAGCAAAGTAACTGGATCCGTGGTGTTCTTCTCAGTCGTAGCTGATGGGGATGGGGGGAAGGGGTGGGCTAACGAGCCGATGGAGGTTGTGAAGGGTGTTGATGACCAGCTGAACTTTTTTGATGAGAACCTGGATGTGTGCTTGCTCGGAGATCGGGGTGAGAGTCGGGTGGTGGTTGGTAATGTCGTACAATGCACTTGTGTTGTCCCAAATCCTCATAAGGAGGGAGAGGATGTCTAGCGGTTTGGGGCTCGGGGGATTGTCTGCCGATGATTCTTGCTTGGTGTTGATGAGCGATGGTAGTTCATCGTCCGCGTCGTACCCGTCGTCATGGAGTACCCAATGCTCGAGTTCGTCAAGGATAGTAAATTTGAGGCTTGCCTGGTTTGGTGCCCAAGAGCCGATGCTCAGGCGATATTCATTCCAAACTGGGCTGTGAAGGACGGCTCATGCGTGAGTCCTTCCGATCCGGTCAAGCGTCTGTCATAGTTTTCTCGTGCCACGTGACCTGGGGGTCATGTGTACTGGGACAGACGCTCGCCTTGACCGCGGACAACTCGTATCAGAAAGTGGAGGGGCCAGGATTGAACCCCAGACCTCGTGACGGTCAGGAGCGCCCATCCTCACTCACAGGCAGGTGACTGATGTGACAGCAGGAGCGCTTACTCATTGGGAGGGGTCCGGACTCGGCACGACTCAGGTATTAGTTGTAAGGTCACCATGAGGCAGGTCAGAGGGTAGGACATGAGGCAGAGAACTCTGACCAAACGATGGTCAATAGGTACCTGGTCTGTGCACCATTGTATTAGTATATAGTAGGGAGTCTAAGGCAGGGAACCTCAGACTTGATCTTCTCATCGATTCCCCATCTCCTCTGTAGGTAGCTAGCAGCCCTACCTCCCTCACTACCCCTTCTAGTCTAGGGAATAAATCTCTTCACATCTCTTGCTATGTCACCTCTGGTTGCTTTGCTTCTCAGCACCAACCTCTGCATCAGTAAGCTTTTCCCTTGTTTGTTTTGGTGGCACAGCTCGTTGGCTGTGACAGCGTCCATTGACGGATGAGTTCGATAGCTGCCTGTCTCTGAGGCATTGGTGCTACTGGTCGATCGAGGAGTAATCCTTCCTGGTAGGTCGCACGTCTGTGTGCTTCCTCGAGCTGCCAAATGGAATGTTCGGTGTCCGCTGGTGTGGCTTGGCGTTGTACTAGGTTGTATGCTCGATGTTCCTCGGGGGTGCGGTTGTGGTTGTAGACAACTGCCTCATCGTCCACGTAACTGACTGTAGTATGGTCACGGTCGTGCGTTCATCGAAGTCGGTCTGCAAGTTGACGAATAGGATGCGCCACGATGAGTCCTATTCAGGGTGTGGTAGAAGAACTTCTGTTCTGATGTTACACTGAAGTACTAACACAAGTCTATCCAGACTTATCACGCGGACTTATCCAAGTACGCGGTGTAGCACACGGGGGAAGAGAGTATCGCACAAGTGCTTGAGGAATATGGGGATACAGGAGGTAACGAAGAGGAGAACAGAAGTGGGGAGCCTCTACCGACTACAGGCCTCCTTATATACTATGGGGTACCGTCCATATTAGGAAGGAAAGGGAACTGACCAAAGTGGGGAGGTACGAGGAGACTGTAAAGGAACGCCTTTGGTCGACGCTGGGCCCGGTATAGTACACGACCTAGGTCAGGGTCCTGTGATATAACTGAAAGGGGATAGAGGCGGGGCAGGGTCCCGAGTCTAGGTCAGGGTCAGGTAATGTAACCGAAAAGGGAAAGGGGCGTGACAAGGGTCGGGGTCTGGGTCAGGGTAAAGTAATGTAACCGAAAAGGGAAAGGTCAGGGTCGGACTCAGGGTCCGGTCATATAGACGAAAGGGGAAGTATTAAGGGAGAGGGCCGTAACTAGGAACATAGTCATCAGGGGGCGGAATGGGGGGTGGTAGTGTACAGGCGGACGACGGAGGAACAGGGAGGCAAGCATAGGTTGCCAGGGACAGGAAAGGGGGTGGAGTGTACACATGGGCGACGAGAAGGAGTAGTCCAATAACAAAAGATAGGGGGTGGGGCGTACCAACGGTAACAGCTGTGAAGACAAAGATTAGATCTGACTAGAGTCGAAGCAAGATCTTCAGTCAGTAAGGAAAGACTATATTGCTATATTGTAGTAACCAACTGTACCTAGAGTCGAAGCAAGACTACAAAGGTCAAGTAAGTAACTACAAGTTAGAGATAGATGTAACGAAGTACTCACTCTTCAGTCAGTAAGGAAAGACTGAAAAGGGAGGATGCAATCTGAAGTCCTTATATACTACAGAGAAGTGTCCATGACTAATCGAAGAGGGGTCAGTCACATGTACCACAGTGCGATGAATAACACGATGGGGAAAGAATTGCGATGTATCGCACCATAGGATGAGTAAGAGATGAGTAAGGCATAGACCTGTCTAGACCGTTCTGGAGTAGTACGGATTGTCCTAGACAGTACCAGAAGTGTCAGGAAGCATAGCTATAGTACACGAGCAGAGAGTCCCAAATATGGTAACATACTACATAAGCAACCACAGCTAAGTGCTAGGAGACGCATAGCCTCACATAGTCCGGACCGGATAAGTCTAAGTTCAACATCTAAGTAGACAGTACTATATTTACGGCCTACCATGAGGCTCAGTCTTGCAGGGCAATAAACGGGATCTAGAAGAAGAAGAAGAAGAAGTCTCCAAAAGACCACAGAGGCCTTGCTTGTAATCGTAGAGGCCGAGATTGAATTCTGTGAGACGGTCCTCGAGATGATCATCTCAACTTGGTGTACCGATGGTGGTGGAGACTGTGCAAAATGTGATGGCTTCTATTGAAGAAGTAACCACATCTGGCAGGCCCCCATTGTCGGGCACACCAGGTGAGTTTGTGCAAATATTAGATTAGTCCAAGCCTACTCACCTAAACATCAGAAAGGCACAGCTCATCCTAGGAGACTACTTGAAGTCTTAGACACCGTCTGTTGCTGTTGTCGAACTTATGCTTGATGCAATTAAGTGGTTCAACAACCACTCCCGTGCGCTCAGTCTGTTAAATGATAGTCAGCGGGCCCAGTACAATGGTCATGTTCTCACACTACTCCACCCCTGCAATACGTGATGGACCGCACACATCTTCTGTGTATGTCACTTTCTAGAAATCAAGCAGGCTATTCGCATTTGCATCCTCACCTCCAAAAAGGAGCTTATGGCCTGCACAGGCAAGGAAACAGCTCAGAAGGATGCCTCACAAGCTTTACTCGACAAGATTGAACAACCCACCTTCTGGACATCACTTGCTGAGTATGACATCAATACATCTATGTCTACATCAGCATGATTGACACAATATCACAATTTAGAGCACATACTCACCTGGAGCCTCTTGTGATAACCACAAATGCCACCCAGGGTGACCATGCTCATCTCGATGTTGTCCTGATCACACTTGGTAACCTCTTCTACACATACTGTGACACAATCAAATATAGCTTCAAGGTGTGATCCATTATGCACAAGAGTTTTAAGGTGCACTGGAAGAAGACAGGTCATGAGCATGAACTCTATGTACTGGCAATCATCCTCAACCCAATGCTTTGACTGGCTCCATTTTGCAAGAACAATCCACTCCTTATCCAGCAGAACCTGTGGTCCATGTTCAAGTGCAACTACGAACACATGGAACAGCGCCCCGTCGATAAGAAACTTAAGGTGGCATTTATGGAGTATCTCAATGCCGTCGGTGAGTGGTATAATAACAGCATGGGTGTGACAGAAATATTGGAATTTGCGGAGCATGATGTACATCGCCCAGTTATCTCCAATGCTATGACAATCTATATGCATGAATGTACAGGGAAAGACTATCAATCTCATAGAGCTATAGCGCGCTCTCGATACAGGGGACATCAGCAGATGCAATAGGCTCATCAAGTTTGCACTCCGGTTGTTCTTGATTGTGCCAAACTCCGCTATGATAGAGCGAGTCTTTAGCAGGTTTGGGACTGTACACACTAAACTCCGGAACCGTCTGCACCCAGAGAAGGTCAGAAAGGTTGTGCTTGTCAAGGCCAACATCGACTGTGTCTACGGCACTAGTTGCCATTAACAGCGCCACCACTTTGGCATAGATAAAGACGCCAACTCCGATAACGACTCCACCCCACTCGCTATGGTTGAGCACTCAGCTCTAGGTGCAACTCTCTCTTCTACAGAGGTTCAAGTGGACATCTCGCAATCCTTCACTTCATTCACTGCCAAGCTTGTTGAAGCTGCAGGCGGTGACACACAGGAACCCATCAACAGCAATGCGGAGGAGGAGGAAGCAGTGGTACTCACCTTGGGTCCTGAGTCTGCAAGTTATATCCCTCCACCTGCAGCAACAATTCCTTGTGCCGAAGGACTGTGCTTGAGGAACTTATTTAAGTTCCCAGAGGCGCCTATTCTTCCGACCTCTGGTAACCCTCTTGCAGCCTTCTAGGTCCAATCCAAGAGGAATCTTGAAGCAGAATTAGCAGCCTATGACAGGGAAGCTGCAGTTTTTCACCAGCGAGGTGAGTCCAAGGAGGGAGAGGGAGAGTTGTTTTGAGGTTTTGTGTGGCTTGCTTCTACCGCTGATACCATTGTCATTCATTCCCACCCCTATTGTCCCTCTCTCACGCTATGTCACATCTTTCCGCTCACAATCCTTTCAATAGACACTCAGTTAATACCTAATTGTATCCTTCTACATGTATATCTATGGCCGCAGATGTTCAGTAGTAGCTGGCACAACCACTGCGACCATCTAAGCACCTGAAACCCCTGATCACGCGTTAACTTTTGACGCAGAGTCATGACTGGTCAACCCGGTCATGACTCAGGTCTTAACAACACTGTGAGAAAGAGGTCAAGGGATGAAAGATGCACAACAAAGAGAGAGGGGACAGAGTGAAAGCACAAAGGGAGCGGTATGCCACAGCAAAAAAGGCATGGGAGGTTGAAAAGAAGCTAGCGAAGCAGCAGTGGTGCAAGATCAGTTGGGGAAAACCAAAGCTTGGACAGATAGAGCAACAGCCGCGTCTGCCAAAGCTATGAGTACCAAAGGAGGATGATGTGGTGGAGCCCGAGGAAGAGGATGGAGAAGGAGGATGAAGGAGCGGGGGGCAGGATACTGATTAGATTGATAACATGTATAATGGCACAGCTTGGCTGCATTTGGTTGGATAACGAGTTTTCAACAGATCGCGCACAATCTCGTTCATTTTGTGCCACTGTACACTCAGGAATGCGTCCCTAATGCGCTCCAAGTGCTAAGAAAACATCCTGTAATGTTTCTAAGGCTAGAGCAGTGCATGGATAACGTCTTTACAGGCTTTGCAAGAATTCATTGTCCCGAGGACCCGTGTATGACTGTATACGTCCCACGCCTGTCGGTGTCCTGATGGCTGCTTATCAGTAGCACAATTTAAGCGGGGGACCAGCGTCGCTTCCGGCGGCTGACCGGTCAGTCAAGGCTTGACTGGTCATGGTGGTGAGACTGGTCAGACCGGTGGTAAGCATCCATCTTGAGGGCGCAGACGATCGGAACGGACTCTGAAGGAACCAAAACTCGGGTGTTGCTGTCGGGCGGCTGTGGTGGGGTTTGGACCGGCCGCCTTCGGCATCGTGACGATCTCTAGGCGCCTCTCTCTCGTTTCTAGGGCACTGTGTGATTCTCCGATCCTCAATGCGGACCTCTACCTTTTCCCCACACGTCAGGGATATGCACTCACAAGTGCAGCTGAGATCTACAAAGCCTTGGAACTAGATAGGCACCAGAGGATGGTCATAGTAAGTTTTTCATTTCAGGGTCGTCGCCCGCGGGTCGCACTACATAGTAGCCGCAAATGGCGCAGAGACGGTAAAAATAGACATGCGCGCTTAGTACTATTTTTGTCCGAGTGGTTGGCTGAACGCTTGGATCAGGATACCGCACAACGCTGTCCACCCTCATCGACTCGCTCCCCAAAAGCCAGCCCCGATGTGTGCACACGCATCCACTCCTTCGCAGTCATGCCAATCTCTATACTTCTCCGTCCTTCGCGTGAAAGCTGGACCGAAGGTTCGGACGTGATTTCACCACTCCCTCCTCCGATGAGGCGGCAGCGCAGCATTTAATCGCTCTAAGCACCGCGCGCAGTCCAGCGACCTGCATGTTCGGTCATCAAAGCCCTGATCTAAGATCAATCGGCGTCTTCCTAGTTCATTCATATTCCTATCACACGAGCAGTACTCCTCTCCCCAATGTATACACTCGTCCATGTCTTCCGCCAGCTACATCGCGCTGACGCAGATTCCCCCCTCTGAGCTCCCTTGGCCTCCGAAACCCTCCCTGCGTCCCTCTTTTGCATTGTACTTTTCGCGCCGTCGCGCCGTGCTCGCGCTCATAGCCGCCACATCTGTTGTTACCCTTGTACTCTTTCTCAAAGTCTCTAGCTCTCACGAAGATGATTTAGACGATGTTGGTACCCCCATTACCCCTCGCTACCAACCATCCTATATTGCAATTCCAGTCCCAAATTCCCTCCCGCCTTCTTCCCATCCCAAGCTCCGCCCCGTTCGTGATCTTCCAAGTCATTGCCTCGATCAGTACTACTCGTCGGGGGGCGTTTGCCATGACGGCCTGGGCCCACTGCCATTAGACGTTATATGGACTTGGGTTAACGGTTCAGACCCTCTCTTCAGGGATGCGAGAGAGCACGCTACCAAATCCTACGACAATACCGATCCTTACAGGCCGATCAAATCTAATAACCCTTCCCGCATGTTCCGGTATGTGAACTTGCTTATTGCTCATGCACGACGTGCCTTATATCTCACTGCAGCGATTACGATGAGCTTCGACATTCACTCCGCTCCGTTCTCGCCAATTTTCGTCCGTATGTTCGGCATTTCCGTATCCTAACCTCCGACTTCGACTATCCCTCAGACGATCCAGAGACGTCCATCCAGTCTTTTCCTGATCCAGGCCCTGGGTACTGGAGGCTAGGCTTGCAGCCCCAATGGCTTGACGATGTTGACCAGACCACTCCGGAGTGGCGAGACGGCAATATCCAGCTTTCCCTCACCCACCATGCGCATTTCTTTGAGCCATACAATCGCACAATATTCAACAGGTTCGTCGACGTCGACTGGGACTCGCCTTGTGTCTGGCCATTGCTGAACGCTGTTTTAGCTACGCCATTGAGTCGCAATTCAGCCATCTGCAGAATGTCTCCGAAGTTTTGTGGGTCATAGTGCTCTATCGGTTGCGTTCGTCGTGCTGACCGAAGGTGTTCCCATAACAGCCTTTACATGGTATGTAAGCCACCTCATGGTTGTCGCCGCCGGTTTCAACTGCTATTCTCCAGAACGACGACTTCTACATGACAAGTCCTCTCACCCCTGTTGCGTTCTACACGCATCGTGAGTTCGTTCGCGGCTGTTTGGGCAGGTACTGATGTTCCCGCCAGAGTATGGTCTGGTTTTTCGCATCCAGGGAGATCTGACAGTGTCTCCGGATTGGCCAAACGCTAAGACCAAAGGCGAATGGCGAAGCATGGGCGCCTCCAACTGGTTACTCAGTGCGTGTGCATCATCACGTTCCGCTTTATAGGGCGTTAAAGGAACTCACGGAACACGTCAGGCAAACGTTTTGGTCGTAGAAAGCGCCCTTACGTGCAGCACGAAGTCAAGTCCGTCTCGTTTGCCCTTCTCCAAGAGCTTGCACTGGTATGGCCAGACGCTATCGCGAAGACCAGCACGCATGCCTTCCGCGAAACGGAGGCGGGGGATGGTGATTACTACCAGATGTTTATGTTCATCCACTATGTCGTAGAACGAGCTCGGGAGGCCTTGCTCTGGACATGGGTCGTCGGTCGTGTAGGAGGAATTGACGACAGCTGGGGGGAGCACGAAGCGGAGCGAGCGTGGATCGAGATCGGTGGTACTTGGGATGGCGACGGAAGCAAGGAAATACAGGTCGAGTCGGGAACACGGGACACTCTGACCGCTAGCCGTGTTCAAGACTACCTGAAGGAAGGGGGGTTCGTAGCTGATGACTTCAAGACCGAGTACCACTTCTGTGAGCTAGTCCTCGATGTGTCGGATTCGTCATTCTGACCACGTATACACCAGCCTCGTTAGACGGGTTCGCGTACAACGAGTATGGTCGACGAGGTGTCGGCGGCTGGCCCGGCTTCGACCCAGAAAAATATGACAAGAAGGATCGCAAGGAACCTGCTCGCAAGTGCATCATCCGGCGTGATGAATGTTTTGGTGGCGGCGATCCCGGGAAGCCTCTCACTGCTAGTGCTGTGTTCCAAAACATCGCTTTCGAAAAGACGCACTGTGGGGACTGCGGTAAGATTTCGCTTCATCTCATTGATATCTCCATGTTCATCTTTTTATGTTAGTGATTGTTGCGCTGATCAACGCTAGCGGTCGGCTCGGGCTCTCGGCGGTGCTTCCGCACCCAGACCGGCATTCACCTCCCTCCGATACAGAGCCATCTGCGGACGGATCGTATACGTTACCTCATTTACCTCTCGTGGCTGATTGGCACGAAGGACAATTTGCCCTTCGCGATGTAATGAAGTATGCGCCCGACACCAGCATCCGGCAGTGGTCCGAGCGGATAATGCAGCGTTATCGATACGTCATCGGTGAGTCTGTCCTTTGCTTTGCATTAGCTCTGCCCTGTCGTACCTAGTCCATGGACTCGACCAATGTCATGCTGACGTCCTGTATGTTAGGTGGAACGCCTTCCGCGTTTGAGCGACTAATCAGCCTACAGCAAGTCAAGGGTATGCTTGCTTCCGTCGACCGGAAGAAGGATATCGCGCTATTGTGTATCAATGATGACGTGACACGAGAGAATTCGGAAATTGCCAACTATTTCATAAGATGGCAATCTCGCCGATGGAACCGCACTGCTGCTTGGGAGGCAGACGCGGGGTCCCCAGTGGAATTTAGATAGTCGTTCTCTAACGACGCTTCAGCGTACGTTGTGCTCTCGCCTTGCTGTGTAATTGCTCCTCGCTGTATCATTATAATGTCTCGTTCCCTGTAATCTGATACCCAGTCTTGATTTGAGTGTTCCGAGCTAGCCTGTCTGGCGTGAACCCAATTCAACCATATGCGAATGGACGTCGGTCGTGAACGCGCCGAACTCCATAGCATTCAAGGGCCTGTGCCCTTCCTATTTTGTGTACTAATAGTCTTCGCTCTATCTACATGAGGCAGGCGGCTTGTGTCTCCGTTGTATCCTGTGCTCGAAGGGCTCAAGAGACAACCCCTCGACAAATCGAATCTCATGAAACCAGCGCTAGGATTGCCCGAAGTAAAGCCATCTATCAAAGCCGCGCTCTGGACTTGTGTGCTTGTGTGGGAGCTCCTCTCACAGCTAACCCCCTAACGGGTGCAACAACGTGCGTAGCAGAGACGATCAAGGTGCCCTTCTCCTTGTCATAAACCTGTGTCCGACATCAGGGCAGTCGGCGATAGGGCCAGATACTAGACGCACCTCGCATCTTGCAGTAGCGACCTTTGCTTTACAGGACAGAGACGTTCCGACGAATCTCAAGGTCGAGCCACTGTCGTCAACAGGTTCAGGATGGCAGCGCTCGTAGAACGGGAAAGCTACTCACAGGACGGCGGGCGCATGCCAAACTAGATTCATGGATATGGAGAATCCGGAAGGATCTGAGCCAGTGACAGTTGCCAACGCAAATAGCGGCGAGAATGTTGCGCTTGCAAAAATGTGATACGCTGTAGACATGGAGCAGAGAGAACCCTTACATGTCGATTATATGCGCTGCACAAGCACCGGCGAAAGTTCCATGCACATTTAGCATACCTTGCGGTGCATGCGTTTATCAGTGTTGAGCATCTGCTTGCGGAACACGATGGGATGTCAACTCACTTTGGTCCACGACCAACTCACATACTGTCGTGGCCTCCAAGTCGTCCAGACTCTCATCCCCATTAAGGACTCCGTTTCGGTTCCTTACAGATGCCTCGACGAGTTTCAGACCTTTGCCCTGCTCGTTCCCGAAGACTCTGCTGCCGGGATGGCTTGCAACATGGTAAGCAAGGATATTCTGTAGCAAACGGACGCTATCTTGCGTCAAGTTTGTATTCACTATCGATGTGTCATCATTGGGTGGTGGTGCTCTGGAAAACGATTGAAGGCGTCGTAATTTCTCCGCAGCAGGCATAGGCGATCAACTGACAAATCCCGTGATGAATGTGGTAGGCTAGAAGCTAAAAGCCATGTCTAGGCGTTAATAGAGCATTGCTGACTACGGTACCACTGTCTACCAGGCGAACTGCTCGTACTCACAGCTGCAACGAGATTGACCAGTATGTCCTCGTAAAAGGATCCCTGGACAAAGCACGGTACGCTCGTGTGTTGAGGACTGTGATGGTGGGGTTGCTGCGTCGAAATGAACGTCCGCACTCTAGGCGCAGCCGCGTGCCAATAGCCGTGGTTTATGAGCCTGGGAACTCGGCCGTGAGTCTCCCGGGGCGTGGAAGCTGACCGCTCAGGCTGATTATCAGTAGCGTCCCTTCAACTGGTGCGATGCGTTGCTGGATGGCTGAGAGCAGTGTGGTAGCAAGTCAACCGTCTAAAGCGATAGTATGAGACCCAGCCTCATGCACCTGACTGACATGCCGGCGTTCGAGCTTGACGGATATATCAGGGTCACAGCGCCCTTGTTGCAACAAGGCCGTGTCGATCGTATCGGGAGATAGAGTTGCAATTCAAACTGCCTTATGCATCTCTGTTGGTGGCCGGAGGCAATGTCCAACCATAGTACAACTGAGGTGACGCTGGAACTCTATACAAAATGGCGCGATACCGTTCACAATTACTGACGGAGGTTGATTGGGGCTACCTCAATATCCATCCTTGCCGGGAACTACACCATACGCAGGGCCTCCCCTCCTGAACATGCTTCGTAAGTCCCCGACTAGGGCCTCCGGCTGCTCGAAAGCCGCGAAATGTCCACCTCGATCATGTCTCGACTGGTGCACTACCTTTCCAATCGTGTGCGCCCACCTGCACGCATTCAAACTGCATTAGCGATGATCGGCGAGATGGTACGGATTTGACGTACTGTTCGGGTAAGCGGATGGGTTCCCTCGGGAAATGCGAGACACCCAGCGGGACAGACGTCCACTTCGTGCCCACAAACATGTCGGTAGTGTTCCCATGCGTGAGCTCGTAGTAGATGCGAGTGCATGCTGCGGGCCCGGCTCGGGAGAACCAGTAGACGGAGATCCACTCAAGAACTACGATAGGCCAGTGATCGTCATCAATACATCAAATGAAAGGCGACTGTAACCGACCTTCGTCGTCTGTCCACGGGTAACTGTCCGACGCCTTCACTAGTTTCTCGTAAATCCATGCCAAGAGACCGACCGGAGAATCAGAGAGGCTGTAGGCCAACGTCTGCGGCTTAGTAGCTTGGAGGGTGAAGTAGCCAAACTCAGTCTTCCTGATCTGAAGCGCGGCACTGATGATGTCGCGGATGTACTTGTTGATTGGCATTGTAAGCATTTCGAGGTAGAGCAGGGGGTGGGAGGAGAACGTCGGGACACGATACCTACAGATAGCTCAGAACCCACTAATCTAGATGGTGGAGGAGACAACATACACCGGCATGTTCGAATGCCAAGCTTTAATGTGCTTGTGACCAAACTTGTTCACAGCGTACACACCGAGCTACAATATCGTAGTCAGAGTACGAACTTTAGGAGGATCGCCACGTATACTCACAGTGTGACCAAAATCTCCACCTTGGTAAACTGAGAGTAGAAAGATGGGTGTCAGAAACGGACAGCCATACTGAAATACGGTGGTCCCTACCATATTCTTGGTAACCAAGTGACGACATCAACTTATTCAAGACCTGAGGGGTACTGGGTTATCCGCATGATCGAAAGTCGCGTCGCCGAGACGTACTTCAGCGTACTGGTAGCCGGCAAAGCCAGGTTTGCGAGGAGCCTCAGAGAAGGCGAATCCGGGTAAGCTGGGTGCAACGACGTGGAAACTGGGATGATCCGGAGAGGATGCAGTCAAGAGAGGTAGCAGCTTGAGGACCTCAAGAAAACTGCCAGGCCCTGATAGAAGTTGGTCAGAGCAGCATGCCGAGCTAAATTGAAGAAGAGACTTACAGCCATGGACGAACAAAAGCGGAATGGCATTGGGAACCTCGCTTCGTTGGTGAATGAAGTGTATATTGAGGGAGCTGAAGCCCTCGACTTCTATGTCCTGAGTGAACATGGGGAGGTTGTTGAGTTTGGCCTCGAACTTGCGCCAGTCGAATCGATCCTTCCAGTGCTCGGCGAGCCGCTTGACATCCGCTAACGGGACACCGTAGTCCCAGCCGGCTCCATCAAGCTCGTCAGGGAAGCGAGCAAGTTCGAGTTTACGGTGGAGGAGATGTAGATCTGCATCTGGAACGGCAAGGGTAAAAGGCTTTGCGGAGGACATTCTGACAGTGCGTCGAGTGGGGTCGAGGGACACCGGGTCGAATTTAAGTAGGCCGCTCCTCCAAGCGATGCTACGCGTATGTCGTATGTTCTCTGATGGAGGCTTGATTGATCAAAGACGTGAATGCGATCGCCATCCGCCAAGCGTACAAGTAATGATTGGATTGAGACCGAAGGAAGTACTGAGAGGAGGACCCTGCAGCCGGCCACTCTCACCGCGCACTGTTTATCTCTGTTTGGCTAACACTCATCGGCGCCTGCGTACGACCGAGAAGCGCCAAGCGCCTGGTTGGCGAGTTGGCAAAACGCCGTCGGGCTCGTCGCTCTCTGCCACGATGTCCAGCGTCCTTGCCGGCCTCCAGCGTGTTCTGCACCCGACCTTGCCTGTTCGCATCGTGTTTCAGAGAACATGGCAGGTCCGTGCTATTCACGCGACACCAGCTGGTGAGTCGTTCCTTCTTACCTGTGTATCCTGACCTATCCTTGAACGCGCCTTGCCAGCCCTGAAAAAGAAACAGCAATCCTCTGAATCCGTGTCCGACGCGGAGGACCTCTTCGGACAATCAGCAGAACACTCTGACTCACTCTTCTCCGACCATGAGCCTACTTCCACAAAACGACCCGCGCCCCAAGCTAGCCAGCTTTCCCAAGACATTCCTCCTCACAACCCCTCCGTACCTGCTTCTCGACAGTACGACCGAAATGCACGCTTCGAGGAGCTGTACCAATTTGCCCGCGCTTGCTTAGTGACCAAGGCTGAGACCAAGCGTCAAGTGCGCTCCTCAATATGGAATCACCTCTTCCAGCTCGCATCCACGCCAGAGCAGCTGGACCGAGTCGCGGAGATGTTCCCCAAGTGGAGGGATGCGCACCGGACTTTCAGGCCCAGCACCGTGGTTGTGTTTGCCGGTGAGTCCTCCCTTGCCTTCACATCGTAGTTTCTATGCGATTCCCGTCGCTGCTGTCAGTGGTCGTTGGATGCGTTACTCAATGCTTCACGTTTTGGTCCATCGTTCTCACGACTGGTTTTCAGCACGCTGCCATGCACTCCGATGTCCTGGGCTGGCCCTCAAGGTCTTTGGTAACCACCCCAAATACGGTGTAGACCTCAACCTGGATGCAGCTCAGCTCGTTCTCCACTCTATGCATCGCTGGAGACGTCACCAAGATATCATCACGTTCGCCACTCTCTTCAGCATTTACGGCCTTCCCCCCGTCTCTAGCGATCTCCTCTCCAACGCTCTGCTCTTAAAGGCCCTATTGGGTAAGCCCACGGATGAGTCGACTGCAGTGGCGAATGCGATGGTGCCGTCTTTGCAGCGGTTGTTGGAGAAGACGGACCCGCAGACCATGATCGTCGAGCCGAGAGATCGTCGATTGTCAAATTCCAAGAAGACGTGGCTTGCATTCGCACTCAAGAGGATCGAGAATGTGCTCCAATCGCAGGGCATCGAGCATGGGTGGCTCGCCCGGTGGATGGATGTGACCGGCTACCATACAATTACAGCTTCGGCCTAATACCATGTAGATCGTACACTTGCTCTTCGGTAATGCAATCATTGCAGTCTTCATGAAGATGAGCAGCATAAATATAATGGAGCCTCGATGCATACGGCATAGCAACGTCGTGGTATGTTGGGATCCACCTCCACGATAACGGCTGGCTGATGATACTCCCTAGTGTGCGCTCGTCAATTGCAGAGCCCAGGCACCGACAGCGGTGTTACGTTGCCATCGGACGTCCTATAGACGCTTTAGAAGCATTGGTCACTCTCACCCGGACGATACAGCGTCCACTCCGGCTCACGCTTGCGGCTCACCCACGTACTTCCGACCCAGGACTTCTACATCATGCCCTCTACGGTTCACAGGGTACAGACCTCCGACGGTACCCAGCTGTCAAAGCACCAGTCACGTACTGCACAAAACAGATCGGCTGGGGGCTTGTGACTCTGCTAGGCCGATCGCACGCTAACGTCCCGACTGCCAATTGCGACCTGTATCAGTTCCTTTGACTTTGCCATTATTGGCCAGGGTCCGACTACGCATATAGCAAACGACGGTCGCTCAGGCGCAAGCCAGGTCCTACACCAATCTGTCCCCTCTCCCTGGCTAGTGTAAATCTTCCCGTTCAATCTCCTCGATAATGTCTGATAGGCCGACTTCGTTGGAAGAGTCATTCACTCTACGCATCGAAGACGCGGACCTAAACCTTCTCTGGCAAAACCTTGAGCTATCCCGCCTCCCGGACGAGGTTTGAAGCCGAGATCGACAAGCTGCCCATGTTAATACGCGCTATCGACGTCGAGGGCTTCGGCGTTCTCAGCATACGATACGTGTATCAGCGTAGCGAGGCTGTGGACGCTATACATCTGCTCTTCCTTCATGACTGTGAGTTTCTTTCGACGAATTTAGATCAGGCTACAAGTAAATCAGTAGAGCGCTGATTGCTTCCTCATCAGGGCCTAAGCTTTCCTAGAATCGCGGAAGCTCCTACCTCTTCTGACGGCGAGTCAGAGCGCAGAGCGCAGAGCGAATTAGATCACCCTCGGATTCACGTCGTGGCGATCAGTTTGCCTGGCTAAGGCTTCTCCGAGGCACCTAGTCGACGAATATTTGCGGGAGCTCAGTATGCAGATGTAGGTTATTGCACCGTGCCAGTGGTTTCCCGCAAGAATGTTGAGCTGATCATGCGATTCACTAGGTTTGCAACAAACTGATGCTTTCATTAGGCCACGAACAATGCGGTCAGTAAATGCAGACGACCGCGGACCGTTTCTCCTTCACGTTGTCAGATGTTTTGCTGACCCTCGATGCAGTGTACGAGGGCGGAGATTGGGATCATGTTGTATATACGCGTGTTTCTCTCGGATAGATGTTTCTGCTGACATCGTGCTGCAAGATTGGCTTGCATACAGTGTGAGTCGAGATTCACCGGTGGAGAGTTACGAAAAATTGGTTGGCTGGGGCAGTAATTTACTGGCTCTGACGGCTATTTGCTACATGGACCGCTTGTGTAGAGCCATATCACGTACGCTCATCTAGGAATGTATGTTCGCCATAGAAGAGGTTAATGATGGCACACTTCCTTGGATGCACGGGGTCACGCGGCTGTGGCTGTTGTTGACGCGTTGTTTGTCGGGCGCCTATGGGGGGGGGGGTTGGTCTGTGGCGGGCGGTGGCTGGCAGCGAGCCACGACCTGCTCCCGACGACGACGCTACCATTCCCCACATATCTTTAGCTGCTTCCCACCACCCGCCGACCATCTCCAGTCCTGCCTCTACGCTCTTCCACAGACTTCCAACGCTCCAAGTCCTCGTTCGGACACTCGGATGACTCTCCACCGGTTGCCGACTCGTCGCCTCAGCCACACGTTCCACTCTCTAACCCGGAGTGAGATCTAACCCTAAGTGATACCCCGACTCCGTCTTGCTCAACTTTTGCTCCGGGATGTACGCGCTATGGGGGAGACATCTGGTCGAGCAATGCCAGCACATAGCATGACCTGTTAGGCCGCAAGGTGCGCATCATTACGTCGTCTGAATCTTGCGAGTCTGTGTCGTGTCTGTTCCGTTCGCCATGTCTCAAACCCTTGCCTGCATTGAATCTTCCCACGTGTTCACCTATCGCATCCTCGGTACGTGCGACGCGTCCGAGCTGCAGTTGGCATATCGCTCCGGAGAACACACAGGTCCCCGCTAGCGTCGCTCCCGGTTCCTGCCTTTATTGTCACCCATGCTTGTGTTCCTGCCACACTCAGAGCACCGCCATGCGAGTACTCCGCGGAAGGGCTTGGCGCAGTAGAGAGGGAGAGCGACGTCGGCACGCGCGGGATCCCTTCGAGCAAGTGCTAGCTTCGGTCGCGGCCACTAGGGAAGCGTCGCGGAATCTATTCTTGGGACACGTCCGGAGGACGAGCGGGTCGCGCACATTGGACTGGCATGTTCCCCGGACAGTCATCGACAGGTTGGCTACGAACAGACCTTGCCAGGTCAACCCGCCTTCCATTGCTCCCCTCCTTGATTCTACGACTAGTGCCTCCTTCTCTGCATAGCAATATCGTGCATACCTCACGGCGTGTACTCTCACTCTGCGGAGTAGCCGAGCATCCGCACAGAGCTTGACGGGTCCAGAGTCCCCGACTCACTCGCGGGGTACGTCTCCCAGGCCGTAGGGCTTGATTCACGGAGGCGTTCCTCAATCCCGGCGATCTTTGTGCCCTCTTTGGCTCGCCGCAGGAGGTCCCGCGCGGCGCGTTGTCTGTTCTCGAGACACCCGCCTCGCGGGGCAGGTCCCTGGAAGTGCTGGTACGCGCAGCAAAAGGGGTATGGCTTCGCGGCGCAGATGCGCCGGATAATGGAGTGTTCGTCTCTTGTCCGGACAAATGAGAGTAAACAGGAAGACGTGGAGAATAGATTGAGAGACCGGTTGGCTTGGGTAGCCGCAGGGTGCCCAGGTATGCAGGCGGCAGCGTCTGAGGGGCAGATACGCCCATCTCGCGGCCTGGAAGCGAAGCACAGGGAGGAGCGGGTGTGCGGCAGCGGGCCTCGCGCCTGTTGTACGTATAGCTCCTCCACGCTCACTCATTCGCCCCCAACTCCTGCCCTTTCACTACAGAAAGGCGGGCTCCTTCATCCGTCGCGCACAATCCCTGCTTCCACCACATCCAGATGAATCGACTGCTCGGACCTTGTCTCGCGGCTACGCGCTCTGCGCAGACACGTATGAGCACCCAGCCTGGGCCCCTGGACCGTCAGGCAGAGTACAGAGCGACCCTCGTTATTCAGCTACGACAGCGAAGACCTGATCATTGCGGGCGCAATCGTTGGTTCTTTTGCCGTCCTTCCGTTACTTGCTTAGCAAGAGACACCCCTTCGCTCAGGCATGACAATATCCCTCCTCTAATGACCCAGCGGCGTGGTACCGCTCTCTCTGTTCTCTCCCTCGTTGTGACGACACGCGAAGGACCTGCGTGGCGGCGTCCAGACTCGGTCCTCCACCTGACGAAGTTGCGACTCCCTCGGGATGTCCCAACAGAGACTCGTTCTCGATGTCGTAGGTCGGAAACACGTTGGTCTCAGCCCTCGTGTAGGACAATGCAGTCGGTCGTCGTGCAGCATCTGGGGGCGTTTCTGTGCACCTCGAGAGCGAGGCAGCAGACGAGGGTGACGTGTAGCGCTGCTGGCGAGGGGCTGTGACGCGTCGTGTTCTGTGTTTGTCGCTGGGGCTGGCAAGTACCACACACGGGAAGGTGGCGAGAGCTGGTGAATGTGCTGTGCATCCAGCGAGCTGAGCTCTGAGCGCGGTCCTTCGTGGGCATGCGGGAGGAATCGTTTCTAGATTTTGTTGGCGAGTGACCATGCTCAGGCAATGCGTGTCTCCGGGGCACAATTTGTAGTCATCTGCCCCTTGTGGGTGCGAGCAGGTGACGGATAGTAGGGTGTGGTGGCGGAAACCTCTGGGAAACTAGAGGTAGTACGAGGAGCAGAGGCAGGAGGATATGCGTGGTTGATTGGTTCCTGTTGAATGGGAACGATGATGGATGCGGGGGAACGCGGCTTGGCCGTCCGTGTTCGAGAGTGGATTGGCATGGGTGCTGTGCGCGGGTTGATGCTCGCAACACTTCCAGCACAATTTTTTGCTTTCCATCGCTTTCGTGGCGATTGTAAAAGACAGGTCTGGCTATGAAAAGAACATGTACTATAGTAATCCAATTACCTCTGGAGTTGACCTGTATGAGAGTGTCTAGGTCCGGCGGGCCCCGGCCAGCAGTCTTCTAACCAGCCTAGGCTAACAGTACAACGCCCTCTCGTTCATCCCACCTGTAACACGCATTTAGTCACTCTGGCTTCTTGTGAGCAGGTCAATGCATCGGGTGGGATGCAAGGATTTCGAAGGCCTGGTATGGCGATAGGTGCATGGCGAGGAACGAGCGATGTAGCATGGCACGTAGTCCCTTCTATGTGATCCTGCGATGCGCCTGAAATTTGTCCAGATTTTGACCGGCCATGCAAAATCGTTGTTGTAGTGCGAGCAAGATTTGGATCTCCGAGTCTTGCTTTCATGTGGGAAGGACAAGTACCCTGTGTTGGAACCCACAAACGCCGGAGATGCTCGGCGAGGTGAGTTCAGTCAGACCACGTCTTATTGAAACATCTGCTCATAGCTTCCCTCTGCAGACAATTGGGCATTCCAGGTCATTCGGTGAGCCCGTCGTAGCAAGCTCTCAGGTCATGTCCCGGAATGTCAAGACTCTTCCGCAAGCCCCCAGCGACGGACACGTTCCTCCTGCGAAGACAAGTCGGGGCCTGGACGACCGTCACGGGAGGTAAGCTGAGAATGCATCTAGAGATGCACGGTGGTTGCATCTGTAGCCTATCGGATGCATCCATAGTGATCACGGTGCATCCAAACTCCTGAATTACCTACACTATTGACTCACCTCCAACCTCGAATTTCAATGCATCTATACTCCTCATGGGGTCCCAATGACTCCCTGTGAGAGAAAGCATTGGCAAGTAGCTTATTGTAGGCTATATTGGTGTCATCATGTAACGGGTCGATTCTCCTCCCGCCCGCATGGGCGTCTGATTCTTTTTGTCTCGCCATCCCGTTTTGGCAGGCAATTTCGCCTGGCCTCATGCATGTTGTTCCCGACTACGTAAACTTCTACGGCGAGAGACTGAGAAGCTGTTCTGAGTGTCTGCGGTCGCCAGGCGATATGCGCCAGCTCAATTGTTCCAATGCGAAGCGCGGCGCTACATTGTCGCTGGACGGAAGTATATGTATGTGACAGGGCAGGCCAATGCACCTCCAAGGCCGGTCCCTTCCTTCACAGTCGCATGTCTCTCGATTCCCAATTCACTACTTCCCCTCGCGTTGACCACGCGTTGGCTGTTGAGCAGGCAGCGCGTTGGGTCACAGAGTTGTATCGTCATTTCGCTCAAGGCACGTTCTTCGCGATTCTAGTCTCTATCAACGCTGCTAATCACGATGCAGGTGTTGCCGCTTTGGAACATTTCACGCTCCCCGCGGACTCTTTGAGAGGCTATGATGAGGGGCTGCGTTCGCTGCTAGAGTGTGCGGGTGCCCTCGAGCAGCATCTGTGTGGGATGCGTCTCTTCCTGCCTGACGAGGTCTCGCGGTCTGTCGTCGCGATTGTGAGTGCCCTCGATTCCTACCCTGAATGACACCTGAATATATGTCCTCCTCATCTTGCACTTGACAGATCGTAACGCTTGACCACCAAGCTGCTCTGCTCGACTCCCGCGTTCCCAGTCCCTCAATCGGCGCTCGCGCCGTGATCGACGAAGAGCAACTTGATAGCATGGCGGTCTATTTGGATCGCGTTATCGAGCGCATCACTCTAGTTCATGACTGGATGATGCCCGAGAAATATGCAATGCTACAAGAAGCAGCGAAAAAAGCCTTCGCAGCGATGCACCATCGCCTCGCGAGCGGCCCCCCCTCCGGGATACGGAGCGGGAGGGTCGGCCGCAACGCGCTGCCCCTGCCTCGGATCACGGTGCCATATCCAAGATGGGATCAGTTCTCGGACTGGCCTTCTTTCAAGCTCGCAGCGTTCTTGCGGAAGTTGTCGCCAGACCTCTTTCCGGACATACCTGACTCGGCGATTGAGGCGGCGAACAACCTACACCCAATGCCCCCACCCTCGGACACCAGTCAGCCGAGCAACACCGGCCCCTCTTCGTCTACGGGGGCAGGCTCACGTCACCAAGGTGCGTCCCGCAGGCAGCGGGACGCTGATGGACCAGAGCGCCGCCACTCGTTCGCGTCCGACACTACATGCGTCGACGAGTTCACCCTAGGTTTTCCCTCCAGACCGGCCGCCAAGCCCTACCGCTCGCCGAAAGAGCCCATTCAGGCCTCGTCTTTCAAGCACACGCGCGAGCAGGGTGAAGGGGCTCCCCTGCGCGTGGGCACGAAGCGCCGCCGCTCGTCAGCGACCGCCCTTCCACACGTCGAGTCTTCGTCTCCCGCCCCCAAACGACCGCGCCGCGAGGTCCACGTGAGCAGCTACGGAACGCACGACTCAGCCGCCCTTCCAGTCGCGCTCACCGATGATGCGGGCCCTTCCACTTCGTTGCTTCTACCGTCTCGTAACGATGCGAGCTCGCCGCCCATGTCACGGGGCTCACCGTTTACCCCATCGCCCAAGCAATCCCCGCACTCGCGCTCGCCGCGCGAGTCGGAGGATTTGCCTCCCCTATCGTCGGCCACGACGAACCCTCAGCCGTCGACGCACGACCACTTCCTCAGCTTGCCAACTACCTCGCCACGCCTGCTGCTCCCCGAACCGTCTGAGAGGTGGCGCGTGGAGGACGTGGACGGCAAGTCGGTCATCGACGACCTCGCCGCCGACGTGGAAGAGGTCATTCAGGCTGTTCGGACCCCACTACCAATCCCACCGCCGCCCTCTTCGCTGTCAAACAAGGCGAAAGGCAAACGGCGATGCTTCGACAGTCTAATCCACACGTTCAAGCATGTCATCCGTAGACCTTAGACGCACTCGCGGACTATATGCCTTGACAATGCGCATTCCCTCTCCGCACACTCAATGTAGTAGTCCACGTATAATGCTGTACCCTAGTCCGAGTGACATGCTGTATACTTGTACAAATTGTAACATTAGTGTAGCATACGTACGATAGTGTCGAACTTCCTGACTTATGCCTATGTTGAGATCATCTATATGTAGTCGTCATGCTGTCTATGCAGTCACTTGCTTTCGTGCTTTCCATCATCACAGAACGTAGAAATATAAGGGGAAAACAGCCGATGCATTGGATTCTCAATATGCAGGATGCGCTGATAAAGATACACGGAAGTGTTTGTGGATGAGGTCTTCTGGAAGCGAACAATATTAAATCATTTGTGCATCAAGTGAGTACCGTCCATCCGCCAAAATTGCCTGTGTAGTCGTTGATAGTCGTTGCGAGGCATTCAGAAGTCGTCGGACATAACGTCCCTATACGCGGTCGAGCTCCGCTCATGCACTGCCTCATCATAGTCTGAATGTTCGTGGAACTCGTCTAGAGAGCATGCGTCAACACCAAAGATGATACATAGACGGAGAGCACTTGCCGCTCAGATCCTCCTCGTTCTCGCGATCCGACTCTTCCTCTTCAGGGTAGTCGTTCGTGTACCAATCTTCCGCTATAGGCGTGCTCCAGCGACATGACTACAACGGACATCCGGCGGGACGCACCATTTGAGTCCTCATCGTCTTCATCTGAGTCCTCTTCATCTGAGCTATCTTCTCCAGAGAGCCCACTGAGCTCTGGGGGTAGACCGGTGCTGAACGAAGCAGTGTGCTGTTTGCCAAGAGCACCATATGGATCAAGAGTATTGCAACGTACAGCTTAGCGATGTTTGAGCTCGAAGCAGGGTCATAGAGCTCCTTTGCAGTGGTCGGACGGTGGTAGAACACGTCGTAGACGTAGTCCTCGTCCATGCCATCCCCTTTGACCGGCATTCCGGGGGCTGGAGGCGTCAGTTCGCTTACTAGGACAATGGCAGGGCAGATCAGCGAAGGCCTATATCAGCCTTTGTTGATCATACACGCACCGTTGAGATAGTCCTTCAATAATGGCAAGAACTTGTCGATCTCTACGTCCACCTCACTAGGGGCACCTGCTTGCTTGCCAGTGGACGTAGATGGGACTGCATCGTACATCTTGACCTGTGCAGCGCGCTTCGCTGCATCGAGCTCCTTGGACGACCATACTTTCGGCCTGCGGTAGGTCAGACGTGCATCGTTCTAGTGAACAACGTGGGCCGATACGTACGGGGCATTGCCTTGACGACGGTATGGTTCCTGTGCGGGCTGTTCTTGCTGCACAATAGTGTATGTCCGACTAGGAGCTTGGTACGGGGGGCGTTTAAGTGAAGGCGCGGGGACAGGGTAGGTAATTGGTGAGGACGCGTTTGCAGGCGGCGGTTGTTGCACGACGGGCACAGAGGGAGCGACGGCGGACGGGAGGACTACAGTCGCTTCTTCTCGCTTCCTCTGCGCAGACTCGCGCGCGATCTCTGCGAGATGTTTCTGGGCCGCAAAAGTGAGTTGTATCGCAGCACGACAAGGCTAAAGCGAGGACGTACCTCGAGCTCTTTCTTTTGCTTCTCGTCGTTCCACTCGGCCTGCTCCACGGTCCCTGCATACTGGAAGACATTCAGTCCTCCCTTTGACTTCTTTCTGGTGGGCGCGGCATCGACGACTGCATTACCGCAGAGCGTGGTTAGATATCCGGCGGATGCGGAACAGAAACCATACATACCCAAGGCATCTAGTGGCTCCTCGTTGCGTTTGCGCTTGATGCGCACAATGGCATACGGCTGCTGAGGCTGAAGTGCATGGGGAGGATCGACTTCCATTGAAGGTGGTATGTGTGTGAAAGGAGGAGAGAATGCTCGAGACAAGCCTTGCCTCGACGCCTTCAGCCACACCAATGACGGGTCACGCGGAACAACCCTCTCACGTGATCGTACCCGGGTTGGCGGTCATGCCGGTATGGCAAATGTCGGGGTAGTTGTACTTCGACACATGTTCTCCTCACCGCTCTCCCATGACTTCAAGTGACACCAGGACTGGCAGCATCCCATGCAACCCGTAAGGATGGTGCGTCCCTTTGCTATATGTTATTCAGGGCCCAGCCACGGTGGACGACGGACAGAAGCCCCACACACAGCCTACTTACATACATTGCCGCTCACATCCCGGAAGCAAAGTGTCGTAGCTACTGCGCTGATAACTAGCCGCATGGTCTAATCAGCGCCTCCTTCCGTAAAGCCGCTCCCGGGCCCACAACGGCGAACGATGTGAGTAACACTTCTCTACGATGCACTACAAAAGGATGTGATGATTTTGTAACGCAGTAAGCAGAAACATCACGCTGGCCATGACTCTCAGGGCTGTGATAGATGCCTTATAGGGCATCCTCCAAAGAGCAGCGAGTCAATTCTCCAACAGCCTCTTGACGCGCTCACAGTACTGTACATCAATATCCTTACATCACGGAACTTCTTCCGTCCCGTCTCGCACGCAGTTGTTCCTGACCGCCAAGTTCGGTCCCGCTTCAGGCCTTGACGCAAATCCGTATGTACTACAAAAGCCAGCTCGCAGTCAACGATGAACGTCACCTCCGTCCTTGACCAATCACAGCCATGTCATTGGGCATATCGCGCCTCTCTAGCCTTCTACTGATCGCAGCCTACGCATCCGCGTACACCTGGCCAAACCCTCAGCTAGACGAGCTTGAGAGCCTCCTTTTTGACCAACAGGGCTACAACGAGCGCGGTATCCTCGTGGGTGCCCTTAACCCTTGCGACAGGTTCAATTTCGGCGACACGGTCAACCGATCAAATGTAGCTGATTGGATCCGTACAGTACGCGAATTTCAGACCTACAATTTGTACAAACAGCAGCTGACGAACGTGTATAATAGGCTTACCATGACATGGCCACCCATAATGCAGAAGATGGCACTGGCGGTCTAGATGCTTCTATTCAATTTGAGCAGGATAGACCTGAGGTGAGGGACTGAAGGAACTTTGTGCAGGTGGCCCTGACTCAGTTGTTCGTAGAACGCTGGCAACGGATTCTTCAACGCTCTGAGACATCTGCAACTCGGAATCAGCCGTTACGTTGGAGGTACTTCTATCCTCCCTTTCACGGTATAGCGCGATGCTCATGGACACTGCAGTTGCTGACTTCATCGCACTTGGTGCAAAAACTGCTTTCGAGCAATGGTACGAACATTGCCGAGCCTTTTGCTATGAGTATGAGACTGACACATGTCCCCAAAGTGACGGTCCTACCATACCATTCCGTGGTGGACGCGTTGATGCGACAGAGGCAGGTCCTCCTGGAGTCCCTCAACCCCAGGAGTCCCTTGATAGCCACATTTCCTCCTTCGCTCGCCAAGGTTTCAACCAGACAGAGATGATCACGCTCGTAGCATGTGGCCATTCTTTCGGCGGTGTGCAACACAGCGCGTTCCCCGATACTGTGCCTCTGCCCGCCGGTGTCGATGATGTTTCACAGACTTTCGACAGCACACCCTTCAACTTTGATAACAATGTGTACGCATCTACCGTCCACTATACGATGCGCCTCGAGCACCATTCACTAACGATCAGTTCAGCGCGCTTGAGTATGTCCACGGAACGACGAACAATCCTTTGGTCGTGGGTCACAATGACACCACGAACTCGGACAAGCGCATCTTTGGCAGCGACGGAAATGCTACTATCAGTGGGTCCGTGTCTGCTTGTCGATGGATGATGATTCTATGTTACTGACTACTGTTCGCTTAGATTTGCCGCAGACTCTGATTCGTTCAGAACTGCATGCCAGTCGCTATTCGCTCGCATGCTCGATACGGTGCCCAGTACTGTTCAGCTTACCGAGGTTATCGAACCGTTACCAGTCAAGCCGCAGGACATCGCCCTGCTGTATATGGGTGACGGCACCCTCCGTCTCTCTGGCCAAGTACGCGTAAGTACTCAACTACCCCGTCGTTGATATAGTCAGTCACAACTCACGGTTGTTTATGGCGCAGTTCTGGAATGTTGCTGAGAGCGATGCCCCCTCCGTGAAGCTTATCTGGGCAGATCGCGAGGGCAAGACAGACTCCTCGTACACTGGCGTCCTCGGCCACAATGACCAGATGGTCGCCAGCGCACTGTACAACGGCAACGTAAGCGCTCTTTGGTACAATATCGGCCCCTTGTCGACCAACTTCACTGTCGTGAACGAGACTGTGGGCATCTCAAAGTTTTGGTTCGAGGTTTCCGGAGGCGACAGTTCTATCAAGACGGAACATCAGAACGGCGTGGGCTTCCCAATTCAGGACACGGTGATGCTTGCAAACTCTTCGTGCACCGCGCCTGCTCCAGATGGGTTGAGTTCCATCGCCCACATCCAGATTGCCGTGAGTCCTTCCGTTGGTCAGTCCCTCAAGGCGGTGGCAGGCGCTGACAGAACGGCCCTAGGTCCGCGCTGACGCGCATCCATCCCGTGTGTGGTTGGAATATGACCTCTTTAACGGGGATGCCGGCTCTGGCGCGACGTGGATCACCGTCAACACGACCGACGCCCAGCTCGCGACGAATCAGACCCAGGCTGATTCGATATATGAGCTGTGGTCGGTCGATCTACCCTCCAGTGCGCTCGCTTCTTCGAATACGCGGAAGGTCAACATCGCTGCGGAGATTGGCAGCCTGAAGATTACGACGACTAGCTTTTCGACGTCCACCCTCGCGCACTGCTGAGCGGGAGATCGTTTCTTGTATGGGATAATGGACTATGTACTGGACTACGGGTGTTCTCTTGGGCGTATTGGATATTTTGAGCATATGCGCTTGAGCTTACGATGCTCCATGTTGATGATATCTCCACCGAGCTGTGGAACTCCTTTGTGAATTGTGCAAGTGTAAGTCAATCTAGAAGACAATTAATCACAACCAAACGTACTGTACACCAATGACCTAGTCGAAAATCACGGATGTCCACAAAGCAGAGATACCAAGCCTAAGAACGCCATCGGGTCTTCTCGGTTCCAATACTCACTTCCCGTTCTGCATGCGCTGATACTGCAGACGCAGGTCCACCAATTCGGCTTTCACCCGCGTCAGCTCGTTCTTGAGGTCGGCACACTCCACCTCTATATGCGCCCGGATGTTCTTAGCGAACACCTCCAGATCTTCTCTCTGCTTCTGCCTCAGATGGTCTAGCATTGTTGCAAGATTCGCACTGGACACGTCCGGCCGTAATTCGGTGTCCTCGGCTACAGCAAACCGGAGCGACGCTGGGGTCAGTCATCAGTGGTGTCAGAGAAGAGGAACTGCGCACATGAAGGATCCGGAGGCTGGGAAGCAGGATCGATAGACATCAGCGTGTCCTCCTTCCTGAGTAGCCGAGGAAACATCCGCTTATTCTGTCTGTCAGAAATGTTTCCGGAGTCTGTGCTAGGCTGTGTGGGATCCGGAAGCTCCTCCTCGGATGGGGTCGGCGTAAGGTCAGGCTCAGGGTCAGGCTCCCGCCACCCTCTATAGCCCTCGCTCGAGATGACCGCTCCAGTATCCGAAGGTTTGAAGGGCTCCTGAGAGTGGATCGACACAGAGGGCTGTATGCCCGACGGTTCGCGCGAGGTACGCCAGGCGATCTGGCCTCGCACAGGGTTGCGACCGGTGCCGCGGTGGTCACCAATAGTCTCCTCGGATGATTCGGGCGACACGATGCGCCGCTTCCTGTGGGTGTACGTTCGGTGTCTTGCATACTATCAAGAAGATGAGAGGGTGGCTCACTTGCGTATTTCTCCGTGATGTGAGACTATCGCTCCTGAGGGAGGTGAGCGGGAGCGGGAGCGGGGTTGGGAAGAAGGGTCGACGTCCATCGTCGATCCTGTACGAATCAACCTTCCCCATGTTTCGCCTGTGGGGTTTGGCATCTGTGGAAGTGATGGCAGAGATAGAATCTGACAGAGGTGATGGGGACTGACGGGTGCAGGGGAATGCCGCATCCCGGGCGTATAACTTATGAAGACACTGGAACAAAGAGGGGTGTGCAAAGCCTACACGAACCGCTCATGAGATCCTTGCACTGTTTCCATGGACACAGCCAAGAACGAGGCCGCAAAGCCTGCTCAAAGCTATAGGCACCTGTCATACGAGACAAAGCGAAGCGCACATGCCAATTATGCAACGTGAGGGTGGCGCAATAAGCATAAGGACGCGCTTCTGCTGTGTTAGCGTGTTGTAGATCACCTAGGACGCAGATATGTAGGGCTTACGGGGCACTTTTGGACATGAGAGTGTAGCCTTGCTCCTCTGAGCGGATGGTTTATATCGGGCACATGAGTCGGTCCGTTTCATTGACAAATGTCGACTTGGGAGCCATGTGTAGAGGCCATGGTAGTACAGCGTTTGAAGGGAGGCTTGCTACCAACTTGGCGCATTGTGCACCTGTCAGTCACGCCTTACGGCGAGAGGCGGTCTTCGTGAGCCATCGTGCATGATTGACCTGCAGGCTGAACCACTGAGGCAGCCCCGCGCTTGACACGGTGGCATTTTGGCGCCCAATATCCTCCTGTCTGGCCCCAAGCACTCGAACACCCGCTGTCGAAGATGCAATCGTGATACCCCATAGATGTCCTCACAAGTTCGTGGTGTACGTTGCCTACATACAGTGGCGGCGCTCGTCGTATACGCCTCATAGATAATATTTTACATTTTGCATAGATGTTGACTTCCTTGCCCATCCGATGGGTCCCCGAGTCCAACGACGCATCTCGAGATATACTTTTACTCGCGGGCAACCTCGTGGTCGGCGTAGGCTATTGTATGTCTGTGATACTGCTCATACTCAGCGCCCCAAAACATGCCTGAAGATTGGTCATGACTATATAGGACTCCTTGAAAGTAGTCGGAGACTCGGAGTTGAAGGTGGCTAGTGCATCGTGGACTTTGGAGTGCACCGCCCTATCTCGATTGGCGGTTTTGGTGGTACATAGATGGCTACATAGTCGTCTAGGCTTGCTCTAACTTGCGATTCGTCGACAGCTCGAATGTCTTCTCGCAGAATGCATGCGGTTGCTCTTGCCTGATACTGGAGGGACTATGTATGTAGGGTGAGATAACATCAACACAGGACGACGTTCGAAGGTCAGTACATATTATCATGTTAGACTTTGAGGGGCATCAAACAGGGCCTAAGGCACGCCCTGAGTCGGTCCGTATCCAGTCCGACGCTCGGCAAAGGCTAATTAGTAGTGCCCCACTTTGACAGCTGGACGCGTCGCGGCGGGGGCACGCCGTAGTCATGCGACGGATACTGCGGGCCAAACACGTCGGGCCCGCTCTCTTCTGGCCTCGCCTCCGATATTTGTGAGGTTCCTGTCAACTCCCACCTGCTCATTCTTGACGCGCCCCATCTCAGCCACCGTGGCCGACAGCGAGGGCTTTGCTTGAGGGATTTTGCAACCGCCATCGTCTACGCATCTAGGCGACGTGGAGGAACGCTCCCCGGCTTACCACTATCGCGCTTCTGTCTTTGTCCTTGGGTCACAAACCTTCCCTGCTGGCTTAGACTTACGACCGCTACGAACAACATGCCTAGGTTGGGACTGTGGCTGGCTTATTCCTTCCTATCGCTCCCCCTCTGGACCCGTGGCGTGTATGGAGACAATACAACGTGCGCGAGCGCACAGCTGGATTGGTATACAGATGCCGTTGGGGAAACGCCATGTATTGATTGACCTCCCTGATCTGCATATTGGCATGTCTGACGTAGCCCGACAGGCGTCACGTACCAGCGTTTGAGGCAAATCTGCAACAATGATTGTGAGTACTCTTCTTTCTTAAACGCTATGTTATTGCAGAAAGTTAGACCGCTCAATCGACCCAACCCGGAAGATCAAGTACAGAAGTTCAGACCCAATACCCCAGGAGACAACTGCAACGATCAACTCTGTGAGTTCTCTATATTGTTCCGCAGAAGATATCACCAACCTCTCTGGCGTGTAGCCGGCTGTTGCTGTAATTCTGTAGCATGGGCACTCAGCATGTTGTGCATGAAGTACGCGTCCCTCATCATGACATACAAGGATATCTCGTTTGACCGTGTCAATGGTCAGTTGCCAATACGATACTGAGGAAGGAGGGGACGGGATCGATGCTGGTGAGTCCTGGGTTCTCGTGCAACACATTACCCGTTTCGGACTGGCCTCCAGGTGTCGGGGGATATGGACTATACTTGGGATCTTGCAGCCCTGTACAAAACAAGACGTAGGCCGGGTCCTGCAGATTGAGCATTCGGATGACTGATATAAATCTACAGGCTTCCGAACGACATTCAGAGCGCAGTCTGCAACAAGGAAATCAAACTGGACCGCAGTTTGTATGGTCTGTTCTGGGACACCGGTGCTTGGTACGTAAAGCGCATCCAGCATCTGATGAAGCGGACTTGACAACAATGCTGTATCCCAGGTTTTAGTAAGTTGACCTAGATCGTCCTCAAATCCTGGCTCATCAGACGCTTCAAGTGTTTACACGAAGGAGACGATTGTGGCAGACCTCGCTGCGTCAAACAACAACACGTTCACCAATTGCGCATCGACAACGAAGAACGATACCACCACGACATCCGGCACCCAAACAACATCAGGAGCCCTCACTGGATCTGCAGCGCCGACATCGACCGGCTCCTCAAGCTCGAGTTCTCACACTGGTGCGATTGTGGGCGGCGTCGTGGGTGGAATCGTGGGTGCCATTGCTCTCGGATTAGTCGCATTCTTCCTCTTGCGTCGACGAGCCCGATCGCAAGGCCCGCGGCCTCTTGACCTCGCTGGCGAGTACCGCTACGAAGATGGTGGAGATCCGCCAATGAGCACAGTCACGCCTTTTTCGGCGACTGCTTCGCAAGGTGAGTGGCCTTCCATTGGCGCTGTTGGAGTCGCCATTTGGAGCGCTCACCTGGATGACCTAATTCCTGCTGCTCAGGCCCAACTTCGAGGTACGGCCGAACATCAGATCTCGCGGAGGAATCTGAATCAATTGCATTGCTTCCCAGAAGCGGTCCACAGTCCAGTGCAAGCGGGAGTGGGGCAGGCAGCGGGCTCATGCTCGCCGGCGGAAGTGCCGCTACCACGTCCTCCAAATTTGCTGGGGTTGACGGCTATCCTCAGTCGCCGCCAGCACTCGACGAGGAGGGCGAGCGACATGCGGACGCCGGTCCTGTTCCTCAGCTACAACGCTCCGCGTCTGGACGCTTGCCTCCGGCGTACCGGTCATGGGAGGACGAACCGAATGAGCTGGAGCCGGAGCCACAATGGGACGGTCCGAGCGTCACTGGAGTTCCGTATGCCGCTGCAGCTAGTTCTTCGGACGCTGCACCGCTCCCTCAGACGCCTTTGTCTCCCCAGTACCCTGCGGACGTGAAGCGGCCTGCTGGTCATCATGATGGTTACATTTGACCTGCTCGACTTGACTTCATGGATGTTCGTCATCTTTTCTGGATGGTTGAACGCTTCAAGTTCGTTTCCGCTTTATAGTCTCCCGTGTTCACACTTCGCCCGTCGCCTTTGCTTCTATACCTCATGCTATCCATGGTAGGATACGACCGTACTCCATCTAGTTAGATCTCACCTAACGTGCGACCGCCATCGTGTACACATCTTTCATGAAGGCCTAACTTGACCGCTCAAGTATCACTCGCTCGTAGGCGCTTTCGCTCATCGAACTCGATAACAACGCCGCTTGCACACCATTTGGAGAACTCGACGGTTTGCTCGGTTTGAATCACTCACCGACTACCTTCTCGCTCTCATGACCGCACACCTGAGCAGGCTCCTTCAAGCATATCGTACGACTTGATACTTCTCCCGGTCTCCGTGTTCTCGCAGCACCATCCAGGCTGTGTCCTTGACGTTTCATCGTTCTGTGCAGTGCCGCGCGTACTCATATGATCCATCCGCCGTCCCAAGGGTGCCCTAGTCTCGTTCCCATCCGTTCTAGCGCTTACAGTCTGTACCCGTTTCCCCCTCTTCAAGATCCATTCACGATCCTTTCCATCAATTCATCCTTCCTAATCCATCCAAAGGCTTGCTGAGCGTAGCGAAGCATCGAGTGCCGAGGCAGAGAGGGCTGTAGAACGTCTGGAGCCGAGACTAAGGGTGCCCCCGAGGTAGGCTACTCGGCCTCGACAGAGTAAGCGGCTCGCCACGGGTGCTGGGCCGGCCTTCAACTTCCCTGCAAACCTTAGAACTTCCAGGACGGCGTCTGAGAGTGCACGAGGCGCGGGGACTGTATATCTATAGCGTGTTGGTCTTGCACTCAGGCTGTAGGTACTGGCATCGCGCCGACCTGCTTAACCTCCCCAGCCTTGAAACCACGACGGTGCTGTCACGATGTGCAGGTGGTTTGCATACATATCTACCACGGAGCCTTGTCTTCTTGAAGACGTCCTCATCTCGCCCGATCACGCCATCGCGAAGCAAGTGCACGACCGCTTCCTCCCATACCTCACGCACTATGAGCCGGGTACGACGCCGCAGGAAATGACTCTGCGGAACAGCCCCTTCAATCTAGATGGTCTCGGGGTCGCTTGGTATGTCATGGATCTACACCATCGCGTGCTGGATCTCCTGCCACTCACTCACGCACGCACGGCCCTACTTACATACCTACTGCTCTAACTATCCGCAGGTACACCGACGCGCGCGCGGCGTTCGGCGAGTGCGAGGGCCCGCGCCCGGTGGCGTACAAGATCCTGCGGCAGCCGACGACGGACCCCATCTTCCAGTCGATCTGCGCGGGGACGACGGCGCACTGCGTGTTCGCGCACATCCGCGCGGCGTCGGGCGCGACGGCGATCCACCAGTACAACAACCACCCGTTCACGTTCGGCCGGTTCGCGTTCATGCACAACGGGTCCGTCGCGCACTTCGACGAGGTCAAGCGCGCGCTCGCGCTCGAGCTCTCGGACGCGGCGCACGTGCGCGTCAAGGGCACGACGGACTCGGAGCTGCTCGCCGCGCTCTTCTTCACGTACCTCCAGGCGGCGCGCGGGGAGGAGGTGTGGGAGCGCGCGCACCCGCTCGAGGAGATGAAGGCGTGTCTGGAGCGCGCGATACAGCGGGTGCTGACGCTGCAGGCGGAGGCGATGGCAAGGGTCGGGAGGACGCCGGACGCGTCGAGCTTGAACGTCGCGGTCACGGACGGGGAGCAGCTGCTCGCGATCCGGTTCAGGAACCACGCGACGGAGCACCCGCCGTCGCTGTACTTGTCGATGCGGGCGGGCGTTGCGCTGAACAGGAAGTTCCCGGGGCATCCGGACGTGGAGGGCGTCGACAACGGGGCGCGGAACTTGAAGGGCGCGGAGGAGCACGGGGACCATGTCATCGTCGCGAGCGAGCCGACGACGTTCAAGGAGGAGGACTGGGAGCTTATCCCGAAGAACGAGTGTATCATGGTGGGGCGGGACATGGTGCTGAAGCGCGCTCCCGTTGCGGTTCAGTTCTAGGCAGAGCAAAGACATATGACCGATTGATGTATACTAGTTCGCAATGGATCCACACAGCAAGTACTGGCATACATTAGCCTACCGACGTCGCCACTGCAAACTGTGCGTAGCTGGCTGATGACGCTGCGTGGATGCACCGAAAAGGACACCCCAAGTAAGGCCGGGTCGCCCATAGCACGAAATAGCCCAGCCTTGATGTGTATATATACCCGCCCGTGAGCGAAAACACAGACTCTCGTTTATCGCGTAACGGCTTCGGCGGACGCGTTCGAGCCACGTTACACCTCACGGGCTCAAACATGGTGATCACAGGTTTTCTATCTCGCTGACAGCCGTGTCTGTAAGGTAACAGTCGTGAGCGTTGTGAAACCAAGACAAGCAAGGTGTAGACACCTTACCTGAGGTATGGGAATACGACTCATGAGCATAGGTGACAGATGCAGAGGTACAAGCCGGATAGATGTATGTTTGTGGCGTATGGATCTATCTGATACCCGCCCCGATGGTGCATGACAGGCAAAGCTCGACAAACGGACGTAGATGCAATCAAACGTACGGATCTGCGCCGCAAGCTGTTACGTACTTACATTGAGTATGCAACGCGGTGTCGGTGCGATCATGTTCTGATTCGGGGTGTGTTGCGAAGACTCGAGGACAAAGATTGCGAAAGCGATTGTAGCGATCCATGGGCGATCCCCCTGGCACGATGCATGGTTTCCTGATCAGGGCCCGAGCTGGTGAGCAAACGAAGCCAGCGTAATGAGCTGCGGAGACAACAGCGGGGGTTTAGTTGACGTGCATGGTGAGATGCACCTACTATAGGATCCTCCTGGCCACCGCCGCTACTCGTTCCTCAGGTTGACCTTGCAGGGCGCAGTGCAGTGTTGTGACGTGCAGTGTACATACATGATTGATATATCTGAGAACCTGATAGAGTCGACAAGTAGACAAAAGAACGACCACGTTCTCCTCGTGCAAGCCATGGGGCGCGGCGGCGGCATTCACTTTGGCGGGTATGTACTTGTGGATCAGGCTGTAAGCAGCTGTAAGCCCGCACGATCACAAGTGCTTCACAGAAGCATGGCATGAGTGCCAGTGCCGGCGAAGTCAGAGTTTCATGAATGGGGACTATACTTGCGCGTCTTGGATGATCGCCTGACGGTCGGGAAGAGCTCTCGGCCAGCAAACCTCCGCAGCCCTTTCTTTGCCGCAGGACGGCGAGCATGTAGGGAAGCTGACCACATGTAGCGGTGCACGACGAGAGAGCGAGATTCTATTCATGAGGTGGACGCTGGCCAGAGAGGACTCGATGGACGTTCAAGCTAGCTTCAAGTTGTTCAACAGGCACCGCGCGCTCGCATGAGCGTCATCTGGGCGTTGTTCGAGCGGACATTAATCCATGTTTCCATGGTTGCGCCGGGGGCGACTGCAGAAATTACGGACCCTCGACAGAATCTGTTGGACCGATGTCTCGACCCGGCCTCTCAGCGTACATAGCAGAAAACAGGAAGCGACACTTCTCAGAACGAGAGCCTGAGGGAGGCAATGAGAGCGAAAATGATGATCAGAACGGACGGAACAAATAAGAGCAAAGGGCGGTGGATTCGGGTTCACTGCCCTCGACTCTCGCCCTTTCTCTTCCCCGTCCGTCGCGTTTAAAACACACAATATTGCTGGCTGAGGCCTGTCGGGCTGTACGGCATCCTCTTCACTTCCCCCCTCTGCCTCCCATAGCAGTCCCCACGCTCCTTGTTCCCCCTCCAGGCGGTCGACGGCCCCAAGAACCGTACCGCCGTCCTGCTCTTCAGCGCATAGCCCAAAGCCTGTCCCATCTGCTCCTCCGCGCTCGCCAGCACCATGTTCTTCTCTAACGTGCTCTTTGCTTCTCTGCTCGCAACTGCTCTCCAGCTCTCCGCTGTCGATGCCTCTCGCTCGTCCCTGCACTCGTCCCACGCCCGTCGCTCTCTCGCCTTCAAGAGGGACCACATCGCTGAGCTTCTCTCCCACCGTGACCTTGGAGGTCTCCTCGGTGAGCACTCATCCTTCCCTTCGCCGTTTTCGAGGTCGTCCGTCTCCAGCGCCACAGTTGCCGCACCCGGGCTCTACGACCTCTCTCGAGGCGAGGGACGTGTGCTGGCTGGCACACTGTCTTCGCCTCCGCTGCGTGTGATCGGGCATTGGAGATGCGAGATACGCCGTAGCGGTTCGTGATTAGAATGCGTCTGCTGTGCTTTCGCATCTGTCAATCTATCGCGACCAAATGTTGCCCAGAGGCGACTTCGCACCCGGAGGCTCCCTCCCGTACGAGCGAGCATGCGTTGCGGCTTCGCCGACGTCGCGCAAGCTCTTCTCTATGTTGGGCCGCTGTCTCGTCGCCTGCATCTTCCGTCGCGATGCCCGTGATGATCAGACGCAGGTTTTGATCCTCGTGTGGCATGACGTGCCGTTCACGCGTCTCCCTTCCTTGGCCATGACAGCCTTCAGTGCCCGGCTCTGCATGCATATGCAGTTTGCATCGTTCCAGGAGACAAGGATGCTAGCCTGCCTGACGTGAGAGCTGAGTGTTTTTGGGTTTGGTTACGACTTCGGGCGCTTGTCGTGTCATGTTCCTCCAGATTGGGTAGCATGAGCACCCCCTCACGGTCGGGATTTGGCCCCCTTTGAATCGGGCGCGGCAAGGATGCACATTGGGCGCAGTCATCGGCTGCGAACATGTTCGGGGGATCTTGAGCGCAAGGCCACGTTGGCCGAGGGCGCAGAGCGTAGAAAGGACGCGGCCTTCTGTCTAGATCTCGACTTTGAGAAGCTCACTTGCTAACTCGTCGTTTCAGGTGGCGTCGGACAGACCGTAGGCGGCGTTGGTGATGATCTAGGGCAGCTGCTGGGAGATGCAGGTGATAATCTCGAGAGTGCGGTCAGTAGCCTTTTCGGGGCCCCGACCACCTCCTTGGTCCCCGCGAGCTCGACGACCATCGCGTCATCGACGACGGCGAGCTCTGCGACGTCCACAGACTCTTCGTCCGCATCTGTGACGGATTCTTCATCCGCTTCTGCGACAGGTTCGTCTTCCGCCTCTGCCACCGGCTCCTCGACTGTATCATCAACGGTATCATCGACAGTATCGTCAGCAGCATCGTCGATCGCATCATCAGCGGCGTCCTCATCCGCGTCGTCAACAAATTCCACTACTGTGTCGTCGACCATTTCCGGGTCCGTATCCGGGACGGCGACCGACTCAACTACCGCGAGCGTTACTGGCTCTGCATCCGCGTCTGCAACGACCACGGGTTCCATATCCATCACCGATTCCCCCACATCGACCGCTAGCAGCATAACCGATTCGGCCGCTTCCAGCTCTAGCACTTGCAACCTTCTTCTGGACCTTCTGTGCAGTGTAACGTCGGTCTTGGCCCCTCCCACCACCACCACTTCTGCATCTGTTACTTCGTCTGCCACCGACTCGGCCTCTGACTCGGTGACGATTACGAGCTCCGTGGTCAGTTCCTCTGTTTCCGCCAGCGGCTCCTCGTCTACCGACTCAGTGTCGACCACCGGCACCGATTCCGCGACGTCGGCTTCCGTGACCAGCTCGGTAGCTGCGTCGTCCACAAGCACCAGCGGGGGTATTCCCTTGTCATCCTGGCTCTCGTCCATTCTCAGCCCTCCCACTAGTAGCTCAAGCGACAGCGTATCAGCCACTGTGACCACCTCCGTCTCTGGCACAATCACGTCCAGTGCGGTGCCGACTGAGTCCGTCACCTCGGCCCCTGCCGGCAATGACACGTCGTCCACGAGCTCTGGGATTCTCTCACTTCCTCCTATCACTTCCATCCTCCCGACTTTAAACATCACTACGAGTGGCACGTCGACGTCGACGTCTAGCGGTTCGACGGTTACAGGGAACTCCACTGTGACGACTACGAGTGATACGTGAGTTTGGAATGCTGGTAGCATGTGTATATGGGTCCTATGCTCACGTATAACATCCCAGGTCGACGATCACCTCTGCTCCTGGCAATGGTACCACCACCTCGATTTCGGCGACGGTCACCACTATTACCAGCGGCAACAGCACCATTACGACGACCATATCTGGTTCTGGCAACAGTACGAGTATCATCAGCATCTCCGGGAGCGTTACAACCACCAGCAGCGCGATTACGAGCGCCGTCTCTGGTAACGCCACGATCACGACTAGCGCGGTCAACGGGACCACGACGTCGACGTCGACGAACGGTACCGTGATCAGCCTTCCGTCAATCACGTCGACGTCGGTGGCTACCACGAATCTCACCACGTCGCACGTGCTCACGTCCACGCCGTCGGTAGACTCGCAGTTCACGTTCGTCACCGGCACTTCGCTCGCCGTCGCCTCGACCCCCTCGGAGTCCACCCTTACCACGACTGCGACGGACCCCGACACGCCGTCGACCACCTTCACGTTGCAGCCGTCGTCAGCTAGCCCGAGCCAGGCTGCCCTCCCGTCTGACCTCCCGAACCAGATCTTCCCGGCGGCCGGCTCGCACCCTGGTGACCCTGACCTCGACGGGTACACGCAGATTTCGCTGCTGTTCGACGCGGCGCTGAACTGGGAGTTCGTCCTCACCAACCCGAATTCGTCGGCGCAGATCTTCGCGTGGATGTCGCCCATTCTCCAAGCTTCGCTCGACTTGACGGGTAAGTCGCAGAATCGCGACGTTCTGGTGGACATTTTGCTGATGTCGATCGATGTACAGCGGAACAGGTGAAGACGTACCAGCTCCACGTGTACGTTCCGGCCGACTACACGGGCCCTTCGGACGTCGACCTCCTGCAAACGATGTACCTCGGGTGGATCCCGACGGGCGCGGTCGACACGCTCGCCCAGCAGCTCAAGGTCACCTCGTCGGCGTTCTACACCGCCCTCAACTCGCCGTACAGCGACCTCGCCAAGCACGTCGTCTCGAGCTTCCCCGTCGAGAACGCGCCCGGTTCGACCGACGGCAGCTCGGGCAGCAACGACTCGGGCAGCGGCCACGCGTCGAGCGGCAGCTCGTCGTCCAAGACCCGCGAGGACGCCATCATCGGCGTCGTCACCTCGCTCGGCGCGATCACGCTCCTCATCCTTGCGTTCCTCGTCTACCGCGCCATCAAGCAGCGCCGCGAGCTCGCGCACCGCAGGCTCTCGGACCCGCACCAGACCGAATTCATCGGCGCGCCTCCGGAGGAGGACCACGAGTTCGACCGCGACTCGGTCGGCGGCCAGCGCCGGCGCTCGTTCTACTACGCGGCGGACTCGCTCCGCGGGCTCGGGGACCACGGCGCCGCCGCTGCGTCGGGCGCTGCTGCTGAGGATCCGTTCAACCCGAGCATGCGGGAGCGTCGGCCTGTGATCGGCACGCCGATCCTCCGGGACAACACGATGAACTGGTAGAATGGCCAGCGCGAGGTGGGCGAAGTGCAGGATGCGGACCGCGGAGAGTCGCTTTCTTGTAGATGGCGGCGGGCTCGAGGCGCGGTCACCACTTCGATGTTAAAATGACACCAGGCTAGACCGCGCCCCTCCATGTCGCTTCCTGCCTTCCTCGGTCCTCTGTTCTTGCTGTGTATGTGCTTGTGTCTGTGCTTGTGCTTGTGCTAGTGTGTTCCGAACGTTGGGCTTCATCTTTCCTCACGTACGGGTGGCATACGGACGGGCTTCGGATCGCGCATCGGGAGTATGGGACATGTCTGCATCCGCGCGCGCCCTATGGCCTCGTTCGACTACGTCCAGGGTGCGCCGCGCGGCCCCCATTATGCTCATTGACGACGTCTGTCTCTTGACACGACCCCTCCCGCTCCTTTCGTGACGACCATCCCTTTCAACCTTCTTTCTTCTTTCCTCGGCACGTCGTAACCCGTACAATACTAGTTCATTTTCAATATTTATTCAGTCGCTGTTGTCGTGCATGCCCCCATGTCGATATACCCGAGTGTGTGCATGTCTCTGCGCAGTACACGCGTTTCTCTTCCGCTTTCGCGTTTGCATCTTGTTGGCTTCGGTCGTCGTTGGCATTTTTTACGTTACTTACTTCTCCACGAGTGGCGGTTTCGTACTGCAGTCGCTGGGCAGTCCAGGCTGCCGGCCCGGCGCATCCTCGTCGCCCTCGGTCGGATTATGTAGTGGGTGCACACGTACACTTTCCTTTCTCCGTCGCGCGCGCTGGCTGCCAGACATGCCCACCTTCTGTTTCGTGGATCGTGCTTGCTCATCCGAATTATTCATATCGTCGTACTTAGAATCCCGTCTGTTCCTCTGGTCTCCGTCTCGGTCATATATCTCATCCAGTCAACTCATCTGCAACATATGCATGCTTTATGCCATAGCTGGGCGAACTTGAGGGGTCGCACTTGACATTGACACGAAGGCGAGTACGATGTGGGCTTGACATAGCTGCACCAATACACGAGATCATACGCTTCCCGCTTTGAGCTGCTGCTGGAACCGACGGACGATGGGCACCATCCCGCCCCCATCTGCGACGAAGCCCAGACTGAGCGCATACGAGTTGTCGAACCGCGACGGCCACGAGGAGACGACGCGGCGGTTCGTCGGGTCGTCCTCGAACTTAATCAGCGTGACGGCCTCCTCGCCCGCCACCTCCTCCAGCGCGGCGATCTCCTCGCGCACGGTGGCGGTGAACCCGGGGAGGCACACGACGCGGGTGTGCGCGAGGAGGCGGGTTGCGGAGATCTGGCGCGTGATGAGGAAGTTACGGATGGTCACGTCGGGACTCGCGAGCCAGAGGGGAAGGTCGAGTTCGGGAGAGGTTAGGGAGTCGCCGATGGGGCATACAGACTCAAGGCCCTGGAGGGGCTCCCGAATGATGCCTGCGTGCCCACGTCAGAGTCAGCGGGCTGGGTGCACGATAGGACACAAGGACAAAGGGAGGAAGGGCGTGCGCACCCGAGACAAACGAGGACGCTGCGGCTGAAGGCGCGCCGGGGCGCACGACAATGGTGGGCAGGCGGAGGATGCGCCCGTCGACGAAGCCCCGGCGGGTGTATTCGTTGATGAAGATCTCATCGACGAGCTTGCCCATGCCGTATGCGCTCTGTGGCGTGGCGATTGTGTCGGACTGGATGACGTCGGGCTGCATGCGTATGCGGGGAGGTCAGCGATTGCTAAAGAGTTGGGCCATTGGGATGGACTCACGAGAGGCCCTCCGTACACGGCGAGGGACGAGGTGAATATAAACTTGATGAGTTGTCCTGTCTTCTGCCCATGGTGCCGTGCGGCGTCCAGGACGGCGCGGACTGAGTCAACGTTCACCTACAGCCAAGCCGGAAGTCATAAGCACCCAGACGTCAATGCGCAATGGCCAATGAGCTGTGACCTTGACTCCGAAATCGAAATTATCCTCCGACCCGCGCGACATGATTCCGTGAAGGCAGTACACGGTGTCGTACACGCCATATTGGGTATTGAACAAGGCGTCGGCCTGCGCAGGGTCTGTTAAATCCGCCTTGATTGTGATTGCATTTGAATGTGGTGGAGCCCTGGGCTCGATAACATCAACGAGGATGAGACGAAAGTCTGTCAACTCCGGGTCTTCGTGAATTGCACTCGCGAGCTTCAAGGGTAATTATCAACGCGTGTAGAGAACAAATTGTGAGTTCAACTGACCTTTCCTCCTAGGAAACCACCTGCGCCGGTAATCAGTATCACCTTCTCCATGCTTTCCAAACGGCCTCTATTTGGAAAATCTGTTGGCGATAATGCAGGAGGCGACAGCCGATATATAGCACGCAGTAGTGGGGATGTATTGCTCCATTGCGTCAGCGTGCATCCCGTGGTCAAGAATAGCGAAGCCGGAAACGGCGGGTGACCCGTCGGAATTCTTCGATACATACCACGTGGGAGGACGGACCGCGGCTTACCGTCTTCATTCACAAATATGCGGCTCAAAGGAAAATGGGACATCGAACAGATACATTGAATCTGAGGATACAATGCATGAATGGCCCAAATTGCTCGACATCAGTGGGAACTGCGGCGCAAGGAGATCGCAAAGACTGGGGCCACCTCGGTTACTCACGCCTTTCCTACGGAGCCAAATAGATTGAAGAATCGCTCGCAGACATCCTCAAACACCTTCGTCGCATCATCGACCGCCTCCGGAAACGTCTTTGTTTGCAATCCCTCAGCGAGCTTCTTTGCGTACGGGTCTCTACCCCAACTATTGATGTTGATCTATAGGCAAGGCGTCAGACGAGGAAAAGAGCTGGGTTACATGTACGTGCATGCAAGCTCACCTTGGATATGCCGTTCGCGATGCACTCCCTAAACAGATCATCCGGAAGCTCGTCCGTGCCGTGCAGACATAACGGGATGGCGCCCTTGAATGTCTGCTGCAGATCCTTCAGGCTAGGCTTACGTTAATCCGGTACCCGGAAAGCCAACAGGTCCTAAACGCGTACATGTCTTGTCGGAACTTGGGCCCGTTGATGTAGGAGCCATGCAAGTTCCCGATACTTGGTGCCAGTATGCGTGCGCCAGTGCTATCGAGACAGTCAGTCGATCATATATGCGCGCAGTGCTCGTATACGTACCCTTCCATGAACGCGCGCGCCCCCTCAGGCCTAGTGAGCTTTGCGTCGGATATCATGCGGAGGCCTGCTTCCCCCCCTTCAAGACGTCCTAGCTCGACCTCGACCGCGACACCAAGCTTTTCCGCCCTCTCGACGTACGGGCGCGCGAGCGCGATGTTCTCTTCGTCGGTCTAGGCGTATGTCAACTACCGTGTGTACGGCCGACGAAAAGGTAAGCAGGAACTCACTTGTGCATGACTGGCATCTACCATGATACTGTCGAATGCGATGCCTTGTTCCGCGAGGGAGAGCGCAAGCTCGAGGTGCTCAGGGTCAGTCGCATGGTCGAGATTGACGGCGATGGGTACGGACGCTTGGTGGGCGCTGTGCAGTAGTCAGTTAGGAATGTGCACATCGAGTCAGATAGCCTGCTCTTGCTCACGCGTTGAGACAAAACTGCAGCCAGGGCCCCTTGCCGAAAGCAAGGGTGATAGGAAACATCTGGATGATGGCCGGGCTGCGACAGCGCTCTGCGGCGCGGACGAGGCCAATCACGCAGTTCGCGTCATAGCTGGCGGGTTTCCGAGATTCGCGGTTGAGCTGAGGGATTGTGGAGAGTGGGGAGAGGACGCTGCACATACCAAGTCTGTGCCAATATCCCATATTTTTCGTCCTCCGCCTTCCGCAAAATTGCGAGCGTGCGGTTTCCTGCAAGTGACATGGTGGAGGATCGGGAGTATGCCTGATAGCGAAGTTGCACTCCTTCTACCAGCGCGCAATACGAGTTGGTTAAGTATAGACGGGTACGGAATGAGTTCCTGTTCCGTGTCGGAGCATCGCAAGCTCATAGATTCGAATTTGGGAAACTTCAGATTGGCCACCTGACATCACGGCTCAGGTCGTGCACTTGAGAGAATGCTGGCAGCCGTGTTCTGGTACCTCCGAGATGAGAGATAGGTCGAGACGGTGATCGTGTGTGGAGATGCGGACAGAAGCAATAGCACTATTAGGACTTGCGGACGAGTCGAAGGCCGGGCGCGAGCCCAATGTTCAAACGTTCAAGGTGCCCTCCGCCAGGGCCGAGGTCGGGATATCGGTCCGGCACCAGGCCGCCCTCGCTCTGCTTCCACTGTCCCAACTTGCTGCAAGTTCGCTCTTACATCTGATGCTCGCCAATGAATCAGGGACATTCGCTTCATGATTACGGACACATCTTCTGCACGACAACATACCGTCGTTGAGCTCTCATATCGGAGCACACAGTCCTAGCGGTGATATACCAAGGCCTACCATGCATGGTGTGTTTTGCTCTGATGCTCTGATGTCGTATAGCGGACAGCTGATCATATAAATCAAGTGAATATCACAGGTTTATAGGCAATTGCGATCGAACGGGATGACTATCTAGAGAGCACCATGAAACAAATGGGGTAGGGGGGAGACTATAGCTGGCCAGTCGGAGGACTGGAGGACTACTGGCTTTCCCCTTGAAGAACGATGGTTTCAGTCGTGGGAGATGTACTTCGTAGGCATCGGCTTGTACGGCTCCTCAAGGTACGTGATCTCCTCCTCAGTAAGGGTCACATCAATTCCATCTGTGCAGACCTCAATAGTCGCATCAAGATACTCGTAGGTGCATGGAAAGTACGCACCCAAGGTGTCCTCAAGGTTGGGAATCTTCGTCGCTCCGATGACGGGTGCGACCACCCCCGGCTTGGACAATACCCAGGCAATCGCAACTTGGGCCATGCTCACACCTTTCTTCCTTGAGATCTCCTCCACGCTGGAATGGTCAATTGTGGCTGTTCCTAGAGCCGAAATAATTGGCAACCTACCGGTTGACAATCTCTATAGCAGATGGAACTTGGTACATGGCGACCGCCCTACAATAATTGATGTAAGCGGATATCCCATGGTACCATTGTCAGTAAACTCACGGGTCAGAGCTGCCGCGAGTAGTCGAGGCCTCAGCAGGGCGGCAAAGAATACCGCGCGCGAGAGGCGACCAGGGGATGCAGCCAACCCCGAACAGTTCCAAGGTGGGCATCATCTCGCGCTCCTCTTCGCGATAGAGAAGGGAGTAGTTGTTCTGCATCGAGATGAAAGGCGTGAGGTTGTGCGTGATGGCGTAGTCTGCCGCAGCGCAAAGAGAACGTCTAGTATCTGCCAATTACGCAACAAGGTGACTGGAACGTACTCTGCATCTGATGAACTGCCAGACGTCACTGATATCAGCGTGGGGCATGAAGGTACATGGAGCATGCTTACACTGATAGGCCCAGCAGGAGCTCATGCCGATGTACCGCACCAGCCCAGCCTTGACGAGGTCGTCTAAAGCACGCATCTAGCGTCCCACGCAGTAAGTGCACGTTGCCCTCGTAACCTAGAGTATGGAACATACCGTCTCCGAGATGGGAGTCTCGGTGTCGAAGCGGTGACCTAGTTCAGGTCCCTGAATAAGGTTTTTGGTTGAGTCATGGAGGAACGTACATTGAAGGACATCAATGTAGTCCATTTGCAAGCGCTTGAGGCTAGCCTTGACCCCGTCAAAGATGTGCTATAATTGGACACTTGTTGAAGCTTGTTGAACTGATTGAGTTGGAGAGCATTCACCCACCTTGCGGCTGAGACCAAGTTGGTTGATGATACCGAGATCATGGGGGTTATGGAAGTAGGTATGGGTACCATAGTCGGAAGCGACCGGGAAATAGATCTGAAGTGGGGTGAGGATGGCAGTCTATACGAGTTCTACAAGAGCTGATACTCACTTTGGTCATGATGACGAGCTCCTCACGGGGGAGGTTTAGCTTCTTGACGGCATTACCAAGTATGATCTCAGAGAGACCGTTGGAATAGGTCTGTAAAGCAGCGCGTGAGATTCTGGCTTAGCTTTGATGCGTTGCGAATGCTAACATCAGACGTGTCGAAGGTAGTGACACCCCAGTCGTAGCTAAGAACAGAGGCAGGGTCAGCCCTAGTATCGGTGGGACGTATAGTGGTGTCCGACGTACGCAAACTTGATGTGCTTGATCGCCTCTTCCTCGCCGATGAGCCACTTATCCCAGCTGGGGTCACCATACGACATGGTGCCCAGGATGATACGAGAGACCTTGAGGCCCGAGTTACCAAGGCGCACTACCGGAGAGCGTCAGCGAGACCGCACAGACCTATAGGCACATCTACGCACCGTACTGCATCTTCGTCTTACCAGACATGGTGGTAGTTGAAAAGCTGGTTGAGGAGGACTAGGAGTCGGAGAGGGTGGTGGTAAGTTGCCTTTGGGTCAAGGTGCGAGGTTGCTGAGGGACGGAGCAGGGGGAAGTCCTCTTATACCCTCCATAATTTGCCGTCTATGGAGCCTGGTTTCCGATACCGGAGCCTTGCAGCACGGATGTAACGTACTACAATTTGCAGATGCCCGCGGTGGCAGGTCGGATCGGTCATGGTGTCCACCAAGGACTTGGATCGGGGCGGAGTGGCTATGCCGCCAACCTGGACCCACCGTCGAAACCGAGTGGAGGACGATAGATTCGGGCGGCCATAATTATCCCCTACAGGAAGTTCGGGCGGGATGGGCTGCGAGTGGGTCCAAGTTCGGGCGGCGCTCAGTTCAGACGCCCCGCCAGTGGTGTCCGGAATCGGCGTAGACCAGAGCTCCCGCTTGCCGATTTATGGGGATTCAAATTACGGCTGTCACATTATGTCTTTGCAAGTTGCCTGTCGAGTGCCCGAGAAGCCCTTAGCTTTGAACGAGATGAGACTTGCCTCGCAATCTGCTCAGACTCTTGACACGTGTGCTGCTTGAGTGATACGGTATCAGCGATGAGCATAGCATGTAACATGCGACGTGAATATATTAGACTGGCGCGTAACAACAGCGGTGAACTCCAGATAGCGGATTTGAACAGCATACATAGCGACAACGTCATGAAGCGAAGGGCAACATGCAGTGTAATTCCGAAATGACTCAGCGTGCGCAGGTCAGTGCATTCCCTCTTTTGGCTCGAGCCGCAGCGGTTGAAGGGGCATAGCGGGATCGGGTGTGTCGTCGATCGGATCCTGTACCCGGGAGTCGTCGTGAGACTCGGCGCGTGAGTGTCCCTGGCCATAGCTTTCGTATGCGTCGGGGCGCGACCTGCCAGGAATGACGTTGAAGGGTGCAGGGGTGGGCTGCCGAACCATTGCATCGGGCGAGAAGACAAGCCGGCTCGGTTCGGGAGAATACTGGTCTAGAAGGATGTTGGGAGTGTTCGATGCGGGTCGTTTGGAAGCATATCCTTTGGAATATAGAACGTGAGTAGGCTGCTAAAGCGCAAAGGAATTGCAGGTGAGAGTACCGTGATATTCAGTAGGTGCAGCAGCCATCTGTGGCTGAGCGGCCGACCACCGATAGGGTCGAGATGACCTCGTCTCGTTGCGTCGACGATGACGCAGTAACCATAGGGCCAGTGCGCCGAATCCGAGAACAGCGAGGATGGCAATAACAATTCCAGCGATCGTGCCACCGCTGGGTGAGGTATTTGTGCTCGCTGCTTTCGCTGGGGCTGCTGTTGAGCTAGCCGTCGACTGCGTCGATGATGCTGCGCTCTGTGAGGATGAAATGAACATTCCTGACGATCGCATAGTGCGCCGGAGTGCTCACTTGCGCCGAGCCGGCTGTTGAGGATGCAAGGGTCGCTGTGGCACTTGGCTCCGAAGATGAAACCTGACTTTGACAGTGGGTGAATGTATTGTTATTGTGTGCAGCGTGCTGTGTCCCTGCATTCTCCTTCGTGTATACACTATGTCAAATCAGCGTCGGCAGTAGGATCAGGTGGTATGGGCTTACTAGAACCTGAGCAAGTCGTCAGCCATTACAAACCGTGAAAGGTCATATCGCGGAAGGAAGACGCACCATGAGCCATCGTCCCAACCTCCATACAAGAAGTCATCCAATCTGATGCCCTGGTTGCATACAGCCGCTTGTATGTCTGCCGGTAGCCTGCGGGGAAAACCCAATCGATACAACAAAGGATGTGCCGATATTCAGACACTCACCCGGTCAAAGTGCGCTGATTGGGGCATCCATTCAGGTATTTCTGATACGTCCCAATGGCTGAGTTAACGCAGAGTAATGTGTTATGGCTCGTTGCAGGAAGGAGAGAAACATATGCGTACGTGCATCAATACCAACTGCATAGCCGCCCGTCGTATCCTGCTGGCAGCTGAAGCCCCATGAGAAAAGCCATCGTGTACTGATCGTTGTATGAGGACGCATACTTCAAGCAGAGCATACTGAGGTAGAATGCAATGGTATTACAACAGCATTCGGCTGCATGCAATGAGCGCCAGGTGTATGTGCCACAGATAGACACTCACAGACTTGGTCATCGCAATGGTCTCCTGGTGGCTTGCCAGGCATAGAAGGCACTTGATCTAGAAATCATGTGAGGTTGACCATTCGGTAAGATGGAGGCTGAGTAGATTCCAAACTGACAATCGACGTTGCATATTTGTCTGAGCCTTTCATATGTCACGCCTTGACGGTGGGATTGAGTCAATCTCCTCGCTCGACGATGAAAGGTGGAGGAGCGAACGTACAAGGGTTCTCGCCGACGACGTCCGTGTACCAGTCTAGCTGTCGAGATGCGCACGTCGTATTGCCAGCCCGAGAGAATTTGGCCAGAAGCATGATCATGAACAGAGCGGCGGGCCCGCTTAACCTGACCATCACAGGAAACCAGACTCAAGGAGGTAAAGCCACGGGAGAGCGGGGAAGACACTACTAGCGCGGACAATTCGGGAGTAAAGAACGGATTGCTCGCTAAGGAGGCCACACCGTCCGAGGGCGGTTCACAGATCGCAGCAGGTGGTGGGGGGACTCTTGGGACAAGGTCACAAGCGACGCCATGAATGTTTGAGCAGAAGCCTGATCATATGGACCGCTTTGATCTCATCGCGGGTGGGAAAGACGTTCACAAGGCAACAGCGTTCATTACTGCGAACAGTCCTATCCTCTTCAGGATCGATTCCGGGATGTTTAAGCGACGCGGCTGTACCTGCCGAGTGAGGTGCCAGGGCCCTACATAGCCACCAGGCCCACCAGACACCTGGTGATACGTACGATTCCAGAGGTGGTGAACAAGAAGAGGCTGTCGTGAGATGTTAATTGCCTAAGCGTGGTGACTTATGCGGTTTGATGCTATACTTACTATCGTGGATGACTCGAGACGTTGAAGCCTAGCGTCGCGGAGGGAAGGTAGGTCCATCCACAGATACAGGCTACTGGAGCTCTAACCCCACCCATCCCAGTATTCTGACGTCTATAGCTAGATCTAACAGAATGTCGCGCCAGGATCCGCCAGGGAACGTTCACGCAACAATCAACAAAAAAATTTTGGTCTTCAATCTCTCTTGGGGAGAAAGTATATACTGTTACTCGAATGGGAGGACATGGTCCGATCGATGACTATCGTACGTGCCAGAACTCGAGACAAGGATACATATGATCGAATGCGGAGAGTGGGAGGTGCGACCGCAAGAGGTATACCGATTCGTTGCAAGCAAAACCGAAGGAAAAAAAAAGAGTAAGGACCCAAGGAGACGTCGTGCAGATCGCTGTTCGCAAGAGAGTCGCGCCATCGCGTCTACTCCTTTGCTATTGACGATCTTCTCAGAGGGACGAGAGGCACATGCGGATCGAACTCCTGCGGGGACGGCGACGCGACCGAGGATGATCCCGTTGGGGATAAGACGCCAAACGGCTGTGTCTCTGAGTATGCTGAACCCCCTGCTGACCCCGTTCCAGGGACGGATGCTGAGCCACAGTTGGAACCCGTGCCCGTTGCCTGCTCCCAAGAGCGGTATGCGGGTGGCAGGCGGCCGGAAGGTGAGCGACTCAGCTCGGCGATAGGACCAGCATCGTCGTGCCGGAGAGACTCGTCGGGGGATAACGTACTGGGAGGGATGATCGAGTGGCTCACTTGGGACCAGATTGCTGACCCAGCACCGAATCCTGGATATGGTTCCCCCACCACTGTTCCACCTGAAGCGAAAGCCTCGCTCCCTGGGGACATTGCCCCTATGCTGGCCGCGAACGGTGTGGCAGATCCCATCGGGGGATTGTCCTGGTAGCCATAGCTGTAATGCGGATCTGGAGTCGCAGGGGTAGCACCGCTGGGGTCTCTCCTGATCCTCCAGAAGACGAGAGCTCCGACGACGGCTGCCACAGCACCAATGCCCCCTAGCACTCCACCGACTATGGGGCCAATATTGTTGTGGGAACTATGGCTGCCACTTGCATTGTTGTCCGCTCCGGTTTGTGCTGGTGCACCAGAATAAGAGGTAGAGGTCTATGAAGACAGTGATTAGCGAGGTCTTTCGTGCAGTGCGGGTAAGGTTCCCACAGATTGCGACGAGATTGTCGTCGTCGCCGGGGCAGCACTACTGCTCGAGCTGGAGGTAGACGTGGGTGTGGACGAAGGCGAGATCTGATTCGCGCAGTGGGTGAAGGTGTTATTGTTGTTTGCGGCGTGGTCGCGATCAGCGTTTTCTTTCGTCCATACACTATATGACAGGTGAGCGCGTGTCGCGGTAGTTGACGATCTGGCGCATATACGTACTAGTACCTGGGAGATGCGTATTTAGCATACCCTCGCACGAGCTGAGCTGTAAATGGCTTACCAGGAACCGTCATCCCACCCACCATATAGATAATTGTCTAATCGGATGTTCAAATTACACACGGCTGACTGGATGTCGTCTGGAAGACTGCAAAAATGAGCACGCACGCCTCCAGCATCCCCCCGACGAGCTGGCACTCACGAATGATTCGTCCCCGCACCACAGGTCTGCCGATAGAGCGTATACGCTCCCACACCTGTCCGCTATACTGTAAGCGATGATGTTGAACATCTATTCGCAAGTACCGACCTGCGTCAATCCCGATTTGGTCGCCAGGCTGGGTGTCATATTGGCAACTACACGGTGTGAGTACGCGTTGGGATGAAACAAACAACGAGTAGCGAGCTTCACTCACTTCATGCAGAGCATGCTCAGCTGGAACGCGACGGTGTTGCAGCAACATGAGGCTAGATGCGTGATGAATTGGAAGAACTAGTGGGCCCAACCGTGAATACACACCAACTTGGTCATCGCACTGATCTCCAGGGGTGTTCGTCCTGAAAGTCGGCACTTGATCTGCAAGACAGTTGGGGTCATAAACACGACGCACTCAGACACGGCAACGTGCTTACAGTCATTGTTGCAGATTTGACGTAGCCGCTGGTACGTTACACCTGTGTGTTCCCATGTCGCATCCCATGCCTATCAGGATAGCCCTGGACAAGCAGACTCACAAGGTGACTCTCCGACTACGCTCGTGTACCAATCCAGCTGGCTGCTTGCGCAAGTAGTGTTGCCCGCGTTCGCGAACTGAACCCACAGCGTGGGGATGAGGGAGGCTGTGCCTAGCGTGAACGCCGTCCACCAGACCATCGGTGCAGTTCAAGTTACAGGAAGACGAAGAGGCACCAGTAGTCGACGAGCAGACAGCTGGAGACGACAGCCCGAGCGCGGGGGCTTGGCGTACCTCAACGCCGGAAGATAGTGCCAGACACAATGAAGGTGAACAGACAGAGCAGCGTGAGAGGGCCGAACGCTGCGCCATAAACCGTCGCGACGCCACAAAACAGCCATTAGTCAAAAGCTATGATCTTGCCGAGCGAGCAGCCTTCGATTTCCGAAGATATGTACGTACTCAACATTGTCTCCAATGATCGCAATCACAGACGGATGGCCGATCGTTGAGTGGTCCAGGCACACCAATGCTAGGATATATCGGAGAAGGTGTTCGCTACTGTATGCTCCGTACCGACGCTGGTGGAATCCTCCTGCGCTGTTCATGGCTTGCCAGTGATTGCAGTCGATCGTCCTCTGCAAGTCATAGAATATGTATGTACGTTGGCGGCTCAACTGCATCCACACTGCATCCGAGGCCCTTCCACAGAGCTGACGCGTGGTTTGTTTGATAGAGTTTGATGGAGGGTGTTCTAATTGACATGCACCGCTTCCTTGTGGGCACGCACAGGCGCGGAGGACCAGGACCCCCGGTTATTCACTCGGAGGAATGATCCGATTTTCCAAAATCTTGCCATAAATGTCCGAAGGATCAGGCCTTTCCGGGAGCCAAATCTGTCCGGATTCGATCAGGCCTTCCGTATTTGTGCGCAAATTTGGCCGGACTATAGATCAGGCCATCTGGCGGCATGATGTTGTCCGGATTGGGCAGATCAGGCGCCCAGAGGCTGAATTTTCGCTCAGGGAATGTCCATATTGTTTCTTTCAGAGATCTACGGCAATCTGGACAACATAGAATATGCTAGGGGTCATCTTGCAAATGGAGAGGCAAGACATTCTGTCACTCAGCAGGCTGCCCTACCTCTTGCCCTCCAGCGCTTCTTGCGCAATTTCTCAGTTCACCGTTGGAAATGCAGAAACGTCCCTTTATGTTCCGGGATACAAGGAAAAAGAGATAGCGACACCGGTTTGCAAGCCTTGGTGATCAATGAGCGATACTGTTGGTCAACCGGTCAGGACCGGGTAGCTATCATCCAACACCGGGCCGCCCAAGGGCGGACGGGGATCAGGCCTCTGCCTGGTTGGACCAGTTTTGTCCGGACTTTGGCACCAGGCCATCCAGAATTCGAACGTCGATTTGGCCGGATTGGATCAGGCATAGGCCTTTTTGGGTGGCCAATTTTGTCCGGATCAGGCATCATTCCTTTGGGAGAATAATCGGGGGTCCTGGAGGACCCGAAGCCAAAAGTGCACACACCCTATTGGATGACTTTCCATAAGCTATCTACGGCTCTACGTAGGCTCGTCCCCTGCCGAGATCCGGTGATGGCGATTTACGCCGACCACCGAAACGGCTGGTCAAACTGGGCGTCCTCCTGGCAGGGTGCCCATATTTGGTACCCCGTGAGAGAACGTACTTAGTGAAATCGCGATGAAGCTCTCTAGAGAAAATGCGAGGCCATGGCCTCCCTTCATCTGTCCTCCGTAGTCCCTCATATAATCCCCTGTCTAGACATGTAATGCATCATATGTATCAGAACTATGAAAACTGAGATGAACCTTCATCAGGATATGAGTACATGCTCGACAGCGGCCTGGGAGGGAAACTGGTGTACTGTGAGGGATCGACAAACTGGTGCGCGAAAGGTCCGGGAGATCGGTGCTGTATGGGACTGTGGGAATGAATGGGTTGGGAAACATGATGTGAAGACGGGGATGACAGTGCCGAAGGAAGGAATTGTGGAGGGAAGATATTAGGCGATGGGGAAGGGAGACGGCTATATGCCAATGGGGTATACGAAGCGGAGAAGGTATCTTCATGCTGATGCTGAGTAACAGGTGTTGGGAAACGTGGCTGACTGAGTTGCTGATACTGCGAGGATACAGAAAAAGGCATTGGAAATGGGGGGGGGCGCGATTGTTGAAAATGCGGAGATGGTAGCGGGAGATTGAGTGTCGCTGGACGATTCATCTGGTAAGGTGAGGGCGGTGGCTGGACATGCAGGCGTGAAGGGGGGCGCGACAATCCCCAGGGGGCTTGGCCTGGAGCGCTATGTTGCGAGGAGTATTGCGAGGAATGTTGCGATGGTGTTGCGGAAGGGCCGAATGCGATGGGGGGTCGATGGGGATATGGGTGCAGCGGAATAGGTGTGATCAGTGGCGGATGTAAGCTTGGGGTGTGTGTGTGGTATGGAGTTAACGGGGGGTAGGTTTTTGAGAGCGGGAGAGGCGAGGGAAAGGGGGGGAACAAGGGTGGATGGACGACGTCGGAAGAACTCATGGGAGAGAGGGGCCTTGTAGCGAAGGGCTGCGCAACAATCGACGCTGGGTGTCCGCCTCTACTCGGGTCCGGGATCGCCGGCCCCAATGGAATTGTTCGTAGACGCTTGGGCATCACAGCGGCACTATAGAGGTCTGTCGGAGTGGGCGCACGTTTGCATTGTGCGTTGGCTAGGGAGGAGATGGGGCGTCGTTCAAGTATTGGAGTGGAAGGGGGAGCATTTTGGGCACGCGTTTTGCTGGGGATGGCTGAGAACTTGATTTCGAGGGTAGCCACGTACATTCCTAGCTCTACACCGTGGGTGTCGTGGAATGGCCATTTGTCTTTGATGAGGTTGAGGGCCTGGTGGGATTCAAGCGGACCATGTGAGACGAGCATGAGAATGAGTTCGTCGTCTAGAACAGATGTCGCGTCATACTGGGCACTAGGGTGATGCTTGCCAAAAATATTGTTGCGCCAGTTACGCAGCTTGTCCTGCGCGCAGAGGTCCGGTTCACCCCGTTTGAGGTTGCGTGCTCGGCTTTCGGGTGGGAGAAGAGGTGGTCGTGCGCGATCGAACAGTGAAGGGGAGCAGATATCGCAGCAGGGGACCACTGGAGCTACAGGGATGTAAGTACGTACTGCTATTGACGTGCAAGGGTACTTACCTAACGGGTGCGGATTGTCGAATATGCGTGCCCATACTTGGCGTCGACATGAGGTGCTCTGAACAAAGGCTAAGAGACCCTCGTCAGGGCTATCTTCAACAGTATGCGGCTGGACACCAGTCAGTGGAGCGTCTTGTCGCGCCGAACCTCCCCGCGCTAGACCGTGTGCGAGCGCGTATTCCCGAATGTCTCCTTTGTTGCGCTTCTCTTTGGAGACCGTGCGGACAACTCGATCATCACCATCTATGGCTCTGCGGATTTTGGCCTTGGACTTTGAATGCGCGAACATTTCTCCTTGGTTCAAGGACGGCCCAAGGTCGGTGTTGTATGCCGATCGCTCTACGAGCATGATGGCGATGCCCGTGCGATCTCGGCCTCGTGCAGCGCGTCCAGCTCGCTGGATGTAGTGAGAGAAAGTCGCTGGCAGCTTCCATTGGATCACCCGATCAATATCGGGAATGTTGCAGCCCTGGGTGAAGACACGCAATTACAGTGAGTGCACGGAATTGACATCCCAAAGCCGTCGAGTACCGCAAGGAATGTACACAAAGATAGCTTGGACAAGGGATGTGTCCCTCGACATTCAGGCAAATGAGTTTACTGATTCGCACCAACAGGAGAAGTGGCGCGGTTGGGTAGGTGCAAAAAGGGATAAGATCAGAAGACGTACCATACCAGCAGCGTCAGTGCAAACCAAGACGCGAATGTTGCCGTCGCGAAAGCGTGACATCGCCAATGTTCGATACCGATGTGAGAGAGTGGCGTTGAAGGGACGGACAACGCCTCGGAAGCGAGCTCGATCTGGTTCGGACGCGGTCAGCAGGTCGAAATGTTTGTCGAGCAGACCATTTAGATAATCGATGATTTCGCCCCCGGTTGCGATGCTGTCGACGTAAACGTAGGTCTTCGGAATGTCGGTGATGGAACGGAGAGTGGGGGGGATTACAAACGAGAGGTCGGCATAGCTATTGAGAGGATGCTCGCAGGCGCGTACCACGATGGACACATTTGCGCGGTCGTTCCCTTCGTTGCAGTAATGGCTTTGTGTGTCTGATTGAGCGAAATGGAGGGATGCCCATATGGCTCGGACGACTCGCGGAGTGAGGGTGGCGGATACGGCGATGACAGGCGTACCACGGGGCAAGAACGCGCGCACCTTGCCTAGCGTGCCATACTTCTTGCGGAAATCTGTGCCCCATAGGACAATACAGTGAGCTTCATCGACAAACATCGAAATGATTCGCTTCATAAAGCGACTATTGCGGAGGATGCGGTTCATGAAAGTACGGGACTGGAGCATTTCGGGGGAGACAAGTATGACTTGATATTCGTGCGCAAGAATGGCCTATGAAATGGCTTGTCATGAGGTCGAAAAGGCAACGTGGGCTTAGAGGATGACATACCTTAATCGCTTCAGGAGAACATGCACCATTTTTGCTGTTCAAGGCTATGGCTCGTAGGCCAAAGTCGGTGAGAAATGTTTGGCACTGAGATCTCCGGTTGTGAGCATATGATCATAATGAGAGAAATATAATCCACCATCTCTTCTTCTAAAGCCAGTAGCGGGCAAACCATAAGCGTAAATCTCTTCTCATTGCCGGCCCATAGATGGGGTCCAGCGGCGATAGCAGTCTTGCCTGCTCCAGTCGGCGCCTGCACAATCATGTCGGTGCCTTCGATCTGAGCTTGTACAGCACGAAGTTGGAACTCCTTGGGGTCAGCATCCCAGCGGTAAGCATCTCGCATTTTTGCAGCGAGATTTTTGAGGTCGTCGTCGGAGAGCTTAGGGCGAGGAGGGGTCTGATGAATACCGCGGTTACGAGCGCTGTGGGCCCGTAAAGGGCGGCGAGATGTGACAGGCTGATGAGGATGCATAGGGAAAGTATATTGAGAAGTAATCAATGAGGCAGAGGGGTTTGCGACAGTACACAGAACGAGGAGGAGAATGCGCGGGCGGGCGCTTCACACAGGCGCTGGTCAGCCTCTGAGGACCTGTCGTGCCAAAATCATCGCATTTGCTGTTCTATCGCTCTCTAGCTACCATTCTGCCCTCTTCTGCTACATGTCTACCTGAAAGCATACGTCAATATGGCAGACCCAAGTGTTCTAGATGGTCTGCTTGCCATGTCCCCCTTGCCTCCTTCTTCCCCTCTAAGCGAGCTATCTTCGGTCCCGACCGATCCACTGGAACCGAAAGATGGCACAGCGAGTGAGGAGACCGAAGAACTCCGTCTGGAATGTCTGTGTCATCTTGGTGGGGATGGATGCGTTGCGCGAGATGAGCTTCGTCATGATGCCGCCAAGGGTCTCGAGAACACGATAGAGGACAGTGATGTCGAGCAAGAGGTTAACCCCAAGACCTACGGAGAGGTGAGCTACGTTCCGTGTTTGAAACCACTATCTTACAGCATCTACGATAGCCTGCACCAACAGTCCGACATCCTCCCCAAACTCCTCGCACGCCGCGCATGGTAGACATGGGCTCTGAAGGGGTCATGTTCGGGGTGGACTCAAGCGATCCCGGTGTTCTATGGTCGTCGCCCCTTACGATACACAAGCGGCGCAAGAAGCAGGCGGCCAGGCGCCAGGAAAGTCTTGCGGCATACCACGCCACGCGCGCGCACACGCACGACGAGCAGCTCCTCGCAGCCGTACAGGCCGAGAAACAATGTGCGCAGCTTGTTGCGCTCGCAGGCCAGGAGGGCCGCGCAAAGTGCTTCCGGGATGTTCTACAAAACCTGGAGCTACATGGTCAGACCTGGGGCGACTTCGTAGAATGGATCTCCATGCCTACCTCAGGTGTTGCCAAGGAGAGATACGACGGGCTTTTCAAGAATCGAGACCGCCAGACCGGGGAGTCTCAAGTCGCGCGCATCCTAGACCTGTGGACCACCAAAAACTCTCAGACTGGCCGCCGGGATGTTCACGGTTGGGCTACAAAGTACCTGGGAAAGGTGGTCAGCGAGGAAGCGAACGCAGTCACCCGAGACGGTGTGCTCATGACCAGGCGGCAGCCAATCACGGGGCAATTTTTCCTCGCCCTCACACTCTCCTCCATCCACCAGAAGATCCGCGAGTTGTGTCCTACAATGACGATTATCTTGCATGCTTTCAGCACCACTCAGCGCCAGCAAAAAGCGAACATCGCTGCCCAGAGTGGCCGAGAGAAAGCGCGAGTAGCAAAGAGAGAGGCTCGCAAAGAAAATGTACGTAGTCAAGAGATGTAGCAAGCTGTCACTTACCCAAATTACTTCATAGCGTATCGGCTTTGCAATGACCAACCTATTGGGAGAACGCAGTGAAAACAATAGCCTTGCGAGACATCTCGTCGGGCTTTACATGTATGTCAGTGGAGCCTCACGTCAGTTAATATCAATCATGTCTAGGATCGGGGTCTCCAGTAGCTATGCTAGTATAGCTGGCAGTCGCAACATTGAGGTTTCTGAGTCCCAAACGAGGAGCGTGGTGGAAGACGACCAGGAGACAGACCAGGACGACCCCGATTGGGAACCGGCGAGCGACCAGGACGACGACAACGACGATGACACTGAGTCAGATAGCGGCCAAGATTTCGAGACGGTCAGCGAGGAAGAAGAGGCCATTCCTCCAGAACAGAACCCAGGCGAAGGGGACAGCAGCAAGGACGAAGGTGGCCAGCATGCAGGATGTGAGAGATGTGGAGAATCTCAAGGCGCGCGAAGCGCGATCGAGGACGCGATCGAGCGCGCTGCACTGGCGCCCACGCGCGCTACAGGCCTCCTCTCGCGCGGTGCTGGTTTGCTCCGACGTATATCAGAATCCTGCCGGCACACTGCTCGGGAACGCGGGGAAAGCTCCCTGCTTGGGCATGTATACGACAATATCAACATGGTTTTCAAAGTGGCCGAACAAATTTTAGGGCGCAAGGACACCCAGGAGAACGGGACATGCGCGACTGTGTTCCCTCTCGACAACGCTGACCCCGAAGACATGAAGGCAGCAGACCTCCTAGCCGCGTTCGATGCAGCAGACCCCCTGGCTATGCGCGACATCTGTCATACCCCTGCTGAGGCCCAGCAATTCCGGAAATCGCTTGAGCACTCCCTCCTCCGTACGATTGTCTACAGCTCTGAACATTTTGCCCCCTTCCGCGCCAAACTCGATGCTTGCCTCCCAGGAACTGATGACCAGATGCGCCTTAGAAGAACTGATACGTACCCTTTGCCTGCGATGAATATTGACGAGTCCAGCACCACCGGAAATGCCGAGGTCCTTGACACGATGTTCACGGAGCTCGAGTATGCGCGTCGCCGACCCATGTTCCCGGGCTATTCAACACTTCTTTTTGGCGACCAGCTATCTATTTCTCGAACGCGCACCATTATAGCTAACCGCGCAGGCCATGAGGATATCAGACGGTCCTACGCCAATATCGTTTTTGGTCCAGGCTTCTTCCACCACCAGATGGCTGTCACGCACGGCATCATCGAAACTCACTTTGGCGACCCTACTGCTGGACATCGCAACCCGGCTTCCCTCTCGTTTTTTAATACTGTCCTAGATCGCAAGCCCATCGTCCCATCTTCCCTTCCACCATACCGAACGTGTCGCGATCTCATCTTCACCAGTCTGTCGGCCTCTGCACTACACTGCCTCGAGCTTGTTTCCGGCTCAGACTCTTTGGAGCAGTACGTCACCAAGCTCTCCTTCAAAAAACTGCGCAGCGATGTTATTACAATATACGACCGCTATATCGCCCCGAGTGTGGTTGCTGACCTCCGAATCGCGCGACAGGACGAGGTTGCAGAGCGCGTCCGCCACCATGCCATGACCACTGTGCCGAACGCAGCTTCCACCCCGCCCTTCGACCCGCTTTCCGAACCCCTGAAAACTGGCGACATGGTATTCGAAAACGCGTGCCTCTTTATGCGCGACGCGTTGGTACTCCGTGAATTCACGGACGCAATCAAGGGCGGGTTTTCTGGGCGGATAATTCGCGCGCTCAAGATCCTCGCGCTTATGTACCGAGGAAGTGGCCGCCTCAAGTACGCCCACGAATGTCTGCACCTCATTCACAACCTGACGTCTGTTTGGCCCAGACCTCTTCGGTGAGTCCCCAGTGCTCTGAATGTCAAATGTGCGCACCTCACACAAACACGTCTACAGAGCTATCATGATCAATAATTGGCTCGTCAACCCCACAGGTAAGCCAGACGCCTGGGTCCCCGTTGATCTTCTGCAAGAACACATGAATTTTTGGATCAAGGTTGGCTTGTTATCGTTCATTGGTGTTAGAACTTACTCACGCGGGCCGCAGGTTATTTATAAAGCGCAGGGAAGCAATGCGTCCTGGGAGTGGTTGCAGATGGTCTCGCCTTGTATCTCCGTCTTTCGCCAACTCGCTCTCCAGATGAACGCCACCCTCGGAGCACGCCTTGGCACCAAGCACCAATCTCCGGACCTTCAAAAGGACTTGGAATTGTTGTCTAACTCGATGCGCGAGAACGGTATCTTCCATGTCGAACCAGGACGCGTTCTCCGCGCTATGACGAGCGCCGAGGTGCCAAACGTGGTTGCCACTGGTCTCAAGCAGCTCCCAGGTCCCCTATTCGAGTACAATAAGATGTTCCATCAATTACAACGCCGCCGTCGTGAGACTCCTCTCGTCACCCCTCCCTCTAGCCCCCACCCCTTGCCTCCATCAACCCCGACCACTGTGGAGTCCTCACCCCTACCAGATTCCGTGCTTCCTGAGGTGAGGATGTGATACACGTCATGAATACTCATTGACATACCTTATAGGCTCAGGTACAGGCTCAAAATCCGACCATTGGGACCGATGCAGACGACGAAGAATATTGGCGCGACTACGATGCCGATGCATATGAGCCGCGTTCTGCCTTTGCCGAAGAGGAGGAGCCATCATTAGATTTAGAGGACTGGTAAATTTATATACATTGCATCTGAACACTACAATTTCCGGAGAGACGATCTTCAAAACCACCGCGCGCGAATTCTCTAGATAGCTTGAACGCGATTTCACTAAGTACGTTCTCTCACGGGGTACCAAATCGGGGTGCCCTGCCAAAAGGGCGCCCAGTTTGACCAGTCGTTAAGGAACGCTGCCTCCTCCTTTTCGATCTCCGCTGATGCGTTCCGTACGACTGGTTCGAGTCTAGGCTCTACGGACGTCCGGACACATCGAGCATTCCTCCATCCGCTCGGCCGATTGGCAATCATGACGGTCTCCACACAAGCTTGTTGAGTGAGTCTTGTGATAATGGACGACTTTCCATAAGGGCCTGTTCGGCAAAGAGTTGGAGTTAGAGTTACCGGCATTTCATGCCCAAATATAGTAATAATATCTCGGTTTTCGATTTCGAGAGAACTCGAGTTACTCGGGCGAGTGCATGCGTTCGGATGCCTCCCAGCAACTCCGGGCGGTTGTTATCAGCTCACGTCGTAATTTGTCTTGAGGCTCTACCCTTTTGGCAGCCTGCTTGATTCTCTCTGTATAGAGTATTGGGATGGCTATAATGACCAGTGTAGAATGTGATCAGACATCTGAGGCCATCCTACTTGGGGGATTAGAGCAGGCTACTACCAAGGCCCGCCCAGCCAAAATAATGACAGTTACTGCTATTATAGCCTGTCTTCGGCGCTCTATATGAGCCCGATGGATTGCTTGGTAAATTTTGACAGCTGCTCTTGTGTAGACCACGGTGAAGCAGGGATGAAGCAGAGCCCATCTGATAAGCCATAGCTATTGGTATACTAGATACATGTACGAGTTCAGGGCGCTTGTCTCCTCCGGATTTCACGGATACTCCGCTCCTGTAACTCTAACTCGCGCAGAAATTCTCGGAAGTGCCGCCACGTGACAAAATGCCGGTGACTCGTAACTCCAACTCTTTGCCGAACAGGCCCTAAGGATTTACGGCTCTACGGACGTCCGTAGATTTCTAGGCGGGGTTTGAAACAGTCTGTGGATCTTGGGCGCTAAACAGGCGGCATGTTCTGCTCATCATCAGCACGTGACTGGAGTGGCTTATGTCATGTCTGTATTTGGCATGCAGTTCGCTTTGTCATGATGGCTCCTTCCTTTCTCGTGGTCACGGCACCGTATGCCGAGGTCTACGGACTGTCTACGGCCTGTTAGAGATTTAGAAAGGGGGGTCGGACCCCCCTCCTAGATTTTGACGTCCGTATCCTAAATTTCATCAGCGGAGTTCAGATCTGGTGTCGGCAACACTGCCCCTTGCCCAAATCGGTCTGTTTAGAGATTTATATATCTACATGTATGCGCGTTCTATGATACGCAAACCTCTATCTGCTAGTATGTGTCGTGCTGTGTCAGTGACAACGTTGAATCATTCCGAGCATGAGCATGAACTTGAAGTGTCGTCATGTCATAGTTGGGCTGCAGGGCATCATCCACCTGGCGCGCTATGACGTGGGAGGGTTGGTCGTCACCACGGAGCGCTTCCCGCCTGCCTCTTTGACCTCCCATTTTCTCCGCCATGCTTCGCCCTTCCACAAGACCAGGAGAATGAGGATGTTAGCAAAGATCATGAGCCCCGCCCACAGAGAATACAGTCCTCCATCACCGATCGCATCCTGTTTGTTCAGAGCATGTGAGGATCCTACTCGAAAATTCTTCACTACGTAGCCGGGAGCGCGCACCTGTAGTGGGACTGCCACCTCAGCTGCGATAAAAGCGGTCGTGCCTCGGAAGCAACTGTTTGACGCTACGGCTGATGAAGATCGTCCGGTGTTTGCGTCAACGATGTATGCTAGGGTGCTTGAGTAGATCGCGCTGGCGACGGAGATCCAGTCAATTGAGGCTCTGTTGAGCGTACCGCGTCCGTCCTAGGTCACTACTCACATCAAGAAGAGACCGGTGAGGAAGAGCAGCACGCAGATGGCGGCGACGTTAACATGGCGCTCGCATACCCAGCCGTAGCCGATAGTAGCCGCCGGAAGGAGAGGCATGAAGATGATGGTGCTCTCCAGACGCATCTGCGTACGCAGGAGGACGTGAATCACGGTGTTGATCGGATCAAGGCAGGTACCAAAAAACAGCGGCATACCTCAGCAGCACTGACACCGCCATTACGGGCCTTCAACTTCCTAAAGACGTAGTCAGAGTAACGCCCTCCGAATATGCTTCCACCAAGACAGCCTATAGAGGAAACCACGCGTGTTTATTATAGGCAGGGCGCATCCGTGGTCAACCCGCACTGCGACTCACCCGCGCCGAAGGACAGTAGGACAAGCCCGATCTTTAGGGCGTTATACCCATACTCGTTTGCAAGCGTCCGTGAGCACGTGTACGCGATGCAATAGCTCAGGCCGAAGATCAGCCCTATATAGCGCGGATCCAAAAAATGACAAAGTTTTGTGCCGGTCAGCAGAGTGATCACGCAGAGGTTAGATTGCGTTCCCAGACTCACCCGAAGCGACCAAAATAACAAGGTTGTTTATCCGCCGGAGCACGTACCACAGCGGCTTCGCCGGGTTCACGTCCGCGATTGTGAGCTTCAGATCGTCCATGTCCGTCGGCACGGCACGGGGAGGCATCTGCTGCTTCTCCAAGTCCCGCTCCCGGGCGAGGGTCTCAATCGCGTCCTTCTTCGCGTCTCCGGGATAAGCACCGGATGGGTTCTCGGGCTTTGGGGTGATGGCGCGAGAAATAGCAGCGACTTGGGTGATGCTGGACGATTCGGAACCCTTCGCAGACATGATAGCGCGGCGGCGCTTGAGGGCAGCCTGGTAGGTGAGGCTGCGTTCGCGCCGATATGTGTCCCTGAAAGGGATGAAGAGGAGGAAACACGCTCCGGTGAATATGGCTATAAACCAGAATGTTGCGCGCCAGCTGAACGCTTGCGTAAGGATGCCGCCGAGGATGGGGCCAAGTGAAGGCCCCAGGAGAGGTGCGCTGTGCGGGCCTGTGGTCAGCGTCGCCGACCTAAGATGAGTCGTGGTGTTAACGAACCTGTAGTATATTCCCATCATGGTTCCACGCTCATGAGGCTCGTAAATATCTGCCAGGGTCGCAGCCCCTAGAGACATGACCGCACTCGACCTGGTTGTGTACAGTCAGAACAAATATAGCTTCCTGGTCAGGGTGATTACCAAGACTCACCCGAGGGCCTGTATGCATCGCATTCCAATGAGGACGTCTATTGTCTTCGACAAAGCTGCGACAATGCACCCGATGGTACACAGCGCGGTCGACACCAGATAGACTTTCTGATGTAAATATCAGTCTCGTGAACAAGCAAGCTAATGTGACTATCATTCGACGTACCTTCCTACCCCAGAACTCACTGAGCGCACTCCATACCAACGGCAATGTGCCCTGAAGAAGGATGAACAGCGATAAACTCCACGCAAGCGCACTGCTGGAGGCATGGAGCTGCTCTTGGACCTGCGACAACGCCGCTACGACACGGACGCCATAGTGAATATAATCGTTTTGCACGCGTCTATACCGCACCTCCAGACGATGTAGTGCTCACGGTTGTACATGGTTCCGCTTAGCCCAGCGACTACGCTCGCCGCGGAAACGGTTGCCAAGACACACCACTGCATAGCTCATGTCAGCGTTCTTGACCTAGTACGACCATATCGTTGCCTCGAGGGGAGAAGCCGGGCGCAGCTCCCCCCGTAGCAAAAAGTGATTTGAGAGGTGCACACCTTGCGCGATCGAGACCATTCTCGAGGATCGTCTACGACCAAGGCATGCTCGATGTCCGCAATCGCTATGGCGGGCGCAGAGTTGGCCTGAGGCTTTTCGTGTGACATAGAGAGTCCAAGGTATGGGCGGACGATACTACAGTGTCGGTGGGTGCGTAAAATGTGCTACGGGGCCCTTCGTTCGGTTCTTCGATGTTTCGGAGTATTTAAGGCCTATAACGGGGGGTCGTCTGATTCTACGACGTGCGCAAACGTACGTATCACATACTTCCGTGCCGGCGTCCCGTGGGTTTTATCTCTGAGCCAGCGGGCAGATGCGCCGTTCGAGTGTCGGGAGGTTTCGGCCGATGCCTTGAGGCTGTAGCTACACATCCCCCACCCGCATTTGTTACGAACCGCGACCCCACACTCGATGCAAACATGCGCAACTCCATGTTTTTATGACGAGAAATAGTCTGGCTCATCGTTCCTGGTTGAAGAAGGGAAGTTTGGACACGAGGGCCTTCAGTTGACTGGCAACGTGCATTTTCGAACCTTGCACTGAAGGGTTGACACGGCTGCGGTGAAGAGATTGCCCCATTAGCCAGTGAGCCGTAGTCTACGGTCATGGGTCCCACATCCTCACCCTAGGCGTCCAGGAGACGTATGGAGGTGAATCTTGCAGGAGTAGACGCGGAGCTCGAGAGGGCGTTCCAGCAGACTGAATGATGACGTCATGTGTATCCTCGCAGTCAGTACTTGCTTTACTACTACTACTACGTACGCCATGTTCCAATTTGAAGCAGAGCGGGTTCATGATGCATTCAACTTCGCAGCTGACAGATCAAAGGCCAGTACTTTGTAAGACCCTGGCATCGGCCAGGGCCGAGTTGGAGAAGGAGTACTCTTAGACGCTGTGCATGCTCCTTGAAGTGGCGAATACAACCGAGTATGTGCAATATGTAACATAGCGTTCTTGAAGCATCAGCAGCTGAGTATAGCGCATGCGAGGGCGGAACGAGGAGGCGGTTGACTGCGCGGCTAGCGCTGGCCCGCCTTCTTGAATAAGCGCTGAGACCCTACGCGCACCGTCATACAGGCTGCAGAACCCCATCCGGCTTGCTCTCTACCCCCATCTCCTCCTGGCATGTCCGACGACGATCCAACTCACCATCAGCAAAACATAAGTCCCTCCACCACAGCCTCCTACGTATACCCCATCCGCTCTCTCCTCTCCGGCATCCAAGCGGCGTCAAATGCAGGGGCTTCTGGTCGGTTAATCATCACCTTCCTTTCCTACTCTCTAATTCTTCACTAGACGAGTCCAGCACCCTCCCAAGCACTCCAACAACGATCCCGGAGGCTCCCCTCGAAGGTGCAGCTACCACACAACTGAGCCGGGGAGTCGGTGGTCGCGGTGCTCAACTACGTGCCGTCTCTTCAGAGTCTTCGTTGAGATCCCATGGTCGGCACAAGCACTCCATTCCCAACTTCCGCGACTTCCCCCCAGACCAAAGTCCGTTCTCTCCCAGGACGTTCTCCACCGCACTTCCCTCTTCTTGCGAACTAGGCTCTGGTCCAGGCGCAGACATCCTCTTCTCCCCGGACCCCACCAGCGAGACCGTCGTCTATCTTCCTGCAGCTGACTCCAGCCTTGATACCGACATTCCTCGGCATCCACCTCATCTTTCCGACGTCGCGGCGGGAGCATTTGCAGGGATCTTTTCGCGGAGTGCCCTAGTACCAGACGCGGCAGCGGAAGACATTGGTATACAGGTGGACTCGCCGGATTGTGCTTATGCCACCCCGGTTGATGATGCAGAGGATAGCGCGGGCTCTGACATCCTCTCTTCCCCTAGCGTGGAGCTGCCTTCCGCTGAGTCCATACCCGGCGGTCACGGGTTCGCGCCTTTTTCGCACTCGGGCATAGTCCATCTCGGGCCAGTTGAGGACAGTATGGATAGGCAGTCAAGCTCGCGGTCTCCCTCGGGTCATATATCCTCTAGTTGCCGGTATAGTGTTGGTCCCGAGTCACACTCTCACTCGCAGTCACTTCCAGCTCGGGGATCTGCTGATGCCCGGCGGCGCTCTATTACTCCTCCAATTGAGGAACGAGATACGGGTTCTCGAGGGCCCTCCGCGCATCTCTCGCAGTCGCGTTCAAACCCATCTTCGTCCTCCCCTACGTCTCGCTCAGGCAGCCGCGTAAGTGACTCCTCTGCGCTGGGCCAACATTTCACGGTGCGGTATCAGCACGTTGAAGACGAGAACGGCCATCATCTCATTGTCGGACGCGAGGGAAGACTAACACGGTGTGAAGATGAGGTAAGTAACGCAACTGCACGCACTCCTCCTATTCAATCGTACTCATACTGGTTAAGCCCATCCGTACGCCGGGTGCCGTGCAAGGCTTTGGTATCTTGATCGCCGTCGAGGAGGACAACGAGACAGGAAACCTCATTGTCCGTCAGGTGTCCGAGGTACGTCAACCTTCGGGTTTCCTTACATCTGCACTCCCGTACTCACGCGCACGCGCAGAACTCAACTGAACTTCTTGGCCTTTCCCCCTCCTACCTCTTCGACTTGGAGTGTCTTTCGCAAACATTTCCGGATCAGCAGGCAGACGTATTATTCGACAATATCCAGTATCTTTCCGACACCTCCCTCAGTTCCGAAGAACAAGCCGAGAACCTTCACGTCTTCATGCTCAGCGGCTTTGGCGAACCCGGCACTGCGTCCTCCGAAACTCTGAGTCTAGATCTACCTGATCCTCAACGACGCCGAACATGGACTTGCTGGTGTGCTGCGCATCGCCCGCAGATGGCCGCTCCCGCGAATACCGCGTCGGATGCGAGTGGTTCGGACAGCGCCCATCAGAACATTATCATCCTCGAGTTTGAGCTTGAACGCGACTTATTTAACCCTCTCTACCCACCGCCTGTCGCCGAAGAAGGCATCATGCGGTCCGGCGTGTCCTCACCTTCCGACCAATCTGGCTCTGCTTCAGCCTCCAATAGCTCGGGAAAGACGCTTGTGTCGCAGAGCTCTAATGGCACTTCAGCTGTTAGAACCCCGGAGCAGTCGACCTCTGTCGATGACAGATTTTCCGGCGAAGACACAGATCGCACTGATAGGAGCTCGCCTCAGTCCGCGCTTTCACCTAGTCCAACGACTCTCAGACAAACGCACAACGTACCCGAGGAGAACGAATGGATGCCAAGCGCTGAGGACGTTCTTGAGAGCACGACTTCCCGTTCAAAACCTCTCCTCGCTCTTGAGCGCCTCCGTCGTATACGACGGCCGGGCCTAGTTGGGGAACTGCTCACACCAGACTCAGGACGTGGTATTGAGAGTGGGAGCGCTACCATGGCGAGCGCGTCGATATCATCCCGGGGCAACTTCCGTCGGCGGCGTGGGACTGGCGCTGTTGGGATGATGGACGTCTTCGCGGTTATGGCTCAGATCAACGAGCAACTCGGCGCTGCACCAGATTTGGACACGTTCTTGAAGGTTATGGTGGGCGTGATGAAGGACTTGACGCAGTTCCACAGAGTCTTGGCGTATCAGTTTGACGAGGCATGGAACGGACAAGTCGTAGCGGAGCTCGTGGACTGGAAGCAGACCCACGACCTGTACCGTGGTCTGCACTTCCCAGCAACTGACATCCCCGCTCAGGTAAAGCCGTTGATTAATTTCTAGTTCGAGTCCATGCTAATTCTCATGTAGGCACGGGAGTTGTACGCGCTGAGTGAGTTTTCTATGCTTCCTACAGATGTGTTGATCTTGATAGACGTATCTTCGATAATCAATATGAACGTCACTGTCAATGTAATTGTGAACGACAGACAAGGTTCGACTGCTGTACGATCGAGAGCTGCCCGCGGCCCGATTAGTTGTGCGACGTAAAGAGGACTTGGATAAGCCCCTCGTATGTCTGCTGTGGAGTTGTGATCAAAGGGAACTGCTCATCCCGATCTCCAGGACATGACGCACTGCTACCTGCGAGCAATGAGCCCCATCCACTTGAAGTGTACGCTGCATTCGCTCTTCACGAGGAGCTCGATCGATGTTGATATTAGCTTGCTACCAATAGATCTGGAGAATATGGGTGTACGAGCGTCCATGTCGGTGGTGAGTGGCAATGGCGGGAACTTATTGCCTTACGGGTTACTCACGCAAGATGGTCATCAACTCTACGCTCTGCCTGCAAACTTGGAACGACCTCTCTCGATGCATAGTCGATCGTCGCGTTTGGTCAACTCTGGGGCCTTGTTGCATGTCATTCCTTTGGCTCCCACGGGATGCGTGTCTCGTTTCCCGTGCGGCAGATGCTCCGTCTGCTCTCGCAAACGATCTCTAGGAATATAGAGCGGTTGAGCTACGCTCAGCGGCTACATACACGGAAGCTGGTGCGTAATTATTGACGGTCTGAGGGTCTAATCTGTTGACTGGTGACGTCATTCGGTGGGATGCAGATCAATACTATGCCTGACGACCGACATCCGGGTGGATACATCGTTTCGAACGCAAACGATCTCCTCAGTTTGTTCGACGCCGATTATGGCGTTTTGGTCATCGGTGAAGGCGCGAAGATTCTGGGACCAAACCAGCACGGCCAAGAGATTCTGATCGTCGCGGAGTATCTGCGACTCAAGCAGTTCAAGTGCGTACAATCCAACAGACCTCCATACATTACCCTAACAAGAAATGCGTCCGATCTCAGCGCCCTTCAAGTTTCGCAGGCGGTGACCATTGACTATCCTGATCTCAAGCTCACCACTGGCCTGGAGATCATCGCTGGTCTGCTATATATCCCGCTGTCAGTAGGTGGCTGCGACTTCATTGCTTTCTTGCGCAAGGGTCAGCCTCGCCAGGTCAAGTGGGCTGGTCGGCCATACAAGCCAGGTGACGGTGAAGGACTCCTGGAGCCCCGAGCGTCGTTCAAGACATGGTCCGAGTCGGTCGCAGGAAGGTGCCGGGCATGGACAGATGAGCATCTTGAGACCGCCGGCGTACTTGCTCTGGTGTATGGGAAGTTCATCGAGGTGTGGAGACAGAAGGAGAGTGCGCTGCAAACGACAAAGCTTACCAACATCCTATTGTCTAATGCGAGCCATGAAGGTGCGTCCATTCGTGGTCATTTGGTGAATCCTGTGTTCACCGCACAAAAAACAGTGCGCACGCCTCTGAACCACATTATCAAGTGAGTCTTGTTGCAAAACCACCGGACAGCCCTTGACTGACTGCGCATGTAGCTACCTCGAGTTGGCGATGAATTCCCCTCTTGACAAGGAGACTATGGAGAATCTCAGCCACTCCCATGCGGCGTCGAAAAGTCTGCTGCTTACGATCAACGACTTGCTCGTAAGCGACCTGCGTCTCATTACTGTGAGGGTAACTGATTTCGTGCTTTCCTTCTTAGGACCTCACGCGCCTCGAGAGTGGTAATGAGACCTCGTTCAATGAGCCCTTCGATTTGCATCTGGCAATTGAAGGCGCCACTCAGCTCTACCGCAATGAGGCCAGCAGACGTGGACTGCGGTTCAACCTCGATCTTCAGAATTGTCCTAGGCAAGTCATCGGCGATAGCAAGAAGATCCGAACCGTGGTTGCAAATCTGACGGCCAATGCCCGTAAGTCTTCTAGTTTACCGAAAAAAATTCCGAGGACTGGCACCTAACGGGCTACGTCTCAAGTTAAATATACGACGCAAGGAGAGATTGCCGTCGTATCGCGTTATTTCGACGAGCCTACCGGCTTACGCAACTCAGGTGACGTCGCTATCGAAATTGTAGTATCGGACACCGGATGTGGAATCCCTACCGAGAAGTTGGAGAGCATATTCCGCGAATTCGAGCAGGTTGAAAGTGCGCCACAGCGTACACATTCGCCTGGTCTCGGTACGACACATCTCTAGTTGGATGATCCTTCCTGTGCTGACTGTGCGACAATAGGCCTTGGGCTTGCGGTCGTTGCTCGCATAGTCGAACAGCTAGGTGGCCAGCTGCGGGTCGACTCGTCTTTCGGCCAAGGCAGTCGTTTCTCTTTCCTACTCCCACTTACGACGGAAATGTCGAGTGGTGGTCGCTTGACGATCTCTTCGCCGCATTCATCCCGCTCATCCTTGTCCTTGGCTCGTTCGAGCAAATCCAGATCGCTCAGGAGTAGCGGCAGAGGTTCAAACATCGACCATCTCGTTCAAGCTCTGTCCGCAAGCCATACGGACGATTTCCCCAAGCTGACAGGATTGCCTCAATCCCAAATAACAAGGCGCGAATCTCCTGCTGGTACACCGAACGATAGCATGGTCGAGATTCTAGGCTCTGCCAACCCTCTGCAGCCTGTGAAGGTAGATGGGTTTGATCTAGATCCCCTCCGTAGACATTTCCACTAACCAAGACGTCACACTCTCTACCTGACCGTCGAGGGCAGAATGACACGGCGCACCTCCCCAAATTGCGGATTCTGGTCGTAGAGGTAGATTCATATCATCAATCCGACGGACATCGCAGTAACAGCGATATGCAGGATAATGACATCAACCGTATGATCCTGGCCAAGCGGCTGTCACTCGATGGACATACAGTTGTGAACACGACAAATGGCCAGGAGGGCCTCGAAGTCGTTGAGGCTGACCGCAATTTTGACTGTGTCCTCATGGATATCCAGTGCGTAGGCCACGGCTTTCCTACTACATTTTTACTAAGCATCATACAGGATGCCCCTCCTCAATGGGTACGAAGCTACCGAACGGATTCGTGCGCTGGAGCAGGATCAGGACCTTATCGACCGCGTCTCTCACAAACTGAACGGCCGGATACCCATCTTCGCTGTATCCGCTTCGCTTTCGGAGACGCAGCGGGACGAGCTATACAAGCTCGGAATCGATGGCTGGATCCTCAAGCCTATCGACTTCAAACGCTTGAGGACCATTCTCCGTGGGGTCGTCGACTCGTTGCAGCGAGAGAAAGATGTTTACCATCCTGGCGCCAACTGGGAGGTCGGCGGCTGGCTTTCACGACCGAGCCCCCAGCCGGCTTCATGACGAACACCGGCTCCATCGAACAAGTACTGCTCGCCGCGCCATTTCCAAAGGCATCATGCCTTCATGCAGGGCCTCTCGCCATCCTTAGACCTATGTCTTCTCCTCGGCTTCCCATACCATACCTCAATTCACGCCTACCACGGCGACCCAAAGGATGGCTATATGCATACTGTAATAAGGACGGACAAGGCACATACACGATAGCCTTCTCGTTCTCTCCGCGTGTGACGTGTCTCCCGCTCTTGTTGGCCATAACTGTAGCCCATACGCGCCCTGCATGTCTCTCTGTATACCTCCGCGGCCTCACATAGCCGTCGCGATGGCATCATCGCCACACTTCGTGTAGTATTACAACCGTCATCGCATCCTCATCCTGGACACTATTTGGTTTCGTGACATTCATCATACGTACCTTGCATTGTGCATACCCTTCTTGTAGCCATAGCCCTCAGCAGTATACACGCCGATCTGTAGGTCATGGCATCGAATTCAGACACGTTCATCTGATGTCCCGCTGCATACACTAAATTCATGAACGCGTATGACCGCCTCGAGTCTGTAGTTCTGATTGCATGTTCAAATCTGTGCCATCGAGATGCATACGCCTCCGAGAAAAGTATCTATGCAGTGCTTTGCCGTCTTCGGATAAGGTACGCGTAGACGGGACGACGGATGACTGCCGACACGCCCCCTGCAGACGTTCATTGCTGCCCACCCGCACGCCCGTCCCCGCTCCCAGCGACATTAGCGACGTCCTGCTCGTAATTCTCGTAGGGAAAAGCCTTTGACTGAGTCGCCCCTTCCGCGTTCCCTTGCATGACATGGATCGGCAATGCGTCCTGTGAATGTTGCGAGGCGAAGCGTCAACGCTCACTGGTGCGCAAGGGTGTCCAAGAGAGACGTCTTGGAAAAGGGGTCAGACATACCAAGGGAGTGCCAGACCTTCGCAGGTTCTCGAGGTGCTCAGGGAGCTCCGAAGGGTTGGCCCCAATCCCCATCACGAGGCCTTTTCCTCCTCGAGACAGGCTTTGGTCGAGCCGGGAAGAGGGCCGTAGGGGCGCCGCGCGCACAGCGGCGAAGAAGCAGAAAATGAGCGTGAGTGCATGAAGATGCTGAGCGATCATGATGGTAGGCTGTGGCGTGTATAGTACTCGTGCTGGGGTGGCGACGGGAGAGATGAAGCCGTCGGCTTCGGCAAGGACGCTCTTTTATGCTCTGTGTTGAGATGTGACGGAGGGCGGTCAGCCACCGCAGACCCGGAGCCGGAACCTTGATCGAGTTGAACCGAGTAGCAACGATCTCTGCCGACTCCAGTCTACCAGCGAGGAGGTGACGATGCTGTGCTAAGTTTGTCTGGCAAATGTGTGATCGCGCCTGCGCCAGAGAGTGGCAGACGATCCACGCACCAGAGGCAGGCCGTGAACAAGCGGCTGACTCCATGCAGGCTCGAGTGGTGAAGAACATGGCATGTGCAAGGACAGTTGGGTCCTGCGAAGTCAATCGGTGAACGTATGAGTCTATCTCATGAGCTTGAAACTGATACTCGTACCTCCGCTGGGCGTGCTTCCAGATTGATTCACCAGGTCCTGCTTGTCCAAGAGCTTAGCGATATCAAGTACGCTGGCACTGTCGGGCGGCATCCCTGTGAATGGCAGCGCCGCCAGCAGAGAGTGCTGAAATCATAGGCTATGTACCGGGCCAACGAAAAACCTAGGCAGGAGACTATAGCTACTTTGACGCATTCATGAGTGTCCAAACAATGGGATCGTGCTGGTGTTTCGAAATCGGAGACGTGAGTCGTCGTCGCCTGTGATACGAAGTGGTGATCAGCGGGCTTGTGCTCAAGAGAACAACACACTCACGAAGGTGAATACACCATACCGGATTGGCTACACTTTTGCCGTTGCGAGGTACGTATGTTCTGTAGAGGTGGCAGGCCGGACGCTAAGAACGGATTGCGTCGGTGCAACCGGACCGCCAGGGCCGCCGGAGAAGCGCCAAACATGTGGCGGATCGCAGACGGGATAGAGATATGACTCCGTTATTCCGGAAGGTGAGTGGTGCAAAGTCTCGTATAGCTGCCATCATGGCTGATCTCTCAAGTTATGCACAGTGGGGAAGTACTCATGCGTCGCGGAGCTCAGTACGCAGGACGCCCGAGTTGTGTGCGGAAACCGCAACGCCAACCGGATTGGACAGGTCGGCATGCCCCGGCTTGCTTTCAGCGACACCACCACCAACTTTGTGTCCGTATCCGGCAGTTACTCGAGTCAGACATCTATGCAGCAGGATTAGGCATCGGGAGATATCAACAGGTCAGCTGGCGCTTCGGACCGCGACAAGATGCTATATTGGACGGCTACTTTGTCGACATCCGAGTCTCAGCCTACCCTAAGACAATCAAATACACGATGTGTTAGCTCATAGCGGATAGTCGAAGCTAGTACGTCTTACCTCACAGTCTTCCTCTCAATCTCGTTTGGTGGAACACTTTGAAACACTTGCGGCTTTCGTTCGCAGCAATCTCGGTCATTCCACCTATGGCGGCCAATGGCCGGACGAGCAAGCATCCGAGCCGTGTTGAACCTGACGACTTGTAGAGCGCACTGACATTATAACATCTGTAAGCGACCATCGCTGCCACCCTCTGATAGCAACGAATCGCCGCTGTCTGCCTTGCGATCGCGGTGCAACTACCATTCATCATACTGGTTGCTTCTGCCGCGCACGCCGTTGCGGAATCCATTTGACGGAGGTGCGTTTCTAGATCGGCGTCTATATTACTGAGGATGCCTCCCCAGCATAGAGCCACTCAAATCTGCTCTCAGGCTTCCTCTGCGCCGGAGCGTGCGGCGTGCCGTTTGCGGGAGATGCAGGTGAAGATCCCTCGTACTTCCATCATTGCCGATGTTTTGTGCACACCTCCTGCGGCCCTTACTATCACTTTGCCAGCTCACCGCATAACACCCGCAATCCCGTGGAAGATCTGCTCGCCCTGAAGCCGCAAATACGCTTGTTCCGATCGGCATCGGAGCTTCTTGGATGGGACTGAATAGACGAACGAATGCATCCACACCATGTTCGTCTTCATATGAGGTCCTATACGCACGTTTGCTAGTTTCACCGCCGCCGAAGCCAAGGATGATGAGCACTATAGGTCCGACACTATGTTTCTTTCACCCCTCCCGTTATGATACAAGAGGTGTGGAACACCTGGGCTCATACCAGACGAAGTAGGCGTAATTCCCGGCTATCCTTGGAGCAACGAATGACGTAAGAACACATTGCTTCCGTAGAACGTACTCGTGGTGACCTTAACAGTTTCAAGTTGTATACAACCGGCACAGATGTTTGCGAGGGGATCTACAATATGCGGACCGGGATAGATGGACCGTTCGATATATATTCAACTTCCAATTTGCTCACCATGGGCCGTGTCAGCGTCTTTTACCAAGTAGGCTCTGTTGTAGAGAAGCATGTTCTGCCGGATCATGATGGCATAGACACCTGCGGTATCCTAGCGCTGCGAGACTTGGAGTACGGCGTAGCGCCACATACTGCGTGCGCTCGGTGAGTCATCTCAAACCGCCGCGGGAAGTGTTGCATGTTCTCAGGGAAACGATCCCGAAAGAGCAAACTCCGTTATTATCTAATACTCACCTACCGGTCATTTGAGCTTCCCTTACCAGATGATATCGTAACGGGGCAGCAGCTAGAACCCTAACTTCTGAGTTAGATCAAGAAGCAGCCTCAAGAATTTGCTATTGCTGGAGAGGTACCCTGTATCCCAACAGAGAGAACACTGAGCTTGGTGACCATGTGGGAGCATAGTTCTTCCCTATCGGACTTGACGCAGCCCGTGCGTTAGAGCTGAGCACACTGCGAATGCAGATGTGCAAGAAGGGCCGGCGGTCGTCCTCCGGACAAGAATGTGGTAAATGCGGCAGTCGCGGCAAATTCGTGGAAGGAGTAGATCGTTCACCGGGCTCTTCGACGCCCGCCGACAGCTCTTTCGACAGATTCTGCCAAACACCGAAGATCGAGTACCACTTTCGGCTACAGCCCCAAAGCATGGGAATAACTGTAAGAGACGCAGTACACCGCCGCGATGTGGCCAGTGTCCGGTCGCCGGTCAGCCTGGCCAGGAGCTGGCATGCGGTCTCACGCGCGTACGTCCGGCAACCTACGAGCTCGCCAGATTCTCACGTAGTGCAATCGCCAAGCCGTCCCCGAGGCCCCGTAGAAAGGGCAGTACAAGAGGTGGCGAGGGGTATACAACATTCAGTCATTGGTTCATCCCTCGAGTCAAGCTCTTGTGGGACCAAGCGACACAGCATGAAGTACTCGGCCTGGCTTGCCTCAGCCGAGATACAATGTCTCGGAGGAGGCCCTTCCCGCCTCTTCGATTAGGGCGGTCTTATCACGCAGCCGCGCCCATGGCCAGGTGATCCCTTCCATCTGCACTGGCATCCTTGCGCCATGAGCCCGAACGTACCATTCTGGAGCTCGAAACCTCAACTTAAGATCTTACATAAACGACAATAGCGTGGGTATCGCGTGACTTCGTCATTAGCTGCTGAGGAAGTGTTGGGGTGCACGTACGTGAGCACCTTGTTCTCCCGCGATTGACAGCCCACTTGCGCCACGATTCGTGCTCCGCGCGCAGGGCTGGTGACCAGAGACGACTGCTACTCCGCCAATTATTCAGCGGTCCTGTCGCACTTCAACGAAGTCATTCAAATTCCAATCGCGAGTCTGATCACGCGAGCGCATACGAAGCTGACTTACATCATTGGCACCCGCTGGTGACCGCGCCCGTGGATGCGGTATCCAGATCCCCAAGTACTTCGTGACCGCAGTGGAAGGAATAGGGAAGTGTCTCTCCAGCTCTACCACTGCAACTCACACGCCCAGCTGTAGGTAGCTCAGCCTCCGTACCGCCTCGTGCGTCTCGTACTTCGCATCCAGGGCCCGGTGCTTCCCATGCCTTTTAATGGGTTGTAAGGCGATACCTTAAGTTTGTAGCCATCAGAAGAGAGCGTCAGCATCTTACCGAAGGGTGACGTACAGAGCGCAACGCTCACGGATTTGCGTAATTGCTCGTGGACGTACCGGGTGTGTCGTGCGCACTCCTCACGCCACATACCTTGCAAGTGGCCGCTCAGTTCCGCGAATTTCGCCCTCTTACGTCCAGTCTCGTAGAAGCGCACACTTCGCTTGGTCTTCGCGCAAGTTCGCGTACCTGGATTCCACTGCATCTCTTCGGCACCGGAGGTCATTGGCAGCGTCGTAAGTATATCTTCCCTGCTTCGTAGGTAGTCGATAACAACAATCCCACAGCTGCAGACGCACCAGCACAAGATAGCGCGGAGACTGTGCCGAGTGGAGGCTTTGTGACCAGCTGGCATGGCCCGGTAATAGCTCGTGGGAGGCGTCAAATGTGAACAGCTGCAGGGCGTAATGTGGTCTAGATGAATCTGCGTCCAAGGACCGGAGAAGCTTGGTCGGAGGGGAAGCTGGGGAGCATGCGGTCTCAGCACGGCGAGATGGACGCCCGTCGTTTTCCTGTAGTGATGATGTTCCTTCGAGTCCCGGTCCTTTCGAGGTGGGGCGCGCCAATGCGATGTGTGGTATGGCATCAGATCGTGTTTTGTGCGCTGGTCTTCACGCTGCGGCAGGCTGTAGAAGATGCTCGTCCTTCCCAAGCTGAACTACACTGGCCATGGGGCTCTCGGGCATCTTGCGCATGTGCGCTCCGTTTATACCTCGGGACTCCTCCCACAAACAGTGCTTCCGCGCCGTAGCACTTCCGCACCTTGGAGTATTGTGCCCAGTTCGGTGGATGCACAGTCCTTTGGTGTGAATGGTTCCTGCATTCGAGTCGATCGCGCCTCGTGGTCGTTATCTAACGGTCTTGTGAAAATCAGACTACATACCAGAAGCCGATGTGTACAAGTCTCGTCTCAGCTTGAAACGGAGCCGACTTGGAGGCGAAACTCGAACAAAAACAAGGTCACGAAACAAGCCAAAGCCAGGGAGCGCTCCGGGACCTCTTTAGACGGCGCCTGTGCCGGTAAGCGAGATACTCCTGACGCCACGGACGCCCATGGGGTACGGCTGTAGAATGAAGAACAACGCACATGCCATGAGACTATAGCTATGCAAATAGCAGAACAAGGACGAGTATCGAAAATATAGACGGAAGAACATGCAATGCACAGGCGATACAAAAGGCGAGTCTACTGTTTTTAGTACAGCAGACATTTGTCCAGCATCGACAAAGAGGGTAAGTACAGTCGACACCCTCTTAACCCATAGCCCTCGGGACAGGCCCGAATATATGGGTTTTGAGGGGTTATGGGCTACGAGAACTTAAGCGCCTCATAAGCGCCCCTGATTAGTCCCAGTTAGCGAGCGCTGGAAAGGCGTCTACTGACCCTTTGAGAGAGCGCTATGAGATTTCGAACAGACTCACCTACCCACAACGTGGTCGGAGCATGGATGGACACTGGGAGGACTCTGGGAAGCATGCATCGAGTATTGCAAAGGTTATCGATGAGCGTAATCTCAATGTGAGCCCTATTACCGTATGGGTTTTGGGCCCTAGAACGCTATGGGTTATTGGGTACCAGGGGCCTATGGGTTATGGGGTCGAATTCCCCCTATCCCGACTTGGGAAAGCCAAAATCCTATGGGTTTCGGGAGTTTATGGGTTACCAGGGGTATGGGTTAGGAGGGTGTCGACTGTAGTACCTCGCGCGTCCCCTCCTTATCGCCATTTCGCCAATCGAACATCCCTAATCTCCTAATGTGTCATTGGCTTGGCGCTCATACCCAGCCAGGGTCGCTGCAAGTTAGGGCATCCAGTAACGTGTCCGGTCGCTCACATTCAGAGTCCTGCCGTGTGGGGAACTGAACAGCAGGTATTCCGATGTTTTCGACTAGAGCGAAGTTGATTGCGGCGAGAGCAGGAGGCAACCGCCCGCAATTTTTCAAAGGCTTTGTTTTTCCGTCTACTATTCACTCATTTTCTCTGGTCCGAAACATCCGAATGCCTGCCGTGACACTTCCCAAGAGTTGTGCAAGCGCCTAGGGACTCGGACGACCGTTGACCGCTTTTGTTTGGGTGCCGTCAGTCAAATTCTAACTATTTGTCATAGTAATAGATCCCTGGGCGACACTCTACCACATTGTCGGACTGTGGTGTTTAATTGCTGAGGCGACTCAGCACATTAGCCACACTCATTCGATGGCTCGTCGAGGCAATGCCGAGCTCAACCTGGACTCGGAGCGGGTTCGGGCCGCCGATCTCGAGGCCCGGGGCATATTCGTCATGGTACACCGTGCGCCTTGTGACAGTGGAGCCTTACAGTGCTTTGCAAAAAAGATTGCAGACTGAAGCGTGCAAAATCCGGTTTGGTCCTGGTCGGCCACCCGGGGAAACGCCTGCGATACCGGAAGCCTCTTTGCAGCATGGTCAATGATTCAGCTGCAAACCTACCGGAAGTACTCGGAAAGTTGTATTGTGGAGGCAAAGAACATGGTTGTGCATTTTGGCAGCAGAAAACCGGGCTCAGACTCAAGCACAGTCTTGTCGAACGGAGCCCTTGTGAGCGCCCCGGTGTCCGAAACAGGTAGCTGACGGGGGACAAAACAGGGACAAACAAAATCGCGCGCTTCGGTCTGCAATCTTTTTTGCAAAGCACTGTAAACGTTATGGTCAGGCCGAGCCAGCGACTGCGGAGTCTCGGTCTTGCGTGCACCGGCGACCCAGCACCTGACGAGATGGTACGAAATTATGAGCATGGCAGAATCGCTGGCTGACAGGAACTTGAAGTGAGCCCTGAGAGATTGGGTGATGGGCGGAATGTGTGCAGCAGAGCATCGGACACGACGCCAGATGCGTTCAAGTTCCGAGATCGCCAAGGAGACAAGGCGGAAAGACGGCCACTGATGGTATGTTTGCTACTGAACAGGGCGCAAAGTGTTCTGACATTGCCGTACCCGATCACCCATGTCTGGTTCCGATTGTATCGTGGAGTGCGCAATGTGCTGGGCCCTAGCGAGCACTGCATAAGATCAAACGAATTGATATGCTGATCACGTTCCCGCGCAACTACTCACGGCGAGTCTGTATTTGGACCACATATCCGCTGCGTCATGGAAGGTGAAGAAGAGGCACACGTCGTGACGCTTGTACCATGCTCAAAGTCATGACGGCGTCTTGCAAGACGACCGTTGGACAATACATATCTGCAGGTCGACGTGAACGTCATCATCGTTGAGTGTGCAGTCGTACAGCCCTGGGTAAGGATCGACATCAGCCGCGCCCTTACCCGCGCCATCGAATGATCGAATAATCCAATGTGGCGCTCCATCTCGGCATCTCATATGTGCCTCGAGGCCTTGAGCTATCGACCATTGAGAGACTCAACAGCTCGGCAAATAACGCCTACTTAGGGCTTGAATACTTACCAACTCATGTGGCTTTGGACTAGGGGGCCGATGGACACCGGTTTGCCAAGGTATCTATCTAATTTGCTCGGCCCGTCAATCCGGCTCAGAAGAATGCCGGAGACACCTCCACATGGGCTTGCAAGGCGACCTTCTGAAGCAAAGAGCAGCAGTGTGCTCGGTTGACTGTGGTCAGAACATCGATCAGGTAGGTACCTCTATGTCCATGTACAATGTAACTCACTTACCACGCAAGCATGCCCGTTCGTGTTTGCCTAGGCAGGGCGATTATACGTAATCCCTGCAACTGCAGACTCTCAAAAATAGAGCAGGCTTCGAAGATATCACCAACGGGGGATGTATCACACGAAACAGTGAATCCGTCATTCCGACCAAGAAGTGCAGACATAATAAGATAATGAAAAGAGCCGAGATCTAATCAGTGGAGCTACGAGTCCGATGCGCTCATTCTCGAGTAACTCTCTAGAAAAGACACATAATAAACACTGAAACACGTTGCCAGACAGAGGAAAGCGACAGGGTCTACTAGGTGTACATATACGCTAAGTGATATAATACGGAATATGAGGCTATGATGCACGCGTAGACGACGACGGAGATGCGATGACAGCGAGAGAGAACGTAAGCGTACAGTGCAGGATGCGCGTTGCCCATTTCATGATGCCCCAAATGGGAGCACGAGGGGTGAGGGATAGTGAGGGGGAGAAAGATGAGACCCGAGGGTAAGGGGGATGCGATAGATGGGGTGACGGGGGAATGGTGGGTATGGTATCAGAACAGGCCGGTAGGGCCAGGGAGCGACAAGCACACATACAACGGGATGGGTAGTAGCACAGAGTGTGATGAGACGAGGATGAGAGATGGAGGAGGAAACATCGACAGCAGATAGAAACGAGACCGACCAAGAAGGTGTGCTTGTACAACACACGACATTTTGCGAGTTGCGAGATTATGTACAGAACGTCCAGACATGAGCGCTGTCCTGCAGCGGAGAGCGCAGTCGGCCAGGACGGAGAGGTCGAGCGGGCCAAGCGCAAGAGGTGAGCTTGGTGATGACGGACGGAAGGTGGAGCGGGGGAAAGGGCGGGAGGAGGGACGGTGAGAGGCCGAGGAGCCCTGGTGCTGGGAGCGTAACCGCTGGGGAGCCCAAGCATCCAAAGGCGGGGAACTTGGGAGGCGAATTAACGACTGAATCTTACGCTACTTTGATCGTCATTGTCCAATCAAACAAGTCCGCTTAGCTCCTAAGCGCGCGCTCGCGCGACTCGCCCACGGCAAACCACGTTCGTCCCCTCGTCGCCATCGCCAATGAGCAGAGCACAGGGTCATGTAACTCCCCCATCTCATTGTGGCGTCGCGTACCCTGAGCCTGGTTGCGGTCCCGGCGAGGCAGAGTGTTCAGGGAAACGGTAGCCTGTCTGCACAGAGTCGTCCGTGCCCGGCGTCAGCACCCGCGCTCCTGGACTGCCGCCCTGAGGCGCGTGGTGGCTCCCACTCTGGGCGTACCCTCCGCCTCCGCTGTACATTGAGCTTTGGGGCCCGAGAAATCCGCCGCTACCGCCGCTCCCGAAGAATCCGCCGCTGCTGGCATGTGACGAATGCGCCGAAGGGTGAAGGGTGTGGCCGCCGCTGCCTCCGTAGGAAAGCCGTCCTTGCGCGTACGACGCGTCGGATAGCGCGTATGGGCTGTGCCCGTGCCCGTGGTGGCCAAGGCCGCTCAAGTTCCCCGCAGTCGCATGACTGGATGAGAGCGAGCGAGTCATGCCCACCATATGTCGCGTGCTAGAGTGGGAGAGGTGGTGGCCATGAGGATCGTGCCCGAGCGACTGCAAAGACATCGGATAGTAGAGCTGGAGCGAGTCGACGCTCATGCGACGACTGGCATCGAGGGCGGAGGGCGCGCCAAGACCACCCATACCGGACATGGGCATGCCCATGCCCACGGGGCCCGCACGGGTCGCGAAGGGCGTCGTGGTGGTGGGACCCGCAGTGCTGTGCCGCGCAGGCGCAAGGATGCGTCGGCGAGCCTAACGCGCTCGCAATGTCAATGACACCTTCACGCACACGACTGGACCGAGACTCACATTGATCATCCAGTTGCTAACCTGACTCATGCTCAACCCGGTTGCATGGCACAGCTGCTTTTTCTCCTCCTCGGACGGATAGGGATGATCGCTATGCCTGTGCAGCCAGTCTTTGAGGAAGTCGGTGACAGGCTTGGGCAGCTTGCCGCGTTTCCGCTGCGGTGGTCTATCGACCAGCCCGGACGGATTCGGGGCAGGGGCGGCCTGTGGCGAGCGGGATGGGGAATTGGTTACGTTAATGGCGGGATTGGAACCGGGTCCGGCGCCCGCAGTCAGGGCCGAGGCGGAGCTTGAGGGGCTCATGTTGAAGTCGGGAGTCGTGGTGGGGAACGTCCAGCCGTTCTCGGTCTTGATCGAAGCAAGTGCGTTGCCGTCCTGAGGGTTGAGGCGTGGGACGGGGGAACGATCCGACTGTCCTGAGATGCGCTGGACGCCGCCGTACATCGACTGATGCCGCAGGGAGTCGTCGTACTTGTGCGTCGAGCCTGGAGTCGAGTTTGGACGTGCGATGGAGGCGGCGGCCCAGGAATCCTGGTCAGAGAGGCCAGAGGGGGAGAGAGTGGGACGGCTGCTGGAGGTGGAGAACTCGGAGGACGAGAGCGGCGAGTAGCCAAACGAGGAAGAGGTGCCGGACGAGAGCGCGGCGCTTGAGAGCGACGAGAGGTTATCGCTCACTGGGCCGGGGTACACGCCGACCTGGGTGTCCGTCTCGAGGCGGGGCCGGGCCGGCTTGGTGTCGGCGTCGGCAGACTGGTCGGAGCCGGGGAACTGATACGAGGAGAGGCCGGACGAGGACTGGGTGGTGCGGTGGATGGGGTACGGGAGCCGGGGGCGGGCGGAGGCGTTGTCGGCGTAGAGGGTGGGGAGCGAGGCGCGGCGGTGGTCGTGGCGGTCGGTGAAGGCGGAGGCGAGCGACGGGAGCTGGACGCGCGAAGAGTCGAGGTCGGCGTTGGGTCCGTCCGCGTCCGGCGCGACGTCTGGCGTGGCCGGATCAGACCAGGGCGAGTCCACCGCCGGGCGGGAGCGTTTCGGGGCGGGAGAGTGCTCGGGAGTCGCGGCGCGCTTGTCTGGGCGGGAGTGGAGGCTGCTGTCCGAGGTGGCAGAGCTCGACATCCGGCGGGAGTCGTAGTCGATCTCGGCGGGGTGCGGCCTGGAAGGAGGGGCGCATCGGACGGGCACAGAGCCAGATGGCGGGCATCGACGTTAGACACGATCTGGCAGAAGCCGGGAAGAATAGAAGGGAACGTACAGGAGACGTGCGTCGAACGACAGCGGCTCTGTCTCGGGTGACTTTGTCTGCTGTCTGGTGCGGGTAAAACGCGGGTGAGCGGGGCAATGAAGCATGTTGGAGTCAACGAGAGAGGACGCACGAGAGGGCAAACTGAAGCTGGTGGACGTTGTAGGAGCTGAGGGAGTCGGAGAAGGAAGAGGAGATGTCGACCGGGAGCGTGTCGATCATTGAAAAGGCAGGGGCGGAAGGCTCTGGCGGCTGCGAGGGACGGCGAATAAGAGAGGGCGGACGGGCGAGGGCGGCGAATGGGAGGAGGAGGAGACTAATGGACAGAAATAATAATCAAATGGCGACCCTCGATCGGCGTGCTCGCGTCCGTGGTGTCGTAGAGTGGCAGTAGATCGAAATTCCATTCAGCCTTTGCGCGTGCCCTATTTATCCTTCCCCGTCATCGCTTTCCATCCTTCCAAAACCTTACCGCCCATGTCAGATCTCGCCTTTCCTTTTCCGCCGCCCTCGAAGCCCAATCACCCTCGCTTCCGTTCTGTCGGGCCCCAGCCAAGGCACCGCGTTCCCGAACGAGATGGCTGTGCTTCCCCCTCCTCGCAATTAATCACCTTCCTCCTCCGATCCCCAAACAGCGCACAACAGACAAGATTCCCAGATATTCGCCTTCTTCCCACCGCAAACCTTATCCCCCCTCGTTAATTACCGCGATTTACCGGCCGCCTCCCCGCCGATTCCGGTCGGTGTGCACATGCATTGTTTTCCTCGTTTCGGGGCGGTTCTTGTTCCCACTCGCGCGCTCCTCGCCCGGTGATCTCGAGGGCCAAGCGCTTCGTCCGCCCCCTGTCCGCCCCGTCAGGCGCCCCGCCCCACGCCCCGTTTGGCCATTAATGCGCCTCCGCCACGGCCTCATCACGCGATCTCCCACGTTGCCCTCTCGTCGTTGCCCTCTCCCGCCTTTTGTTCGCAAAACACCCTGCTGCGCTGCCCGACACCACACACGCCTGCTCGCTCGTCGCTGCGTTTCTCCAACGCAGAAGGCGTGGGGTCCATATGTTCCGAAATCGTCGATTGCGCGGCCTCGTTCCAAGACCCAAGCCGCATTAAGCCCTGGAATGGACATATTGGCGCGCCCATCTGTATCTGATTACCTGAGCTTTCGTCCTCGTCGCTTTCCGATGTCCGACTGACTTCCTCACTCCAAATGCTGCCCGAGCTTCTGAATGATTCGCAAATTCACCTCCCGAGGTGAGAACGGCACGTATCGAACTGTTGGCGATGCAGCGAGAGCCTCGGCCTTGGGAGCATTCGTCCACACCCACCGTAGATACTTTCGATTTGCCGAATCCGAGCCAAGCCGAACACTCGATAATTGGACCGGAACGACTGCAAACGTGGTACGACACAATGGAGGCATGCGATCCACCACGACGCAGCGATGGTATGCTGGCCCCGGACGAGGCATCCGCGTTCCGCACGGGGAGCCCGGAGGCTGATACGTACCACGGCTGGTGGGACGGACGACCTGTTCTGTACAGTATACACCCGGGGGAGGAGAAATGATGGGGAAGACTCGGGATCAGGCACGGTGCCCACGAGCCGTCCCTGCTCTTGCTCCGGCACAAGGCTTGGGTTACTGTATTGAACGCGATACGTGCTTCGTCGGACGACCCCTTTGTCCCAGATTGTCTTCCATGCATCCTCCCATCTCGCCTCTCTCCCAATCGCTCTGGCCCGTTCACCCATGTTGCAGGCTCCGTGCGATAACCTACGTACATCCTACCAGGGCTCAAGCACCTGCGAACTTGCGAAGCCTAAGTGTGCTCGTGCCCTGGCTTCCCGCGTTTTCTCCGCACCGAACCTTGTTTCAGTAGAGGCATAGCCGGCAACTGGCGCCTGCACCAATTCATGGGTCGTGTCTGTTCCCGCGAACGACGTTCTCGATGCAGGACGCTAAGCAATGTAACAAGCACTCGCGCCGAGCACAGCACGGGCGCGACAGAGCAGCAAGATGGGAAGCAATGTGGAATGAGAATCCCGACGTTTGCGACGATTGATAGGTCTGGCGTGTGTGCGACGTCGACCTCGCAGATCCCTCAACGCAATCATCTCACGCCCTCCGGCAGGGGGTGGGCGGAGAGTGATCGATCATACGGCCGACAGTTCCAAGGACGGGCAGACTGCGGGCGTCCGCGCGGGCTGCCGATACACGCAGACATGGATTGCAGCATGTCGGCAGGGACGGGGAGTACGAGGAGGTGAATAGGCGTTGCCGTCAGCAGGAGGGATGCCGCCGGAGTGTTTGGAGGGGATGTCGAGAAGCTGCTGTCAGTGTCGAGGGCTGTGCGACAGTTGACGACGAGATCTGGGCCGTCGATGACCAGTCCTCTTCTCGACATCTCCCTCTCCGGTCCCATCTTCAGATAAGTACATGCAGTCAATATTGCCCCCTTTCGCCACCATCCAGCTATGCTGCCTTGCCGTACTGTTATCATAAGCTTTCCTAGCCCGCGCCGCGCTCGCACCCACGCCAGCCTGCACCTTCGCGCTCACACTCCCGCTCGAACTCACGGCCGGCAAGAGCTGTCAGCAGCAGTACTTTCCCAGCCACGTTCCGCGGGCTCGGTGATCTCTCTATTCTCCGACAATGTATGATCGCCTACTGCGACGCTGCGTCTGTGCCTGCGCGAGATGCCCCCTCCAAGATATGCACCGTACGATGCTCTCCAGATACGCTAATACGCACGCCGCCTTCTTTCCATGCGCGGGCGCACGCCCCGGCTTCTGGCCCGTACCGCACTACTTCCAAGCGGCGATGCCACGCGGCACGCTGCGCCCCCCTTCTGACGAGACTCGCGATGTGGTCAACCGGCGAAGGGCCCCCTGCGCGCCCACGCCCCAGCAAGGGCGTATGACCGCCGCATTCGGTCCGCGTCCCGCGTCGTCCGCCCGCGCGCGCTCTGCCGAACGCTTCTTTCGATGTCGAACCTCGCGACCTCAAGCTCGCGAGCGCGATGCGACGGGAAAGGCGAGCGACATCACTCGAACGGGGCGCACCGGCTGATCACAACCCCTGCCCTTCACCCGGGGGAGCTGGTCCCTCCTCCGAGCCCGAGCGGGCTCTTGCCCAGACCCGAAGCCTGGGGTTACGAAACCTCGCGGGTGCTTTGCGTCCAGTGCGATAGCTAGGCGACCTGGTAAGCAGGTACAATATCATATCTCAGCTCCCCAGACCCTGCATTACGAGAGCGATTGATAGTGGGGTCGTCCCCAGGCTTCTGCGTAGGACGTTCTACCCGAATTCGCTTGTGCGTCCGGGAATAGAGTGCAGTGCGAGGGAAGGAGAGTCGATGGTGTGCACGCATGCTGCTTCCGCGATACCCGTATGTGGCCTTCCATACCTTCGCGCATCCACGCGTTTGTTCACATGAGTATGCGTGTCTGAGGCTCGCGTCATCAGGTGCGGATTAGGGTTGCCCGGAGCCCGCCCGGACAGGGGCTGCAGGACGGTCAGTAGACCTCGATGGCGGTCGCACGCGGATTGAGCAACTTCGGGCTCGCAGGGGGGTGAGAGGAGGTAGTAACATCGATTCCTCAATTACAGCCTGCGCACTGCGTGGCGCTAGTGACCGAGCGGCTCAGGTGAAACCTAGGACCTTGAGAGGCAATGGGGGTGCTATTCCTGCGTACGGTGGAGTCGGCGTCGTGATAATCACAGTGCTACCAAGAGGATTGTACGGTTCACTCAATCAATGCACGTATACTGTACTCATCTGTGATTTTCTCTATCCGGTTATACGTGCCGAGCTTGATTGATACTAGGACGAGCGGCACAGGCGCCCATGTATGGCGGGAAGAAAGATGGGAGGAGGGTTCATTCCGGATATCGCGACTGCTGACTCTCCTTGGATCCCCCCAACACCGTCCGAGGTGCATCAGAGCTTCTCCATGTTCTGCTCTGCAGATACGGCGCCAGCACGCCTGCACCCGCTGGGCGTCCTCCCGGATGATCATAACCAGAGGTGTCTGGCCCTTGGGCCTTCGTTTACACTGACGCTGGGAACGCAGTTTGCGCGCCACAACGCGCCCCCGCGCCGACCTTCCCCCGCCCTTGTTCCCGCTCGCTCTCGCCGTGGCCCCCAACGGCCCAGGCCTCCCATCTTCGATGCCACGACCTCCAAAGGACCCGAAGCGGGACAGGCGGTGCTCACGACGATGAGGACTCCGAACACCGTCAAAAAGGCCCGTAGTGGATCAGGCGGCGGCCAGTGGCTCCCATTTGGTTCCAGCAAACTCTTGTTCCATGTGCGGATGCGCGTGGCGCGGACAGACCCACGGAGCTTGGACGTGTTCTGCCCAGTGAGCGTGCGTCCCTGGATCTTCCGCTTCGACGAAGCTCGCGCACTGATCAGGCATCACGCGAGCCCTGCCTCAGGAAGCCGAAGCCCCCGCTCGCGCCCGCCCGGTTTGGCGGCGGCGTGGCGCGATACGACTTTGCTCTGGACCCGCCCGGTGCTTGAGCTTGCTCAAGCTCTCGGGAGGAGAGCGTGCGTGCATCAGCCGCGGCCACGCTCGCACGCTCGCACTTCGGTATGTAATTCCACTAGGCGACCGACTGGCCTTGTTCGGTTCCCGTTTTCGCAAGGACACTCGGCCTGAGTTCCGAATCGCAAGCGTCCCAACCGGCATGTGGTTTGCCTCTGACGTTTGGTCACGAACGACGTCTGCAGTATGACTGGCTGCCTGACGGCGATGGCGACTCGCAGTGTTAGGAGGCCCCAACGACGACGATCCGATCGTCATCACATTGTGATAGAGCAACTTGGTCGACTGGAGTGCGACGAGCACGGCAGATTATCCGTCCACCAGTGGCTGTCGCAGGCACACAGGCCCTCTCGTACGTCGGACTGCCGGCGTGGGTAGTATGGCCTCCCTACACGGACTGGAGTGTGAATCGTTGAGGTAATGTTGATGCTCAGGACGCTTCTTTTTTGATGCAGAGCGCTCGGGGGTAGCCTGTGGTTTACCACTCGAACGTGCGTGGGCTGGAGTGGCTGACGAAACAATGCGTAGATGGCGCATCGCGGCCTGGCCATCTTCCTCCTGGCACGCCCGAAGTCGGTTCTGTCAGTCAGCGCGACTGCGGGCGTTTCGTAGTTTGGTATGGACATGCAGCTTCCACTCGCGCGCGCTGTACGCGCTCGACGTTCGTGCATGGTGTACAGGCCGCTCCTAGATTCAGCCGGACTCGGATATCTCGTCACCTTGCTCTCCATAGGCTGTTGACCCAGCGACGCGACCCAGCAGCGTACCTGCATGCTGTACCAGAGCGCCTTTGCTTCTTCGTTTCCGGACTCTGCATGTTACGCTTCGAGTCACATTCGTGCGACTGCTCTCCACTGATGAGCGCACAGCCATTGCAGGACTCGGTTTTCATCTGAGTACGAGATTGTTTCGTACCTGGCGGGCATGCGTTTTGCTTCGTTCTCACATTGTAACAGAGCACCGCACTGACATTGGTACCGCCACTGGGGAGGACGGGCGGTTGGCAAACACACTACGGCATTGAGGCGCTATGTATCATGCCTTCCGCAGCCGCTCAATTCTATCTCGTTGGGGTGGCGGAGTTTGGGGCCCCAGACTTCGGCTCGTGACTTGTACAGGAAAGATCTACATGCCAAGTTCCTACTTCCACCTACCATATATCCCTACCCCTCCTCGCTGCCCGGCGTCGTGGCGTCGTATCACAAATCTCCTTCGTGATAGTGAATGTGAAACGCAATACTTGTTACTCGGGGATAGTATCGACGCAGCAACGGCGTCGTCCATCTTACGCCCATGAACGCAACGCAATCTTTTACGCACGTCTTTCGTAGCCATCAAGAGATGTCCACGCTCCCTTCCTTGATCGATTGGACGTGACTTCTTGCAATAAACTGTCATCGCCCGACCGTTCTCCCATGGTCACGTATCCGCTCGCTGGGCTGGCATGTTCGCATCTGCCGCGGCGAAGACGGGGTATCCTAGACGCTCAGAGTACTGAGAAGCACGACGATGACGGCAACGCTCACTTCCACCGCGTTTTACTTTGATTTCATTAACGATGTCGTCTTTGATGCCGTCTTCGACAGCGTGTGGGCAGATGAGTTGGCTCTCGCATTGTTCGTGCCTGCTTATCTGTATTGCAGCTGAAGGAGTACTTGCAGTATCTCGGGTATCGTTTCTATCACCTTATCTCTCCACGGTGCTCATGCAACATCGTCTGCGCTCTTTTCCGTCCGACGACTATCCACGATTATCATATTCAGTCCTGCGTAGTCGCATCAGCGAGGTCTCGCACTCTCCACCGTCTCGGGCCGTCTGCGTCGCGCCTCGCTCCTGTGTTTCCTTCCTTTACCTCATGCCGAGCGGCTCCTGCCCCACACAACGCACTGCAGGCGAACATCTCATTCCGGCCTTCACTCTGAATGACGGAAGAGTGCGTTCGCGTCGAGGGTCTCACGCTGCGTTCCCGCATGACGGCCCTGCCCGAATGCGCCGAGCGGCCGCGAGTATGTAGTGGACTGGCGACTGGTAGCGGTGCTTTCGAGACGGACTATGTGCCTCTGTTTCCTCGCAAAACATTCCATATCTGGGGCTGTCGGGTACGTGGCGCGTAAGTACTACATAGTGTGTTTGCGGTCCCACAGACCAGGCCCGCGAATACTTGGTCCGAGTCGGACTTGGAAAAGCGGAGAAAATGACGCCGTCCGCGCCGCCGGGGGATCTCCGTGCCATCCGCCATGCTACTATGGTCGCTTGGAACGGCGCGCAGCCTTCCTTGTACTCGCCAACAGAGCCCCGATGCACGACCAGGTATGTAAGGCAACTCGCTCCTCGAAAGTCAGTCCGACCGATGTCGGTCCCCCACGAGACGAGCTATGACGAGCCCTGTACCGTTCAGATGCCGGGAACGACGGACTAGTGCCACGACCCTTGTGAAACTCCGTTACCGCCTTCTTCCATTTCTTGACGATGCGTACCAAACAGTGCTTATGGTTCTACCAGGTTTGTACTCATACAGTTTCATGCCCACAGACGTGGCGCACCGAAGGCTCCCCGGCACCGCATCCATCCACAGGAAGGCATCAGGAGAGATTGGGCAGGAAGAGGCGTTATACGATGGTTTCACCGAGGCCATATACGCAGCACCGTCCAGCCCGGTGACCTGATGACTTCTCTCAAGCCGCGAAGAGACGGTATGGGATTATCAGGCTTCTGGTGGCCAGTTTCCGCACCTCTCCGAACGGCCTGCGGTCTCGGCTAGGATGCGCGGCGAGCGCGAGCAGACTGCGTATCAGAAGTCCCCAGCAGCGCACGCCACCGAGATGCCTTCACGGAAGAAAGACTTCGGAGGGTCACAGGGTTTGCGACTTGCGGTGTACCCTCTGGCTGTCACTCACATGCTCGTTCCACGACCAATCCGTCTCTGGCGTGGCCTCCGAAGGGTCGCGGAAAAGTTAACCTCAGCGCGACCGCGCCCGGAGGGCACGGCCAACTCTGCACCGACTGCGGACCGGGGTCTGGCCATGCGGAGGCGTGTGGACGTGCTTGGTTGGTTGGTGCATGCTAGCGCCAGCGTCCCTAGGGAGCACTCGCGCTTTGCGGACTTGGGAGACACGCACGCCCGGCCATGACGACCCGGTTGTCGGCGGTCCTGCGACGAGGCATGGTACACCGTCGGCGCATGCGCAGCCCCCGAGGAATGGGACGGCGGGCGCACCTGCGATCTCAACCCGCAACTTGTGGTGGAACATGGGCGGATTACAGGTCCTGGCACTGCTGCGCCATCGTATCACGCCATCACGGAGGGAACGAGCTCGGTTTACGGCGCGGGATTGCTCCTGCTGGCATGGAACCTCCAACAACGCCGGCGCGCATTAATGGATGCGGATGCGCACGGATGCCCGTACATGTCCCTTATCCGTTCGCCTTCGGATTCTCCGAGCTAGGAATTCGTTGCTTGAAACAGGGCTGGACCGTCAGATATCGCCAAGCGGAGCACCCCACCGTTAAGGCCCTTGTTCCCCAAGCCGCGGGGTGGCCTGTCTAGTTGCCTACGTATTTGAATTGGACCGGGAGGCGAGCAAGGACCCGGGCCTGGTCGGCGGCAGGCGCATCCTGCACCTGATGATCGGTAAGTTATCGCGGTTGGCAGCAAACTTCCCTCCACAGCTGGTAGAAAACTTCCCTCCACGGCTGGTAGACGCAGGAGTGAGCGAGGGCGGTGAAGAAGAACCGAAATGCGCGGCTTCGGATCGGAGCGGGAGTACAATAAACTACAGTAGACTACCTCACAATGCATCAGGGCGCCCATTACATTACAATTAGGGCATGAAGGTGACCTCGGCGCATGGTCATTGATAAGGCATAGCGTCCGGCAAGGTCTGTAAGGGTGCACAGTACAGAGGGAGCATTCCTCTGTCTCATAGGAATTCCTCACACATGACAAAAAAAGAGGCTAGACGCCCTGTGCATTATGAGGTAGTTTGTACTGGCCTGTCTAGGGGTAGGGTTAGGCGCGGTGTGCTATTCAGCCGTGGTGATCGCGGACATCACGATTGGCTGCACCTGCAGAGGGCTTGAGCAAGATGCATGACTAGAGGGTTATGCACAGTTAGGGTATAGCAGCATTTAGTTGACCACGACGCCGGCGAGAAGCGAATGGCGGTCCGCCGCTTTCCGTTACCGAGCAACACACTCTCAAGGGCTGTGCAGGTTCAAGTAGGCCCGCAGTACCTGACAGAGGACGTCTGAGTCGAAGAGTGTACAGGATCGTCCCGCCGGAGTCGGACAGGGGGGGCAAGACCCACGCTTTTGGTCTGAAACGCCAGGGCGCGCGCAACAGGAGGGATGGTTCCCCGCAAAGAGCGACAAAGCGAGATGTGTTGTAACGTAGTGTGGTATATACACCGGCGACGAGATGCATAACAGGTAACTAACGCGATGCGGTAGGTAGTTTACGGACGTGCGCGGTAGATGCTCGCGGAACGAACATGGTGTCCAGAGCACCGTGGTGACCAGCACTGAGCATGCAAGAAATGACAGACGGGCGGCTGTAGTGCACACAGCGTGGCGGACCCGCGGGCACGCTCGCATCTTGGTGCGTCGCTATCCGGCATGATATCTAGGGAGATGGACGTGGCGCACGCAGCGTTGCCAGAAGCGTGCCGTTCCCTGCAGCGGGCACTTCGGAGCGAGCACGAATACCGTGCGCGCGGCGCAGCGATGGTTGCATTGCAGGTCGGGAAATCAGATGTTGACGGTGGCCCCTGCTCGCTCCTTGGAGGTGGCCAGCACGGACGCCGGGAATTGGGAGCTCACGGCCGTGCAGCCCTGAGATAGCACGAGCCCTTAGGGCGCACGTTTACGTTTGCCGGACACGCCGCAAAGTGTGGGCACGGTGAGGATGAATGGGAGGGGCGTATGCAGGAGATACGCTAGCTTCTACCGCCCTCGAGCTCGATACCGACGCCGGACAAGCCGGCATCCTTGGCTTTGCCTGCGCCAAAGATGCTGCGAAGGAGACGCTCGGCCTTGTCGCGCTCCTTGCGCTCGACGTGGATGCCGTCGAGCATGACGATCTTGGGGCAGGCGCGCATGACGAGGCCGCGGTAGGCGAGGCGGCCGACGTATGCCTCGTCCGGTAGGTCCCTGCGGAACTTGGCGTCCAGCTCCCGCCAGGCGAGCTCGCTCTGGCTGCGCTCGCGCCATGGCCGGAGTTCGCCGCCGCCGTCGCCGCCGCCGTCGCCGCCGCCGCCGCCGCCGCTGCCACCGCCGCCACTAGAGTCGGAGTCGTGATTGTCCGCGTGTGGGCCGGGAGGAGAGGATCCGCGCACCGCGGTGGCCGGGCCAATGTCCGAAGTCGAGTCCGAGCGGGGTCGCTTCTTGTCTTCGCGAGACGCAGACAGGACGTTTGTTTCGTTGGCGCGCCCGCCGGCTACAGGGGCCGACTCCACTGGGGCACGGTCGTCGTCGGAGGGCTGGAGTGCACCCGGGATGTCCTTGACGAGCAGAGGGAGGTACCAGCCGAGGGTGCAGGGATTCATTCTGGAGCGCGGCGGCGGAGAATACGACGGACGAGTGTCACGGGAGCGGAAAAGGGCAGATTGTCAGCATCGGGCCATCGTTGGAGGGAAGACGATGACAGAAACTGTACAGAGACCACACGCGTAGCATCGAAGCAGGCGGCTGCACACCGCACACGCCACATGCCTCTCCCGGCCGGCCGCCGGAGCCCCGCGCACAGAGGATGGGGCGGACGATGGGGCGCTCGATGTGAAGGCTGGTCGGGGGAAGGAGGCGTGCAGGGAAGCAATCGCGCCACCCCGTCTGGGCTTCCCACAGCAGGCGCCCCTACGGGAATGGAAGGGGGGATGGGGAAGCGAGGAGAAGAGACGGACCTGAAATCAATCATCTCGAGGTCGTGCATCCCTCGCACGATCCGTATCAGCTGCTTCGCCCCCTTGATCCGCGACCCAATGATCGTCAGCTTTCGCAGCCGCCCCAGTCCCTCCAATGGCCCCGCGTCCTCCAGGAAATTGTAATTCAGATTCAGCACCCGCACGTTCGGCACCATCCGCGCAAAGTCCTGCGGCAGCTTCATCAGCCGACACGCAGCCAGCTCAAGGTAGACCAGGTTGTAGCACGGCTCCGACAAGAAGCCCGCCTTGAGGGGGTTGCCTGTAGCGCAGCGGTCAATTCATCCATTCATGGTTATCCACCCGCGTGTAAGGAATGCTTGGTCAGCACACGATGTACCCGCGCGCGCCTCCACCGGATTCGCACGCCCCGCATATGACGAGAAACACGCACCAGACAGATACAGGCGCTTCACATCTCGCACATCCCGAATCGACAGCGTCCTGTGCACCTCCGTCAGTATCCAGCGAACAAGTAGTCCAGACAAGGCACAGGGCGCGGCAGAAAACAACGCCGCCCTCCCAACTTACAGCCCAGCCCGCCCGCTCTGGTTCCGCACGCTCAGGTTCTCCAGCTTGCCCAGTCGGTACGCCTTCACGATCGTTCCTAGCGCGTCGTTGTCTGCGTACAACGTCCGCAGGTTTGGGAATGGCACCGCCGTCAGGCTGTTCAGCCGATTGCTGCTCAGTCGCAGGATCCGCAGTCGCGGCATCGACACCTCCGGCTCGAATCCACCCAGTAGATTGTCGTCTGCACGGTGGGAAATACGGATCAGCATTGCACCGTTGAATCCCACCCAACGCCCTGCTCTGCGCTCAAGGGGCAAGCGCACATTGCAGCCGTCGGGTTAGGCACTAAGCATTCGCCCGCGGCGCACAATGTGCTCAATCTCGTCAAAGTCACGCACGCGCGTCTTTCTTGTTGGAGCCCTCGGCGGCTAGAATCGCAGCTTTGCAGCCACAAAAGGATGAAGTAACAAGGACACGTACCGAGATTGAGCGCGACCAGCGATGGCGCAGAACCCAGCCCGCTGATGCTGCTAATCCTGTTTTGGCTCACATTCAACATCTCTAACCGAGTCCTGTCAAACATAATCGGTGAGCATTCTGTAATTCGACGTGATAAATGGAGCGCCCCTGAATCAGACCAGCAGAAGCAAGCCGGATGCGAGCCATGAGAAGCGCGCCGTATGTAATGCGTCTACCGCCCCACATCCAATCATAACCTCCCCACCAGATACGGGCTCTGGGAGGGGCAGCGGTAGGGGCAGATAAGACGGGGTCAGTATACGCACCACTTGAAGTCGTGGAGGTCCAGCGAGCGGATGATGTTGCCTTGAAGGCTGAGTTTGATCAGCCCGTCCATCTTCTGAAGGCCGTCGACGCTGTCGATCCGGTTGCCATCAGCCCGTAGTTCCCTCAGATGTCGCAGACACTCCAGTTCTGTATTGGCATTTATCAAACGTGGCCTCGTACGTGAATACGTCAATCAGAGCTGGATGGCGAACAGACTTACGACGGAGCGAGTCAATTTCATTTCGACTGATATCCAGATTCTCAAGGTTCAGCAGGTGGCTGAAGGAGGTTACACCGGTCAGTCTGGGAAGGGAGAGAGAGGGGCGGGGGACCGAACGAAGTACGAGCAAGGTGGGTTAGCGCCGACAAAGCACCCGGGGGCACAGCGTACGTACACATTCGACGCGACGGAAAGTGTCCGCACCGTGCCTGGCACGCCGCTCAGCCAGGAGAGCTGGTTCGAGTTCCTGCGAGTGTCAAATGGCGTCAGCTGCTGTCAGCCCTCTCTGCCGGCAACGCCCATTTCCCCCCAGATCTCCTTTGACGAGGTCAGCCGACAGGCCCCTTACCGCCGCCGCTTTCTCGGTGGCTTCGGGCTTTGCGTCTCGCTCATCAATCGTCCCATGAGAACGAGTGGCGGGCTGCGATACGGCTCGTCTTCCCTTCACATGTCCCCGCCTCGTGCCACTTCGAATGATAGAGGAGATGGATCACTCACAGGGAAAGACTGTCGAGCCGCGGGAGGAACTCCTTGAGGCGCGCCGTGCTGTCCAGGTTGCGGTGCGAGAGGTCGATGGAGGTGAGCTCCTCCCAGTACGGCTCGAACGGCTGCACGTCTGTGATCACTCGCACCAGCCTGTCGTGCGCCACCCCGAAGCTGCACTCCGTTAAGAACGTCGCGTTCCCCGCAGCGCTGCTCAGGTTGGGCGTCGGCCGCGAAGCGGTGGACACACGGCGGGAGACCTGGCGGGGCGCACTGCCGCTGGATAGCGCACCGGGTCCTATGCTTGGCCGCCGTGGCTGGAGGCGAGCGAGTCCGTCGGCGGAAGGGCGAGAGGACATGCTGGTTTTCGATGGCGAGTCGCCATCTGGGTCTGGGCAAATGAGGAGTATGAGCGGGTGTAATCGGTACGCGTGTGGACCTTGTACTACGTACCGCTGTCCTCTAGATGCCCGAGCATGTCTGCTATCCTCTTAGACCGCGCAGACGGGACCAGGACGGCACTGCTCTTATCACTAGCCCGTGAGCCTGAAGCCAGGTGACTGTACTCATCGCCGATCGCAGAACCATCGGGGGTGGGGATGTTCCTGCCGATGCCTACAATGGGTCCGTCGCGCTTGCCGTCTGAGAAACTGACCGATCGACGGTGGCCGCTCTTGTTCGCAGGTGTGTGTATACGACCGCGGCTGGGGTCCTTCAAGGCCGATAATGGCGTCGCGCTCGTACTCTTCAGCGCCGGGCGCGGTAACGGGGTGTTCGTGACCCCGCTACTAGTCCCGCCATTGACCTGGCTAGACGGGTTGGGCGTCGCGGCGGAGAAGCTGCGAGGGCCCGGGGCTGCGGCGATGAAACGAGGAGGAGTGTCTTCGAACGCTGGTTCAGCAGTTGCCTCGTCTTCGATCCCAACGCCAACAGCGGGTCTACCGAGTGGAAGGTCCAAAGTCGCGGTGGGCACTGTGCTTCCAGTATGTCCCTCACGGTCATGAGAGATATCGCTCTCCGTATACGACGTTTCCACTTCATCTTCTTCTTCATCGATGTCAACGTCCTGTGTGAAGTCCTGGGACGGGCCATCGGTCGAGAAGGATGTTAGCTCGGCTTCCTCCTCATCCTCGAGCTCCTCCTCCGAGACCTCCTCTATGCGACTCTTCTCCAAAGTCATCGAAGCCCCTTCGTCGAGGGCCGGACCCTCGCCGATCGCGCCCCGCTCGTCCGATTCGTCCTCCCGCAGACTCTCGATATCTCGGAAGGGGTCCTCACTGTCGTTGTCGTTGTCCAATTCCGCGTCAGGATTTGGGCCCATGCCCATCGCAGCTCGGGTCCCTACACCGGAGCCAACCCGTGTGCGCACCTCCGCCTCGGACAACCCGGCCGTAGCCAGCGCGGTTGCTTTGACCCATCGCATCATCACCCGATCGAAGACCATCTTGCCCACCCGCTCAGGGAGTGCCCCGATGTCCTGCGGCGTAATCTGCGTCAGCTGCTTGGGTCCGGCATGCTTGACGAAAGATGCCGCGCTGCCTGCTGTGAGCGTAGTGCCCGACGCAGTGCTGGAGGAGACGAAGCGCGTTAAGTCCTCGTTGCGGCCCGCGCGCACGGAAGAGGACGGGTAGGCTGGCACGGTCGGCGGCGCGAGATGTCCCGGACTCTCCTTGACCGGCGAGCGCGGTGCGGTCGACGGCGATGCCGAGACGAGCCGGACTGGCGGAGGGAACGAGCCTGATGTAGGCGGCACGGGGAACTGGGAGAGCATGCGCGAGGTCTCGCCGATGGACATCCGGGTCATGTCTTCACTCAGCTCCCGCGTGAGGTCTTCGGAGGGTCGTGCGGAATGCATGTGACGTGCGGTAGACGGTTTGCGAGGACTGGATCGCGGACTCTGGCCTGCGCGCTGCTTACCGCGGGTTACACTGGATACTCGGTTGTGAACCACAGTCGAGACACGGCGACCTTGGGAGTGCGCTTCGCTGACTTTCCGGAGTTGCGTGAGTGTGTTCGTGTCGCCGCCGCGGGAGCGGAGAGACGGGACCGTGGTGTTTGCGGAGATGATGGACGAAGCCTCTGTGGCATCATCGTTGCGGAGGTGAGAGGCCTCGGTATCCCCAGAGAAGAGTCGTTTAGATCCCTTCATGTCACTCCTGATTTGAGCCATGAGACTGGCCGCTTGTTGTCGGTAGCCTAGCGAAGAATATCCAGACCGTCTTGACGAGGTCGTACCATTCGGCGAAGGGTCTCTACTGGAACCGTCGTCGGGTACAGCCAGGAAGGAGGGTTTCCCTACAACACGAGATGCGATGAGATCACGAGTGATTGCATGTTACAGTAGTCGTCAACGCACGTAGTGGTGGCTGCTCCTTTACAAACACTTCTGTCGTCTGAACAGGCTCTGCAGCAGGTGACCGCGAAGTCGCGACGGTAGAGACTGTCGAGAAGTCACGTGCCTGTCGAATTTGGTCCATAAGATTCTTAGATTCGCCTACGTAGTCCCTGCGCGAGACAGGACGCATGATGATCGCTGCCCCATCCCCATTTCCCTTATCACCGCTGAAGTCACTAGCGGGACTTAGCTTGACACGTTTGGCACTGCGGAGACGGGTGAAGCTCGATTCCTCAACGGGGGAGAGACCGGAGGGTGTAGTACGACGACTGCTGGGGTTGGTAGGACCACCATCTCCTGAAGGTGTGTTCACGGCGATGGAATCAACCATGGCTGATAGGTGATCGCGGGTGAATGTGTCATATTGAAACTGGAAAAGGCGGAGACGCGGGTCTGTAGGAGGAGGATTTAGATAGCGAGTAGCATTTCCAGGTCCAGGAGTACTCTGTGCATCTGGGATAGGTCCTGCTGGGTTGAAGGGACTCGAACGAGGAGCGGAGAAAGTGAATTGGCTCTGCGGCCCTTCCACCCTCAGACCCTCCTGGTCGTGAACAGAGACAGTGGCAGCTGAAACAGGCCGGTCTTCCTCGCCTTCTTCAGTTATTGTAGGCACGGGCGATGGGACGTGGACCTGAGAGAGACGAGATGGAACAACAGGAATAGCAGTGGCCCGTGAGCCTGATGGCAGGGGGGCCGCCTGCTGAGGAGGGGAGGGAGGCTCGAACATCTTCTCAAGCGCAAGAGGACTGAAGAAGTCCTTGACCACGGGTTTCTTGTTCCTCCCGGGGGTCTTGGGGAGGAGAGGTACGGGCGGCACTTCCTCACGGACGATGAACGTACCACCAGTGTCATCCGTGCTTGCTGTGCCAGCGGAGGAGCCAAGGTCACTGTTGCGTACTAGAACAGAGCCAAGAGGTTGGGTGAAGGATAGTTCGGAGCCAGACTGGTCAGGGCCAAGAGACTGGTCCTCATCTTGCCAATCGATCCATTCCTCGACATCCGCAAGCTCGTCGGTCAACCAGGCAGGTTTAGGCTGTGCAGAGGACATATAACGAGCGTCGCTAGAGCACCGAGTGCTAATGAGTACCCGATACGAAGACAAGGGCGGCCAGAGGAGACGATGATGAGCAGGAGCATGAACAACAGCAGCCACAGCAGTTTCCACCGCGCAACTCGCGTGCCGGATCAGACCACGTGAGCGCGGGGCTCTTCAACTGTGGGTCCTTATTTGGGCGCTATTTGCTCCCAGCAAATACAGCCAAACTCAGCGCTTGTCAACTTGCCTTGCCTGAACGTCGTCGCCGACACTTGGCGTAGACTGAGACGTCGACGGGCATTGGAATATCATTCATGATGCTGGCTCAGATGCTGGCACTGACATATCTGCTAATGAACATGAAATGCTTGTCCCCCGCTGCGCCTCGATGGTCATGTTCTCTCACGTGCGACACGATTCGCTTGGAACGCGGCGGCTGATCTCGGCACGATGTTGGCTTCCGTCCTTGTCTCTCTCCTGTGACATCTGGCTCGAATTGTTTTGCAACCTCCCCTTAGCCATCGCTGTCTTCCTTCCATTGTCCGCATCCACCCCCTGTTGCGCCACGTTGTACAGCCTCGGTTTCCGTGACTCTCTCTCTCCTGATCATCAGTAACGTTCAAAGCCGTCGGCGGGGGTCGGTTAAGCCACTGCTTGATTCATATCTACTTAGTTCATCTTGTGACAACCGGTTGATCTTCAACCGTAGCCGATCTTCCTTTCTGTCCCACAACGGATTCTCTATCAGACGTAAGCAATCTTTGCGTTCGCGAGGCATTGTTTAGATTTGACAGCTCCTCGCTTCTTCGGCCGCGTTCGTTGTTAACGATTCGCAATTCAACTTTCATGTACATCGCAGCAGATCGTGAATATGAGTGTCTACTTTTTGCGGCATCCAGCCAACAATCCTATCAAGGCATCCTGGAGCTCGCTCTGATATTCTATCTATATGACAGTCCGTTACTCCGATGTGCAGTCACCCAAGCCACGCTTTTTCTCACCAGATCCTCGATCAATTCTCACCCCCAGCGCTGGGTGCAGTGGCAATATTCAGGACAGGTCATCAACTAGACAGGCCAGGTCTATCGTCGAGGGTAACGTAACCAATCGGGCTGTCTGCATGGGTAGCAATCAATTGAGTCCTTCAATTCAGCTCGACCAGTTGGCTTCGCCGTGGACCGGCGAGTCGATACCGATAGTAGTGTGGAGTCATCGTCTTATCACCGGTCCCACTTTCACATCGCTGTCCCAAGGTCTCCTCAACAACTCAGCATATCCGAATCCTTTCCACACCACGGCCAAAGTAGGTTCGGGGGAGATCAACCAGCTCCGGCATGCCCACCCATGGTACCTGGATGATGCCTGATATAGCGTTTGGGCGAATACATCCTATCTCCACGAGCTCATGACCTTGCCGTTTGCGATGAATAGGCCAGGCGGCAGCCCTGAATGTATTCCGAATTGCGACGATGATCCTCTTCGCGAATATGATGAGCCTCATCATGATCAAGCTCAAGCTCCGGGGCACCACCTCCTGGGACGCCGTCATGACCGCCTACTTACATTGGGCACAAGGTTTGGCAACGAGCGTCCGTGTGGAGCACTGGTCAATTGGTGGGACTGGGCCCGGAGGACCAGATCGGGGTAGGCTGGGCGAGAAGGCTTGAGGATAGCCGCGGGGTGATACAGTTCCGCGTTGAGAAGGTGCGTTGTACGGTCCTATGAGAACAAGTGCGGGAATGAGATTGCACTTCCCATACCTTTTTTCCGCAGTCGCGAAAAGAACGCCTTTCCTTTGTGCCATGCTCTCACAGCCCTGGGCATATGGTGGGCAGCAACGTTCGCTTGTGCCTTGTGGTCCACCAGGCGGCCGAGGCGGGGGCTTATTGGATCCATATTTTGTGCCTCACGCGAAGCGGACGGTGATGTTAACGTTAACATACGTCCCCGCCGTACCCGTGTGCCATACGGCGAGGTTGCAAGGTGGACTTGGTGGTGTCGGATCCAGCAGAGTTCAAGTCGGTTACGTTATAGCTATGGATCGAGTTGGCTATTAATATTTAGGTTATTACGGAAGACTTCTGCATCTGCATCGCGGACGGAGAGTATGAGCATATGTCCCAAGGCACGAAGCGATGGTGTTCCTCAGCGTGAGTATGCCGTACCACTTCCCGTATACGGGTTTCCTCTGAGTCCAATCGCTGCTGCATATCATGAGTAAACGCCGCTTCCCTCGCAGGACCCCGGCAATAAGCGAGGTCGGAGTGGGTATGGAAGGTATTCACTAACTTTGCAAATCTGGTCGCACTATGATCATACTATTGCAATAGCAGTATGCAGATCGTGTGGTAGAAACCCATCTCAATCGCTCACACCAGGCGTAGTATTCCTCTACAACATCCTAGCTTCCCAGAACTTTGCCCGAGCGACCTCCGAGTGTCTCGGCGTTTCACCAAGACTCGCACCAGATCTTGGTAGTATTGTGGCAATGTATTCGGCTCCTAAGCATGTTGCGGACGTGCATTCCGTCGTTCGCTGCAAGGGGCGCCGCTCTACGGAGCACGTGCCTCAGGGTGAATCAGAGTGAGTTGATCGTGGTGGTCCTAGGGTGGCGATCAACTTGAACTTGACTATGACGATCAACCCGCTCGGCAGTGCTAAGCTGCTCGACCCCCGGGCGCTGCGGACTGACTCCGCGGTACAATATGCCGCGGGGCATGTATGACTGGGACTTCTCTATGAACATTTGAACACCTCTTACGGGATGTGGCTATCGGGGGCAGCCACCATTCGGTAGCAGGAGCTGCAGCCAGAGCATTCATCCTGCTGCACACCGTCATGTCCGCGGAGATGTCAGCGTGGTCTCGGTGGCAAGTCTGGGCGAAGTGAGAAGTCCGTTCGTTCGCGGCGCCCCATGACTCTGGTTAACGTATTATAGACTCACAATACCGTTCGTGCCAAGGATCCTCCCACAGCTGAACCGAGTTAACCACTGTCTCCCAACTCTATCGATCTTGCAGCACCATCCTGACGGTCCTTAATTCCCGGTGTTATGGCGAACGGGTGGGATTTCGAGCGGGAAAACACGTCAAGCTGTAGTTTAAGCATGCATTCGTGTCACCCACGTAGTCTAAGCTCGCTGAGGGATGCGTATAGAGAGCATCATCGATGAGAACATTCTCCCGATGTTCACGTTTCGGTGGAGGATGCCTGCGTTGATCCTCCCCATAGCGGGATTAGACAGACAGCAATGACTGGCTTCGACGTATTGATGAAAGATTGAGAACCGTACTGAGCCGATGGTAATGCCTTGTCAAATGCGCGGCTTGGGCGTCGCTGTTTCGTTACCAACTGAGTCTGTTGACTGAAGTTTGCGGACTGCCGGGGCGTCGTGGACCAGTCATGTACCAAGCAACGGCTATCGCCGCCTTTCAGAGACATCCTGAATATCGTGTTTGACGAGTGTCCGTTGGCAAGAGTGAGATACACCAGGTGAGGTCGAACGTAGTGGCCAGGAAGCGGAAAATGCCGGACGAGGCCTGGCGTTGCGGGGGAGGCCGAAGAGGGCGTCTATGCCACGCGAGGGCCTGACGTCAAGTATAAGATTTCCATTCTGGCACAAGTCGCAGTCCTCGTCCGTAGAGCAAAGCAAGCATCGTCCCCGACTCCTCCTTCCCCACCCCCGCCCCCGCCCTCGACCCCCGCTGCTCCTTGCACGTCTTCCTCAAGCCTCGTAGCAACGACCGGGCTCGCAATCTCGCCCGCCTTCTGTTCGCAGCGATTCTCTGTCAGGCACCTGACTCGTAAGTCTTCCCTCTCTGCCATGTTCGCTTCCTTCCGTCGCTATCACTCCAACCTCCGCACTCCAGCCTAACCAAGCTCTCTCATCAGCCCGCCCGTCATTTTTGCACTCTCATAGCGACCTCGACGTCGGCTTCCCTCGCATTCTCTCGCGGTGTTGCGGTGGCGCAAAACTTTCGCTTCTATTCGTGAGTTCCTCTCCCCGCCTGCTGGCCTTGCTCTCTTTCTTGCGTCCAACATCCACTTTGGTCGTTCTTGGGTGACATACTTCGCACCGGACCTTCCATTCCCTCACGTTCTGCCCCTTCCCGTCCACCAGGCGCATTGCCCTCTCACGCACTTCACACGACTAGCCTGCGTCGCTGAGTTCGTACCATACACGGCACGATCACTTCCTCTGTCGACGTGTAAAAACCCCTCGACTGGGTGTCTTCGTATGCCTCATCATGGAAGTCCCTGTATGCATTGCTTATCATATTTCAATGTCTGTTCCAGGATTCGCGAATTTGTCCCGGCAAATCCTTTGTCCGGTCCTCAAGTCCTTCCCAGTGCATTAAGTTTCAGGTCCGTCATTGATCTCGTCAGCACTTCCCTACCTAATGACGAACCATTTAACAGCCACACACATTCAGGCGCGCGCATACGACACCATAAATCCGCATCCATTTTCTACTTCGCCTCGTACTCTTCGTCATCCGGCGTAAGTCTCACTCCAGTGTCAACTCTCAGAAAGCTCATACCCTCAGTCTATCTAGCGACGAGTTCTCATGACAGACTTTGCGAGTCTCTTCTCCTGGTCTCGTCCTCGCGTAGAAAAATCGTTGCCACCGACGCCATCCAACACCGCCTCTAGGCGGTCCAGCCCCATCCCCATCCCTCGTCGTAGATCTGTGCATCCCCCGCCTTGCTCTCCCACACGTAGCCAAGACTCACCGGAGCTCGTTTTTAACTTCGACTTCTCCCTCTCTCCGGATGCACCTGATGCAACAGCCCATGTTCTCTTCCAGCAGCGTGGCGCAAATATGCGACGACTTCCTCTTCAAAAGGCAGCATATTCTCCGCTTGCCACCCTGGGTACCAATCATCAACGGTTGGCACATCCTTACGCCCAGGAACCATTCCTGTATCCTGTTCCAAAACCTCCTCCTGCCACCGAGAAGGCTCTGTCTAAGGTTGGCTATGCGGACAAGAGTTTGCACGCGTTGAAAGAGCAGATTGCCCCCGACCCACCGGCGCGCAGTACCTACTCGAGTCCCTCTGCGTCGTCACTGTCCTCATCTCGCTCGTCTCGTCCCTCTTGCCTTCCTTCCGCGAACGCCTCGTCGTTGCATCTAGACACTGATGAGGCCTTCCCACTTACCTCTGCGTTTGAGAGACCTCTCATGTCCGATTCCGTCGCTTCCTCGTACAATTCCATGTCTTCTTTTCAAGATATTGAGTCTCTCTCTTTGTCGCCCCCTACCCCATATCGCACGCCTTCTCCTTCGCCTCCTCGTCTTCTACCTTCGGACGCCCGCTTACGACAGGCCACGCCTCAGCGACCTGCTGCGCTCCAGCGCACACAGACTGCCGCGCCGGTTGTATCGCTCAATGTCACGCAAGCGCAGCGCTCAGATCGATCTTCGGCCATAGGCAGGGGCGAGCGCTCTCGGTCACCAAGCTCCGGCATTGTTCCACCCCGGACGAGACGTAGTTCTAGCGTCGGCGCTGGACTCGACCTCACTAAGCTACGCGATCCCACTCGCCGCATGGGGACTGTTGTTGGGCGTGGCGCCGGGCGCGTCATCAGCATGTTCGAGTACGGGAATGTAAATGCTCGGTCGCTCGTAAGCGACGAAGACATCGAGGGCTCGCTGGAAAAGGATCACGCTGATCGGCCGCGCGATCCTGAGCGGGACCGGAGGCTGGCAGTGGAGCGCGAGAAAGATGGCGTGCAGGGCTGCGGTAGTCCGGTGCTGGAGAGAGGCCGCGCCAGGGGCCGAGCTGGTGTTGCCGCTCCCAAGCGTACGCGGGCCCTCCCCGGCTGGCAGTGGATGGATGCACGCTAAGTGAGTAGTTCGTCGTTTGGCGTTCCCCATGGCTTTCGCTGATTGTCACGTAGACGAGTATTGGTGCAGATTCCGGTTCACGGTCATTCGCATGGTCTGGTAGCTGATACTGCTCGCCTGGCTCCATCAATGGACATTGTGGACACGGACACATACCTTCACCTCCTGTCTCACATCATTCATCATCTTCATGTTCAAGTTTCACCTTCCAAAGCAACAACACTACTCACCTCCTCGCGACTTCATACAACACAAAACAGGCATCACAATTCATCCACATGACCACACATATTCTGAATTCCCTCTCTGTTCATATATATTATTCCGCACTACATTCCCTCGGCATCTGCATTCTCATCCACATTGGCACTCGTATTGGTATCACTAGGACTAGCGTATCTTCCCCGTATATCCAGCCCCCATATCCCACCAGCATCCACATTCGCATCGGCATTCTCATCATTCTCATCATCCCCATCGCTTATGTATGCAATCATCGTCCCGAATCAAGCATTCACATCATAGACTCCAACAACTTAGCGCTCGCATAATTCTCATCGTCTTTCCTCAGGACTCTTACATCTTCTCCTAGTTCATATTTTGGTACATACCCACACGTCGTTAGCCTCGCATCCTCTCGATGAGTACTCTACATTGTCGATCAGCTCGGAGTTCGCAACTTTTCCTCGAAGCACTTCATTCTACAAGGCTTCTTCCTACTACATTCAAGTTCACAACACATCGTCGTACGTACATGCAGGCATCGTGATTAGAGCTCGGGTTCCGGACATATCTATGGACCATTGGCCACATAGACACAGCGACACAGGGCATCCCTCCCAAAAAGCGCTAGCAAGGAGCGCAATCATGTGGCATAACTTGAGCGCAGCCTGAGTTGTTCTCGAAAGGTTGCTAGCTTTGACTACAAGGTCGCGACTATATAAGTTGGTGAAGATAGTAAGCATCGCCTGCATGTTGAATAGTGTGAGATGCCGCGAGCCTTGAAGCTTCAGCAAGCGGCCAGTCCTGCGCCTAGCTAGCGCTATGGTGGAAACGTCCGTCAGGTACAGCAAACGTTATAGATGATGGAGCCTCACGAGTCTTCCATCGGAACCCAAGTAAAGAGGGGTTAGATGTGATGCTCGTTCATAACGAATTGCATACGGCTGCCCTTGTGTTTTCGCTCCGACATAACCATATGCAGCTTTTGCCGGAGCAGGTCTGTCAATCCCGGAGGAAGATGCAAGACCTTAAGGCGTGGGCACGGCTCTCGGGATATGTCGAAGCCTTCATATGGAGATCGCGAGGGCCGCAGGGCATCGAGACATTGATCGACGAGATGGATGTCGCCCAGCGACAGGCTGTTCGTGCTAGGCAGCAAGGATAGGAGTAGGCTGGGATCGCACCACGCCGGCCAAACTCTCTGGCTCGAGATCGTCACTGTGGAGATGGAGGTGGAAAAGTCAGAGACAAACGCTTCGATACACTGCTGAAGTATCGTCGTCATGGCTCCTGCAGTGCCGAGTTCGAGAGAGAGAGACCCGCCTGAACGGGGGTTAGCCAAGGTAAGGGTGATGGAGACAAATGACACGTCGATGACTAGTGTCATAGGCTGTATCACGCAGGGAAAGCGAAGGTCTGCGAGGGGGCCTAGCCTGTGCGCGGGCAGACCGTGTAGGCGAATGGCACAGTCGGCAGGGAGGGTGAGGTGCGCGAGGATCGCTCGCATGGACGAGGCCTGTCCGTGACAGTCACCAATAACTAGCCTCCGCAGGCAGGTAAGCGACACAGATGGAGCTGACGGCGTCTGCGTGGACTCAAAATGCGTAGGGAGTCCGACAAAGGTCGCCGTCGCGAGCAGAGTGCATCGCGACAATAGGTGAAGGAGGTCGTTTAGAGTCCAGTAGATAGGAGACGTCTCGAATGACAGTTTGAGGTGTACGAGTCGCTGGAAAGAGTTCGATGGCAGGAATGGGACGTCATGTAGGACGAGCGTATTGAGCCTCGGGGTGACACCATCGAACAACCTGACGATCGGTTCCGTCGGCGCGCCCGCGCCCGCATCGTCAGCATCGCTCGCAGTGTCGTTCCGGGGCACCTGCCGGCGCACGACCACACGCTCCAGGTGGGGTGCAGGGAAGCCAAGCACACCTGTTGCAAGCTGGGACGGAGTGCAGTCGTGGAGGTCTTGTAGGAAAAGTTCTGTGACTCTTGAGCCTACACGAGGCACGCCAAGGAGTTGGACGAGCGCGCGGGTAGGATTGCTTCGATTAACGTATATGGTCAGAGCAGTCTCCTTGGCGCGCGCCTGGAGAAGCTGCGCAGAGGCGTGGCTGACATCGTCTTCGTATAGTGTCGACCAAAGCGAGGGCGTGCTGAGGGCAACATCACGCCAGCGTCTGCAGACATGGGTGACAGGTAAGAGGTCGTACGATTGCCTGGCGGCAGATGGCCCGTGGTATCCTGCAGGCTTCAGAGGCATCATGGCCAGGGAGAAAACGAGGGAAAGAATCTCAGAGGGAAGTCTGTTAAGTGGGATGAGGGAATTCATCGTCTCCTGCACCAAGCTCGAAGCGAGATGCAACTGAACTTGAAGGGCGGTGAGCTGGCAATGCGGCAACGTCGTGAGCACAAGGCGCCGAGAAATGGTCTCGAGAATGGCGCACCATCTCTATGCTGAGGATTGCGTTATGAGTTCACATCTCTAGGAGAGACACATCATGATACGGACGCACCTCATTGACCATCTACCGAGTTTGATTGCTTCGAGGACGATGTCGAGTGAGGTATCAATAGATGACGGGACAACGGGCGGCATAGTCTCCTATCCTATGGAGTACAAGGAGTAAGATGTATACTTCCTGCGGAAAGGGAATCTGCAATTTATATCGAATGGTGACATGTTCCGTCACCTCCGGACGCGGGGCGCCCGTCATGCCATCCTCTGTGTAGACGATGAAACGTCTTCTTGGTAATCAATGTGTTATTCATGAACGATGAACCCCATTTAGGGTGTTGCCACACAAAGTCAGCTCTCGCCAAGACTGCCACAGGTAAACCCATCGGACACCATATATCCAATACAAGTCCATCATGAAACACATTAGGCAGATGTGCGCAGTCGAGGGAGATGTGGCTTAGCATTTTGGTGGATAACAGAAGAAAGGATTATATGGAAGGGTTATAGTACAAAAAACCATCTCTGATGTGCACGTACAATCATTGTATTGGGTTGCTCTGCGCCTGCCTCGCCTGCCGAAACATGTGCGGGATGGGGCCAGGAAGAGCGACCGTAGGAGGCGATATGCCGACCTCCAAACATGCTTTCACGAGTTTCATGCGAATACTCGCCCACTCTTTTCGCTGATCTGAATATGTGACAGGCCTTGAGTGAAGACGAACAATCGCCGCCAACGGACGGACGTACCTTCACTTGGCCAGAACAACATCAAATACTCCGTACGCTTGCTGAACACCTTAGCCGCTTCGAGAGCCACAATGAGCGTTGGGTCAGCCTCCCATAGCACCAGCGCCCTGAGACGCGTGAGAAATCGCCGTCGACGATCACACGGAGGGGACAACGTACTTGAGAACATGAGACATGAACCAATATATCAGCAGTGGCCTCCGGTAATCGAGAGCGGGCGACGGGACTCCTTCAGTGAGGCTCTTCCATACTTGCTCTGCCGTGGCCATCCGGAGGCGCACTGTTCGTCGTGCGGATGATGAGAATCCATGGACACGATCATGCTGCACAGAGACTCACGCCAAGCTTCAGCCTTGTCCCTGTAAAACAACTGGCTGCCTTTTCTATATTTTTGGGTTCAGCATCCGGAGGGTGCGGTAGCAGAGAAGGAGCGCGACGATAGCACTCACGTCGTGATTCGTGGGATGTATCTATGGAACTCGTGCGAGACGCACATCCGCGAGCTGAACAGCATCTCGCGCGCTTGATGGCCAAAGTTGCGCTCCAGCTCGCACGTATGCTGCCCGAGCGCGTCATCGATAGCGTCCATCTCCAGCCACGCCTGCATCGCGAACTGCGCGCGCTCCGCGTCGCTCAGTGTGAGGTCGGCGCGCTTCTGCACACAGCTGTGCAGGAGAAGCATCGAGCGCAGGTAGAGCGTCCAGACGTTGTTTGGCTGCACAGGCGCGCCGTGCATGGCAAGGGATTCCCCAGGGAAGAGCAGCGCGTACTAGGATTGTAGATCATCGGTTAATGTAGTCCAGGCATTCGGGTGCGCGCGAACGCAAGTCCTGACTTACGTTGTCGGGGTTCTTCATCCACAACTTCTGCTTATCGATGTCTGCCTCGATGTTATGCGCGGAGTTGTACGCGTTCAGGCTCGCGGTCACCATGACACTAGCCCAAACAAGCCGACGGCATTCCTCCTTCCTGAATTCTCCTTCGGATATGTTCTCCGGCCAGATAAGCGTCCCGGCCCAGGCCGGCGCAATACCACTCACGCCGGGCCAATGCGCTTTAAGCGTCAAGGACGCGCAGTTGCAGTCAACGGGATGGAGTGTAGTTGACGGACCAAGAGTCATGTTGTCAGGAACAATGGGCTGCACAAGATGTGCGGGGGGCGCGTGTGGCGGCAGGTTAAAATTCACACCCTGCTGGAGAGGGAAGACACCACTGGGCTGCGCAAAGAAGCCTGGGGTGTGGGCACTAGTGTAGAATGGAATGTTGTTGTTGGAAGGCACCTCGCTGATAGATGAAGTAAGCCCAGCGGCGTTTAGCAGGGCCACAGAAGGCCGATTGGAGGTATGAGCACGCTTGATGTCAGCATCAAGAGTCGTCAGGGAGAACAAGCGTATCAGAGAGTCCAGGAGAAGCAGCGATGAACGATGCCGTGTAGTCGACCGCATTGGATGAGACTGAAGTTCGAAGTAGACGATAAGCTGCGAGCACAACTGGTGAGATAACGATCTTCTGCAGCGTTCGGAATGCCTACCCATGCCGCTTGAATCAGTTCAACGTTGACCCATCCGGACGCCATACTAGCCTGCAGCGAGCTGTGCGCGATCTCAATGAGTTGAAGCGCTTTAGCGCGACCCGCCGCGCCCTTCTCTGCCTCGGAGCTCTGGGAGAACAGACCAATGGCCAAGGCGCTCATGACAAGACTGGGCTGCATCGATCCTCGCGTTGTCGGGTTCAAGAGCGCGTCAAAGAATCGAGGGATGTGGATGAAGCTAACCCAGTAAATGGAGGCATGGAAGAGCGCCCTAAGGTCAGACACAACGCGCAAGACAGTGGCCGACCGTTGCTCAGGCACCAAGGAAATAGTATCTGTCGTACCGGAGTCGGTTGAGTAGAAGGTAAGCAGCGCGTCCCACCAGGTTTCGCGTGTAAATTGGAGACTTGGACGACGGGGTATGTTCTGCTCGACCTCCTGAGCATATCGACCAAGACTGAACTCCGTTCCTGCGATTGGGTTGTCCAAGTCAACTAGAGGGAACGGGTCGTATTCTTCTGATTCCTACGCAAGCAATCTTGTTAAGTTCATGCTGGCGTATTCACACGACATACTGCACGAACCTCTTCCGATGACAGCCCCGGGAAGTTGTCGTAGGAAGCATGCAAGTGCGTGGCGGTTTGCCCGCCACTCGCGCTACCCGATTCGTGAGTAGGATTAGAGCTATTTGAGTCGCTGTCACTATCGACGGTGCCGCTCGAGGTTTTCCTTCGTTTGAACCTATGCGATGTGGCCATACGCGCCCGTGTTCCAGGGGCTTTGTCTCGTCCCCGACGGTTCGGCCGGGCATCGTAAGAGCACTCGCCAACATCCGGCGGCCGTTTATGACAATTAAAACATACCGGCTTTGCGCCGTCGCATCGCGTTTTACGTACACGACTAAGACAAGCAGATGCAGAGTGACAATTTTGAGGACGATTCACTTGGAGCGTCCAACTGAGGCTTGCACTTACCACTGGTTGCACGCAACGTAAACGCGAGCCCGAGGGTTACCGCGCGCAGTCGGAGGTTGGTGAGGGTCAAGGGCAATCTTGGGCCTAATTCTCTTGCGAGGGGGGGCAGGGTCAGATGTTGGTGTAGAAGAGGACGCAGACTTGATCTGTGGTCGGTGACGGGATGCGGAGGCTGCAGGAGTCGAAGATGCAGACGATGGAGGATCGCGACTAGGTGCCACAAAGTTGGGGCTGTGCTGCCCTTCACTCGGCGTGGATGATCCAATGCTGAGTACGTTCGACGAGTGATTGTTCAGGGAGTCGTCCGCAGAGGACCCCTGCATGAAAGAATCCAGCCAGGCAAGAGGTTCGTCCAGCATGGGGGCGGCAGACATTGAGGTGGAAGAGAAGGGGCGAGAAATAGGGCTCATGACGACTTGCGTCGGCTGATTGACCCCAACGAAGTGGCAATGCAGTCTGAATCCTCATCAGGAGCGCAGTCAAGGGGCCCGCCCAGTTAGGTGTGACGGCTCTACGCAGTCAAGCTCGCGCTTGGGTAGCATTCCGGTGTCGGGTTGATGGCTACCAAGAGACGTTATTCCTAGCTCCCGTATTGCTGTACTGGACTGAAGGGGACGTTTTGGCATCAAGATCAAGTTACAAAGACTGTCAGTCGCCCTAGGCCTTACGTGAGACGGCTTAGCATCCCGCGGCCGACTGAATCCGGCGCCTGTAGTAGTAGCCGCCTTAGGTCTGTACTCATCTGCTAGTAAGTAAGTATGTACATATGTAGGTTCCGTTCTCGACTCGTCTCATAGGGTCTGCCTTCTGTTCTGAAGAGCTATAAACTGATTCAACGACGCACGATGCTGGCAGATCATCTACAGAGAAGCGTCCGATTCCCGTATCGCCCCCAGGGCCGGCGGGAGACGGTGTCCATGGCAAACGAACCTTCTCTGCCGCCCATATATGGTGTATGTATGTGAATACAGTTGTCATGCCCGAGCACATTGCTCACAATGATTGCAGTCCTGATCAAGCGAATTGGGCAAATAAGCGCAATCGAAGAAGATGTGGCTTGGTTTAGTATATAACAGAAGAAAGGACTATGTGGCAATACTATCAAAATCTGTGTTGTACACATACAATCATCGTGTTGGGTCGCTCTGCGCCTGCCTCGCCTGCCGGGACATATGCGGTATGGGGCCAGGAAGAGCGACCGTAGGGGGCGATATTCCGACCTCCAAACACGCCTTCACGAGTTTCATGCGGATACCCCCCCACTCTCTCCGTTGTTCTATCAGCTACTGAGTCAGTTGCGACTACCTCCGCTGGAGGACGGACGTACCTTCACTTGGCCAAAACATCATCAAGTACTCCGTACGCTTGCAGAACACCTTAGCCGCCTCGAGAGCCACGATGAGCGTTGGGTCAGCCTCCCATAGCACCAGCGCCCTGAGATGCGTGAGAAATCGCCGTCGACGATCACACGGAGGTGACAACGTACTTGAGAACGTGAGACATGAACCAATATATCAGCAGGGGTCTCCGGTAATCGAAGGCAGGCGGCAGGGTTCCTTCGGTCAGGCTCTTCCACATTCGCTCTGCCGTGGCCATTCGGAGTCGCACTGTTCGTCGTGCGGATGATGAGAGTCCATGGACAAGATCATGCTGTACAGGGACTCACACCAAGCTTCAGCCTTGTCCCTGTAAAACAACTGGCTGCCTTTGCTATATTTTTGGGTTCAGCATCCGGAGGGTGCGGTAGCAGAGAAGGAGCGCGACGATAGCACTCACGTCGTGATTCGTGGGATGTATCTATGGAACTCGTGCGAAACGCACATCCGTGAGCTGAACAGCATCTCGCGCGCCTGAAAGCGCGAGTTGGGCTCCAGCTCGCACGTATGCTGCCCGAGTGCGTCCTCGATAGCGTCAATCTCCAGCCACGCTTGCACCGCGAACTGCGCGCGCTCTGCCTCGCTCAGCGTGAGGTCAGCCCGCTTCTGCACGCAGCGGTGCATTAGGAGCATCGAGCGCAGGTAGAGCGTCCAGACGTTGTTTGGCTGCACAGGCACGCCATGCATGGCTAGCGATTCCCCGGGGAAGAGCAGCGCATACTAAGACCGTAGGTCAGCGGCTGGTCCAAGCATTCGGATGCGCGCAAACACCAGTCATTACTTACGCTGTCGGTGTCCTTGATCCACAACTTCTGCTTATCAATGTCTGCCTCGATGTTATGCGCGGAGTTGTACGCGTTTAGGCTCGCGGTGATCATGACACTGGACCACACGAGGCGACGACACTCCTCCTTCCTGAACTCTCCTTCGGATATGTTCTTCGGCCAAATAAGCGTCCCGGCCCAGGCCGGCGCAACGCCACTTATGCTGGGCCAATGCGTTTGAAGCATCAAGGACGCGCAATTGCAGCCAACGGGAGGGAGTGTGGTTGACGGATCAAGAGTCGTGTTTTCCGGAGCGATGGGCTGCACAACATGTTCAGGGGGCGCGTGTGGCAATGGGTCGAGGTTGACACCCTGTTGGAGAGGGAAAGCACTACTGAGCTGCGCAAAGAGGCCAGGGGTGTGAACGCCGGTGTGGAATGGTTCGTTGGAAGGCACATCGCTGACAGATGAAGTGAGTCCAGCTGCGTTGAGCAGGGCCACAGAAGGCCGATTGAAGGTATGAGCACGCTTGATGTCAGCGTCAAGCGTCGTGAGTGAGAACAGGCGTATCAAAGAGTCTAGGAGAAGCAGCGATGAACGATGCCGTGAAGCCGACCGCATTGGATGAGACTGAAGTTCGAAGTAGACGATGAACTGCCAGCGAAAGTAGTGAGATCATGGGGACGATCTGCTGCAACGTTCAATGTGCTTACCCATGCCGCTTGAATCAACTCAACGTTGACCCAACCCGACGATATACTGGCCTGCAGCGAGCTATGCGCAATCTCAATGAGCTTCAGAGCTTTGGCACGACCCGCCGCGCCCCTCTCTGCCTCAGAGCTCTGGGAGAACAGGCCGTTGGCCAAGGCGCTCATGACAAGACTGGGCTGCATCGATCCTCGCGTTGTTGGGTTCAAGAGCGCCTCGAAGAATCGAGGTAGGTGGACGAAGCTGACCCAGTAGATGGAGGCATGGAAGAGCGCCCGAAGGTCAGTCACGACGCGCAAGACAGTGGCCGACCGTTGCTCAGGTACCAAGGAAGTAGCATCTGTCGTACCGAACTCGGTTGAGTAGAAGGTAAGCAGCGCGTCCCACCAGGTTTCGCGCGTGAATTGGAGACTTGGACGACGGGGTATGTTCTGCTCGACCTCCTGAGCATGTTGACCAAGACTGAACTCCGTTCCTGCGATTGGGTTGTCCAAGTCAACTAGAGGGAACGGGTCGTATTCTTCTGATTCCTACGAAGGGACTGATAAGCTCGAGCTATCATTTTTCCCACAAATTCACGTACCTCTTCTGTGGACAGCCCGGGGAAGTTGTCGTAAGACGCATGCAAGTGCGTGGCGGTTTGCCCACCACTCGCGCTACCAGATCCGTGAGTAGGACTAGAACTATCTGAGTCGCTGTTATCATCGTCGGTGCCGCTCGAGGTTTTCCTTCGTTTAGACTTGTGTGATGTGGCCACACGGGCCCTCCTTCCAGGAGCTTTGTCTTGTCCGCGACGGTTCGGCCGTGCATCGTAAGAACACTCGCCGACTTCTGGGGGACGCTTATGACAGTTGAAGCAGACCGGTTTTGCGCCGTCACACCGCGTTTTGCGGATACGACTAGACGCATAGTGAGCATTAGAGAAGCATACAATTGACTTGAAGCGTCAAACTGGGGCTTTGACTGACCACTGATTGCACGCAACGTAGACGCGGGCTCGAGGGTTACCGCGCACAGTCGGAGGTTGATTTGGGTCAAGGGCAATTTTGGGCCTGATTCTCTTGCGAGGGGGTGCACGGTCAGAGGTTGGCGTAGAAGAGGACGCAGATTTGATCTGCGGTGGGTGACGGGATGTTGAAGATGCAGGAGTCGAAGACGAAGACGAAGGAGGATCCCCGGCAGGTGCCACAAAGTCCAAGTTGGGGCTGTGCTGCCCTTCACTCGGCGAAGATGATCCAATGTTTACGGGTATGTTCGACTGGTGATTGGGTAGGGAGCCATTCGCAGAGGACCCCTGTATGAAAGAGTCCAACCAGGCAAGAGGTTCGTCCAGCATGGGGGCGGGAGACATCGAAGTGGAAGAGAAGGGCTGATATTGACGACCCAGTGCGTCGGCTGATCGACTCCAACGAAGTGGCAATGCAGTCTGAATATTCATCAGGAGCGCAGTCAAGGGGCTCTACGCAGTCAAGCTCGAGCTTGGCCCGCAGCACTCCGGTGTCATTTTCGTGACTCTCAGAAGACGTAACTCCCAGCTTCTGTAAGTACTGAAGGGGCCGGCGACGTTTTCGGCCTCGAGATCAAGTTACTTACAACGACCCGGTCAGTCGCTCTAGGCCTTGCGTGGACGGCTTACCTCAGCACCCTGACTGAGTCCGGCGCCTGTATCAGCCGCGTTAGGTCTCCCAGTACTTATGTATGTTCTGCCATCTGTTCTGCTTCTTCGCCAGTCATAAGTCCTGAGTCGGTGGCGCCCGATGCTCGCAGCAGATCGTTTGTAGGGAAGCGTCCGGTGCCCCGCTGCTTAGGTCCAGTGCCCGTATCACCTCCATGGCCGGCTGGAGACGGTGTCTACGGCAATTCGACCTTCTCGGCCGCCCATATATACTGTATATGAATACAGTTGCACGACTCGAATCCGCGCTCTCTCCTTATTTCGATCTGTGCAGTACACGGGAAAGTGACTATCATCTGTCCAATGACTCACGATGGATCGATCACGGTGAGAACAACTTCGACTGCGACATCAATCTATGACACTTCTTCCCCTAGCCGTACGTTGTCCGACTTCTCAATCCCACGACCCAACTCTCCTCAGCGATAGCTTCTTCCTGCTTTGCTACCCCGACCCACTCAGCTCTTACTCGGGCTGACGGCAATGTCGGCCAGGCAACAGTCCTACTATGGGACCAGAGCGTTCGCTATCCTCGTGTAAGCATTTGCGCGCTATGGCACATCTCATATTGTTTGTGATGACACGACTCACGATTACTTCCGGTAATAGAGACGCGACGAAGCCGGTACGCAACTCACTCGTGGCCGCCTAGCATTGATACGCATCGTCTTCCCCAGGTCTCAGCTTCGGAGTCGCTCCTACCACCTCAAACACTACTGGCTTCCACTACAAATCCAGCTATATCCAATGTTACGATTCAGCAGATACCGCCCGAAATCATCGCCGCCATCTTCTCCTTCGTTCTTGACGATCGCAGTGAAGCCTGCCACCTCTTTCCGAAGGGTGTAGGGAACTTGTTCCGACTGCGAGACAATTCTCGCCTACAAAGTGTCGCTCAGGTCTGCCATCGTTGGCGCGAAATTCTCATTGGAACTTCCTCACTTTGGTCAAGTGTATTCTATCCGGAATCCTGGCCTCGACCCTCGAAGTCGTGCAACTTAACTTCGCACTTTCTGAAGCGCCGTACCGCCGGCGCACTATACATTCATTGGACGGGAAGGGTCCCTCCTGATGCAGGACGAGGAGAGCTTAGCCGAGACACTCTGGACCCACTTGAAGTGCAGCAGATTCACGAACTTCACGTCCGTGTTATGCAGGGCGTCTGGAGTGAGGGGTGGTTGCCGTTTCCCCTTACCTTGGCTGCTTCAAACCTTGAACGGCTCTGCGTCACTCATGAAGGCACCTGGAAGTCTGCATCCGAAGTACCTCTTTTTGAGGGACCAGTTCTGAGGCGGCTGGCTTTCCTCTACATGTCCAATGTGCCGATATTTCCCGGCAACCCGCTCCCCGCCCTCACGTCCCTGATCCTCATACTGGACTCCCCATGCGCGAATCTGCGCCCGAAATGGCGTGTAAAAGACCTCCTTTCCCTCGTAGCCTCCGCTTACAGCCTCCAGCAAGCTTATCTCTCCTTCCTGCCTCCCGTAGAGCGCTGGGCTCACGAGGGCACGTATCCTGTCGCCGTCCTCAAACACCTTCGCAAGCTCTCGGTTACCCTTCTGGACTACTGCACCTCTGCGCGCGACTCGTTCCACCTATTTCTGTCCCACCTCCGGCTGCCGGCGAATTGCGCACTGCGCGTCTCGCACAGCATGGACTTGAGGATCTACCCTGGAGTCGTTATCCCTGCGTTGGAGCGTATCTCAGATGCTCACGTCGTCTACGATGCACTGCGTTGCTCATGGTACGCAAATATCGATCCGGCATGCTCTAGTTCCACAAGCGTGCTCTCCGTTCAAGCCGTCGGCAGCTCAGAATGCACGATGCCAATGCGCCTCGACATCAGCGCAGGCCCACACACATATACCGAGGACACTGTCAGCCTCGTCCGAGAAACCTTGTCGGTGCAACGATTTTCAACCGCGACACGGCTCTGGATCTCTGGCGCCCACACCTATCACCTGTTGCGTGGCCCGAACCCTGTCCTCGCGACGCTCTCTTACGTCCATACCCTGATTCTCGTCGATGCCACACTTGTCAACCGCGAGGACCTGGCGCTATTGTGGCACTCAGATGCATCTGCATCGAACCTGACATCTCTACCTTATCTCACGACCCTTTTTGTCCGTCTAGAGCAAGCGCAGCAGCTCGCAGACGTCCGCGAGGTACTCTGTCATCGTCTATCCTCGGGCTATCCGATTCGGCGACTGCTGGTGGGCTACGATGGAATGTTGCACTCAGCATGGGAAGAACAAATTCGCGATCGGCTGGGTAACATGGTTGAGGAGCTTTTCATCGGAGTTGATGCCTACGACAGGATGTCGTGGTGTTCAACTGTTCCCCGCGTTTGCACCGATGAAGAGGAGACGAGCATATACTGGCCCCCCTGGAGATAGCAGCCCCAGAGCCATTGCAGTCCCGGCGTGTTACGCACGATGATGCAAGGGGAACTCTCGGTCAGTACAACTGGTTCCCTCTCGGCATATACGGCCATCCATGCATGGAGCTATTGCTGACCAGCTGCTCGTATAGGTCACGATATAGTCCTCTACGGATCACTCGCGTTTCCACCCACGTTGGACACTTGAAGTAGAATGCAGTGCGATGAACATGGAACAAAAATGAATTCTGGTCATGGTATGAAGATCGTACAATCAACTTCCAACATATCCGGATCCCGCAGGCGCAGCTATGTTATCGCATGTGGCACAATAGGACATCATATGCAAGACCCCGGTACACTACTCGTCGTGTTCTTGACATGCGCCGCCAGTACATCATTTGCACACAGCACACCTTTGACAAAGGCAGCAGACACGATATTTGCGCCCTGAGGGCTCGTATGCGTGTGGTCGTTCGGGTAGAACGAGTCCACGGTCGAAAGGCCGAGGCTCTGGAATCGATTCGCGACATACTGCCCGTGGTCGACGTAAGCCGCGCCGATGGTGCTCGCCGCCTTCTGCGCGTAACCGACGAACCGCGACGGGGTATACTCGAACGTGCCCGACTCCCAAGGGTTATTTGGTGTCTGGCTGCTGAAGATGACGTTCGCGCCCTTCGCCTGGAGCGCTTTGCCCGCCTCCACCTCGTAGAACACGAAGGTGTAAACCGTCTCGCCGGTGGTAGGCGAGGTACATGTTTGCTCGCCGTCTCCGGGACAGTCGGTGCGCCCGTTGTCGGTCGTGCTAAGTGAGCCGCCGTCGTTGTGCCCGAATTCGATCACAACAAAGTCGCCAGACTTGACGGTATCGACGAGGGTTTGGAACCGTCCCTCTTCGGTGTACGAGCGTGCAGAACGTCCCGCAACGGCGTCGTTGACGACTGGGATGTTGAGGGAGTACCCGAGGTACTGGCCCCACCCTGTGGTAACCCGCACTCACAAGATTCAGTTACATGACTGCGTACAGCAGGCCTGGCAGACGAGACCCCACCTTCAGTTCCTGATCCACCGCCGCCTTTCGCCATAGTAGAGTCACCGGCGAGGTAGACTGTGGGTGTCGCTCGTTTTTCGAACGTCCCATCCGGCTGTGATCGTGCAGCAGCACTAGCGACGAGGACCGGGAGCAGAGCAACGACGAGGAGCTTCATGGCGGAAGACTTCTAGGCGTAGAAAATCAAGGTTTGGTAAGAGTCTGGCAAAGGCACCGCCCTTGGCTATCATGGCGGAATACCCATGGATTTATACCTCGCTACATCCCTTCGTGAATGTATGCCGGTTCTCTGTCGGGCCGTCAGGTATAGGCAACCAGTCCGGACCGTGTGTTGTAGTACCATATGCCTGGCCCGTCGCATTGGCCCTCCTGATCAACGTCGTCCAACGTGAGCGAAAGAGTTTCGCGGTGGTGGAGCATATGCTCTCGTGGTTCGAATGTCGTCTGACCTTCGCGGAACAAGGCGAACTTATTCCGGTGATGTCCCGTCGTCTCCATGCAAGCCTTTGTGCAAATCTGGTTGCTGCGAAGTTACATCACTTGACGATGCATGCAGTCAGATGTTGCAGCACCAATTGATGTCACTTCCCTTGGCATTTGGACCGAGAGCAACTGGGGTACCACCTATATCTTCTGAAAGTCGTTGGTCTGATGGATCTTGTTGTTGGCCTATTAAGTTCTGTGGCCTATGAATTAGCCCCATCGAGTCACGAAGACGGTACGAGCGTTAGGTTTATCCTAACTGTCGCCACAGTACATGGGTAGGGAGCTACGACATAGCTGGTACATACGTTTATAGCGGTCGATTGCGCACTGACCCACTTGGGAGCGTGATGCTACTCTGTGGATACGTACGCTGAATGAAGAATGCCGTACGTTGAGGGAACAGAATGGCTGCGCGTCACACGTTTTGACTGTTATTGAAAGAAAGCGAGGAGGAAATGTTCCGAACATGAGTAAGAAGTATACTCTGAGCAACGCTACGACTGCTGCCAGAACGAATTGAGACTCTGTTGCCCAATAGTTATCGTACAAATGTCTCAACACCTCCCAGTCTTGTCATGCCAATTCCACCAATACCGCGGGTAGCGCTGCAGAGAATCAGATGCAGGAGCCTGGAACACTGCCTGTCGTGTTCTTGACGTGCGCCGCCAAAACATCGTTCGCACATAGCACGCCTTTTACGAAGGCCGCAGACACGACATCCGCGCCCTGCGGACTCGTGTGAAGGTGGTCCATCGGGAAAAACGAATCCACGATCGAAAGGCCAAGGCTTTGGAATCGGTTGGCGACGTACTGGCCGTGATCGACGTACGCTGCGCTGAGGTTGCCCGCCGCCTCCTGCGCGTATCCGACGAACCGCGACGGCGTATACTCGAACGTGCCCGACTCCCAGGGATTATCGGGCGTCTGGCTGCTGAATATGACGTTTGCGCCCTTTGCCTGGAGCGCTTTGCCCGCCTGCTCCACGTAGTACACGAAGGTGTGGACGGTCTCGCCGGTCGTGGGGGAGATGCATGTCTGGTTACCGTCCCCGAAGCAGTCAGTGTTCCCGTTGTCGGTCGTGCTAAGCGAGCCGCCGTCGTTGTGCCCGAATTCGATCACAACGAAGTCGCCAGACTTGACGGTATCGACGAGGGATTGAAACCGGCCCTGGTCCGTGTACGAGCGCGCGGACGTGCCGCCAACAGCGTCATTGACAACTGGGATGTTCATGGAGTACCCGAGGTACTGACCCCAGCCTGCCATAATATACAGGATGTTCGTTACATACACACGCGAACGTGTAGCAGATGAAGCGCACCTTCGGTCCCGTTTCCTCCGCCGCCCTTCGCCATAGTAGAGTCACCAGCGAGGTAGAGCGTCGGCGTCGCTCGTTTCGCAATCGTTTTGTCCGGCTGGGGCAGTGCGGTGGCACTGGCAATGAGGACCGAGAACAAGACGAGAACAGACAATTTCATGGCAAAAGGCTCCAAGGAGGTCGAATGACTCGTTTTGTATGAGTTGAGCGAAAGTCCAATCTGAACCTTCATGGCAGGAAGTCACCTTATACCTCCTCTCGTTGCGAGCCCATACCGGCCCTGCGTCGGGCCGCCTATACAGAGAACCACTCCGGCCCGTACATGACCTGTTGCATTGGCTCTCCTGATCAATCCCGTTCGTGGTTGGGGTGACACAAAGTCTTCGTCGTTCGAAGGTCGTCTGATCTTCACGGAGTCAGGCGAGCTTGTTCCGGCGATGTCCCGACTTCCTCACATACCAAGAGGGAAACGCATTTAGTGCCCTTGCACCGGCGGCATCATGACTTCAAAAGTAGCTTCAACATCTCGACTGAAGCATGGAGCGAGCGGCGTATTTCTCGGAGCTGTTGGGATCGAAAGCTAGATTTCCGCCCTGGGCACAAGGCGGCCGGGAAGGGTACGCACAGGGTTTGGAGAAGAAACCGCATCACATGATCATGCCTAACGAAAATAAGTACTACGTCAAAAACCCGTCAGAAGAGGTATGACGGTCAGGTTGCACGCACCTCCTGTTCAGGTATTAAGTGCCATATGGATCGCACTTCGCACTTCTCGCGGTCACCGGATACCTGCTGAAGCCAGTGGATTCCTAGGGTGCATATAGTCAGAGATGGTACGCATTTCCAGAGCTCAACATCCCAGCATAAACGCAGGCAGAAGTCGAGGATCTTAAGCAGCAATCAAGCTGCGTGTTCTTATTTATCCTTTGTGAAGCACGCACTACGGAGTAGCACGAGCGGAGACTGACCTCTTATCATTGCAACCTCCGCCTTGGAGACTGTCAGAAGCTAAGGTATGATGTGATCCGCGACTGGCTTATGTACTAGTACTACCCGACTAGCGGTCCGTGGTCTATCTACCACGCAGCAGGTAAGCGGTCCAAGGAATAGGTCGTACTCATGTCCCTGTATCGAGTTTCCAACTAGGATACAACGGCAAAACGAGGCTTAAGAGTGAGATATCTCTATGATTGTACGATCAATAGAATAAGGCAGAGAGATGGCGCACGCATGGCCCTCAAGCCTGGGCAGTCGCAGCCTCAGGCGAGGATGACGCCTTGGCGACCAAGAACGGGGGAGGGATAGCAGCCTGGGGAGGGGTTACTCCAGCCTTGAGACAGAACTCGGTAAGCTGATACCGGAGCGTAGACCACTGCTGCCGCAGCTCTGCGAGTGAAGAGGGCCCGTCAGCCTGTATATCCATCATGGAGCACGTTCGTGTGAATCCACCCACCGTCACACGGCCAGATCCGCATCAGGTACTCCAGCGGCTGGATGTGCACCTTCGCGGCTTCCAGGGCAATCAAGAGGGTAGGATCAGCTTTGTACAGTAATATTGCACTGTACAGGCACGCGTCCATCAGCCTGCAGGCTGTTGCCGGTTACAAGGTGATGAACATACCGGAGTATGTGTGCGATGAACCAATAGCCGAGAAGCGGCCTGTTGATCAGTTCGCTCTTCGGGTTCATCTGTGCTTCGTCCCATATCTTCTGCGTCACTGCCATCTGCGTACGCACTGGACGTGTATCACGGTAAACGTCAGGACGACTCGAAGGACAAGGGATCGTAAGACGTACGCCATAAATCTGCCTTGCTGCGATAATAAGTCATGATCCCGAGCCTAGCATGAGCTCCGTGTAAGCAATCGTGATAGTCCACCTGAATAGCGGCGGCGTCAGGCACGTACGATGTGACTAGCGGCGCGTACATCCTGAATTCGTGAGATATGAACATCCGCGTGCTGTGCGAACATTTCATCAGGACACGAGCTACGGTCGCCATGAAGGCCTGCAGACTCACGTAAACAGGAACTCCCGTGCCTGAAACAACATCCCTCCCTCCAGGTTGCATGTGTGTTGGTCCAGAGCCGCCTCGATGGCATCCGCTTCGAGCCACGCATTCAACGCATACTCCGCTCGCTCCATCGGCCCGATGTCTGGATCGCTCCGTCGCCGTACACTAGTGTTCCACAGTATCATAGCGCGGAGACACAGGTTCCAGACGTTATTCTGGCGTACGGGTGCCATGCCTCGCCGGCTGAGCTCTTCTCCGGGGAAGAGAACCGCATACTATCAAAGAAATCAGCAATCCGGGGTGATCAAATCCAAGCAACAAGAATAACTCACATTGCGATAATCCTTGATAAACAAATGCATCCTTTCCTTCGCGTCTGAATTGTAACTGTTCTGCCCCGCTGTAAGCATCACGCTCGACCACACGAGTCTCCGGCACTCCTCCTTCCGGACCTCGCCCTCGGACATCGCGTCCGGCCACATCGTCGTCGCCTCCCAGAGCGGCGCGATCTCCGACACAGTCGGCCACTGCTGCTTGAGCGTGTACCGAGCACACGCGCACCTGCCCTGTCCCAAGCCCGGACGGTCCCCCGCCGGGATAGCTCCCAGCCCCGGCCCAGCGCCGCCGCCCATGTCGATCCCAAGCCATTGCGCTCCTAGATGCGCCTGTGCGTCCGCGCCGACATTAGTGCAGGCTGCGCCGTGGACAGCGTCGGCAACCGTCGCTTGTTGGCCCGACGACCAATCCTTGCTGCTAGCGTACGTCGCGAAGAGCGAGTACTGCGCCTCGGGTCGATCGGCGTCGAGGTTCGTCAGATTGAGCAGCCGGATCATCGAGTCGAGCAGGACGATCGAGTGTCGACACCGGTCCCAGCCATGCGTAGGGTGGCCCTGTATCTCAAAGTAGGTCAAGAACTGACACGAAAGCATTGTTAGCGTCGCTTCCCAGTGGCAATAGAAACATAAGCATACCCATGCGGCCTGCACCAGCCCGACGTCCACCCAGTTCGTGCTGAGGCTCGCCTGCAGGGCCGCATGCGCCTGCTCGACCAGCGCCTGCGCCCTCGCGCGCCCCTTTGCGCCTTGCCGCAGCTCCGAGCTCTGCACGTGCGCCCCGATCGCGAGCATGCTCAGGAGCAGGCTCGGCTGGATCGCGTGGCGCTTCGCGGGGTCCAGCAGCGTCTCGAAGAAGCGCGGGAGGTGGAGGAAGCTCGCCCAGAAGATGGACGCGCGGAGGATCGCGCGGATGTCTGCGAAGATCCGCTTCGTCGTCGTGGCCCGCTGCTTCGCGGTGAGCCCGAGCGCGTCTCCGAGGTCGCCGTCGGTGTCGTAGGAGGCGTAGGAGACGAGCAGGGCGTCCCACCACGTCTCGCGGGCGAACTGCATGTTCGGCGCTCTGACCATGAAGGGAGCGCGCCCCTTGCTGCCGTTAACCTGCTGTCCGTGTTCTGGCGTGTTTGTGGCAGGGGGCGGGGGGAGCTCGTACGACGCTGGATCGTTGGGGTCAAAGTTTGCAGGATCAAACCCTTGAATGATCGCCTAGACCGGAAACAACACACAAGTTCAGCATATGCGTTCGCAGCGCCTGAGATCTGGTGTAGAAGTACTGACCTCGAAATCCGTTTCAGAGTCATGTGCTTTGGCCCTACGTTGCCCTTGCGCATCCGAACTGCCCGAGCTTTGTACGCCCGGCGATGTACGTGGAACAGTCCCAGGACGTGTACGAGAGCCTGGTACTTTATCCCGCCCACGTCGCTTTGGTGCGGGTTCGTAGTCGCATACGGTTAGGTCGGGATGCCGCTTCCTACAGGTGAAACAGACAGGTTTCGCACCATCGCAGCGGACCTTGCGATCCCGGCTGAGGAGGTCTATGTCAGTAACTGGATGGACGTTTCCCAAGGATTTTGGGGAACCTTTGCAGCACATGAGGGCAACATGTGCGAGGGCGATACTCAGTCGTGGACTCACCATTCGCGACAAGCGACGTAAACGCGGGTGCGCGGCCTGCCCTTGACCGTCAACGGCTGACTGGCATCCAAAGATATCTTTGACTTCTTCGCCTGCCGCGAGCACCCCGAAGACGGAGCCGACGAAGATGAAGAGGAGTACCCAGAGCCATTTGTGAGAGGTTCTTCAGGCGAATGAGAAGAGGTGTAGCTTGAGGAGGAGGGACCAGCTACGGCCGCAGAGGATGGTTCTGGACTAGCACTAGCTCCCGACGAATGATGCGATTCTGGGAGATGGTCGAGCCAAGTGAGCACGTCCTCCGCGAGCGGGAGGTCTCCTTCAAGGTCGTACGGAGGATCATAGAAGCTTTCGGAAAGAAGGGGGTCCATGGGATACTCGGCGGTGCCAGTACTGAGGCAGAGGTGGTCGTAGGATTGTGGAGTGCGTCTTGGTTACGACAAGTATGGTACGAAGCTGGGCAAGGCTCGAGCCTCAGGGGTCGCGATGCCGAGTGCGCGCGTCCGCTCTGGCGTCGCGCTCGCCTGGCCTCTGCCCGGCCCGGAGAGAACCTTCTCAATATGCTGTGCCGCGCGAATTGCGTTCTGCGCATAAGTACCGCTAAGTATGTAGTATGATTCAGTTTCTGTCCCCGCCAAAACCACCGGTCGCTCACACCCAACGCCGGGCAGCTAAATATGAGTCGCAGCATATGCACCTCAAGGCAAGCAGAGCCGAATTCTGCCTTGAACAATCGCGATCGAGCTACATCATTATTCGAGGAGCCAAACGCATTCGGTCTACCGAGCTCAACAAAAGCAAGGACGGCAAAGAGTACACAGCCTATCGAGATCATACAAAACGATGTACAGGCCGTACACGGGTCTTCATCTTCGTCGAGTGCCAGCCACGTCGCAGGCGCATCGTATCGTACGCCAATATCCCCTTTTGATCTCCTCAAGCCGACTCCTTCGAGATCGAGTTCGCCTACCCAGCCAAACGTCAGCTTCCCCCCGTCCCGACGACACTCAACATGAAGCCGCACAACGTACCGCAGAGCCCAACTCCACATGATCCTTCTTCTCCGCCGCGCGCCCGCTCACCCTCCCGCTCCTCCCCTTCCCCCTCCTCCCAACCGTCAACAAGCCCAAGAACACCAACGCAGCCACCGCCAGCCCAAACACCGCAACCGCCAGCCCCGCGCCCAGAAAACCCGCGCCCACCGGCGAGATCCGGTCGTGGTGCCCGCCCAACGCCACGCCCCCAGTGCCGTTCCCCGCGAAGAGCGCCGCGCACCCGCGCTCCTGCGTCTGCCCGCACACGTTGCACCACTCGAGCGTCGTGTTGACGCCCGCGGGGGCGAACGCGCCGACGAACGTCGCGAGGGGCACGTCCGCGCCCGCGTTCGCCCCGGTGCCGTCCCAGCCGGGGAAGCGCATGGGGTACGCGCGGTACGCGTCGTCGGTGCCGTTCTTGAACATGAAGCGGATGACGGGCGCGGAGCCGGAGCCGGACGCGGGCTGGCGGACTTCGAGCACGACGGACGCGGCGTAGTTCACTGCGGGAGGACGGGATGGGGATGAGAGCGCGCGAAGCGGGGGCGGAAGGGCGGCACGTACCGATGGACTCTGGGAGCGCGCCGTCTGCGACGACGCCGGTCATGTTGAAGAGGCTAAGGAAGGGCTTGTACGCGATCGCGGAGTAGTGGAGCTTGAGCGGGTCCGACGCGTTTGCGATGCGCTGCATGGCCGTCACTACGGACGGGATCATCGTGCGGAATGCGACTGAAGAGAGGGCATCCTCTCGTCAGCTCCCTTGGGTATCAGTTGAGCGAACGTGCGACGCACTGTTGCCGATCCCATTGAACGAAGTGTCGCTGAAGACGTTGTACTCGTGCCAGTCTGCAAGGTAGCGCGCCATGGGAAGGAACCCATTTGGGAGAGCATTGGCGAACGTCGCGTTGTGGATCGACTGCACATTCATGTAGTCAAATATCTGCGCATATCCATCGGGCCAGTCAATTCACGGCCGCTCGGGTATACGGAGCAATCGGACGCATACATTCCACTAGAACCATAGTAATCGTAGTCAGTCATGCAACTCAACAAGTCTCAACAACCAAACAAACCGATACACGTACCATGTTCTCCAGAGTCACGGGGCGTCCGTCCATGTACGGCCCGAGTTTTTCAAGGAACTGCGCAACCGACGCGTTCATGGCGGCGAATGCAGCAGAGTTGTAGAACGCCGTCGTGTGGTCATCGAACGTCTGCCCCCATCCCGCCCTCAGCCGCATCATTCCCCGACATATCACTGAAAACTCACATTGCAGTCCGTGAACCCCTCCAGCGACACATCCTCGTTCGGCTCCACGGACTCGACTGTGCGCACCCATCAGCCGTCCCGTTCTCTCACCTCACACCTCACACCCCATCCCCCAAGACAGCAGACACGAAGCCCAAAGCGCCGACGACTCACTGGGGATGTACTGGTAGCCGCTCAGCGGGCTCGTCACGTTCGTCCCGTTCGCGAGCAGCGTGCTCTGGAGCGGCGTGGGGGGCCACAGGCCCTGCGTGAGCGCGACCGCGCTGTCGAAGATAACGCCGCCCTCGCCGCCCGCGTCCGCGCGGACCTGCACCTGGCTCTGCTGGAAGAGCACGGAGGCGTTCGCGATGCCCTGGATGAACGAGGGCGAGGCGGGGTCGAAGTACAGGTCGCGGATCGTCGTGCCGAGCTGGAACTCTTGTTCCTGCGGGGCAGGAATAGTCGGTCAGGTAGCGTTCGCGTTCGTAGATCGCGTACACTGGGGGAGTAGAGAGAGAGAGAGAGGGACGGCTTACCTCGCCAAGCGGTGTGATTGAGGTCGCGGACGCGGTGTACGTCTCTGGGTCCTGGTAGAACCCCTCTCGATCACCATGGCGCGCAAGTATCACGACACCAAGGACAGTGCTCTGCTCGTCTGTAGCCATCTCGTATACCGGTAACGTTCACTGACAGAGCTTGAGAACGAGCAGCGGATGGGTTGGTAGACCCACTGACCAGCGGCAGGACGGGTGGAGGACTCGCGAAGCTCAAAAGCAGACCTCATGGCGGGCTTGAGTCATATGTACCTTCTGCTGAGTTTGATGGAATTCTAATTCGACGCGTCGATGTTGGGAAAGCCCAGCTTCTGGATGCCACGGCTGCTGATTTGTCAAGGTTCATGGCGTGAGGCTGCGACCTGATATTGAAGAATAGGCAGCCTCAAGCAACCCCCGGGCGGTTCGTGTCCAATGCCTCGATGCCATATGCGCAGATTTTGTCAAGCAGCTGCTCCCCGAAGTGACTATGCGGTTTCTGAGTAGATGCGTAGCTAGGAGACGCGTGAACAGGGCTGGTACGATCAGGAAAGCCAGGCTCACAATGAGAAGTAGAAAGTCTGAGTTAGGGACAGGACAGGATGCACGTTGTCATTCCAATCCTCCAGAGACCCCCCAGGGTGCTATACGATATCTAGCCGATGCTATCTAAGCGCACATGAACTACGGCAGCTGAAAAGCCCCCGGCGCGAACACATGGCGTCCTGCGTCTGCTTCGCACGGAACCCGCGACAAGCCCTCGGTTTACCGGATGTTGGCCTACCCTAAACTCGTGGAAGATCATAGTCTCGTTCCCATCCGTTCTAGCGCTTACAGACAGTACCGCTAGAACGTCTGGTGCATTTCGGGCTCGGCAGAGGGCATTGTGACGATCAGTCACACCACGTGGGCTGACTAATGGCACGTGAGGGCTGTCGACACCGCATCGCGCGAGGCTGTTACCAAAAGATTGATGCCTGTTGTGTTCATGTAATCGATACATGCGAGAACGCGATCCTCGAGAGACATCCCACCAGCCTCCATGCTGTTGCTGAGCGCGCGGGTGTAGTTCTCGTATAGTGTGGAGCGCGCATGCGTGCGAGGAGGAGGGTCGGCAAGGGGAGGGGGTGAGGAATCCACTTCTTCAATACATGAGTCCAGGTAATCGTCAGGATCAAATTCCCCGAGATCATTGTCGAAGGCTAGATATTCATCTTCCGCAAGCATAGTGGAGGTATAGTTACTAGTGTGACCCCAGAAGCGACGGCCCAGAATGTACTTCGTAAATATCTCCCTCGCATCTTCCCCCATAAATCCTGAACTTGGCACACTTAATCTTCATCTTAGACAGTATATACCTGTAAACTATGAAGGCAATCGGTTGAAGTTTGCTTCGAGCATCGTGGAGTTACACGTCTGACCCCAGAAACGACGGAAAGGCGCCCCATAGATTGTCACTCATGGTCACAGTGCCGAAGGCTGCCGATTTGAACACCGCCATGATCAGTCGCTTAATAACGACGTTGGCGGAGGCAACACTAGTCGAGGCGCTCATAATCAAAGTCAGCCTTATCTCGGCCAGTGGCTGAATGTCACGCTCCAGAGACCCCCTTCCCATTCCTCAAGTACCGCAATCCGTAGTCCTTCAAAAACTCAATAAGTATACTCAGTTAACATGTTCAAAACACTTCCTGCAGTTACAAGAAGATCGGCAAGGCCGATCTCTTTGTGGCAACTTAACAAGGTTAGTAAACCCCTGGAACCCTACTCGGATTGACTTGTATCGGGAGCAAATTCCTCCCGATTTCCTTCGTTCTTTTTGGGAGTGATAGTTCAGAAGCACATAGTCTCATGTGTAACATTTGCACATTTATTGACAGGGAAATGCGAGACCTGGAGGCGTGTCAGTCGCTTCTGGGGTCAGGCGCTTAATCCGTCGCTTCTGGGGTCGCACTAGTACATGCAGACAGAAGAACGAGTGCGCGACATCGATCCCTCGTCCCGTCGTGCGCCTCCGATGTGATGTTGTCACG